GTCTTTCGAAAACATGCTAGGTTCTCTCTCAGCATGCAGGTTTCCTCACGATGTTTTCCTTCACCGTAAGGCAAGTGGTAATCATGTTAGAAATGATTCGCACATGAAAATATCAGAGGTGCGAGACCCGGGATTTGAACCCGCTTCACTCGATTTCCCATGCGAGCGCGTTACCACTGGGCCTACCACTGCCTTTTTTACTAATAAAACATAATTTATTCTAAAACAAAATAAAAATAAGAAACATTACCAAAACATCTTAAATTTAAACTCTTAGAAGAGTTTTCCGTATTCACACATACCGGTGCATCGTAAGATAAAATCTCATGTGCATCAACTATTTCATAGCTTTATCCCGAGCTCGCAAAAATATAGCAAGGTGGAGTGGAGTCGCGAAGTTAGCCGCAGTTAGGAAAGATTTGTCGCGCCGCCAACTAATGCTGTTCCTGTGCTCTCGTAAGTAAAAATTATGATTATCGCCCGGCGAGCGCTGAGCCCTTGATCCCTAACTAACGGCCAGGATCCGAGACGGAGACTTTCCTTTTCTTCTAACTATAACTCTTTTTTATTGCCGCCCGCTGCACTCGATGCCCACTGGATTACATACTGGGCTAACTGATCGCGACCGTAAACTATGTGGGTTAGGATAGCCTTCGAATACTCTTTCCGGTAAATTATTAGGATGGATAGCTCCGTGTGGAGTCGTTTGGTTTTAAGATGTTATTTAGTAAGTGTTTAATAACTGTTTAATTTGATTGAGCTGTATAATAAATTAAAAATAAATGAATGGTAGAGAGGAATAGTTAAAAGCAAGAACAGTAAGTTAGAAAGATTGGTTGTGTTTTTTTTCTAATTTTATTGTTGTTTTAAGTAAAAGCCAGTAAGCAAGTATGAGACTCGATCTCGAGTTACGTTGTACTGTATAGTAATAAATAAAGACAACGTATTACGAGTATGTAGAGCTTTTATTACGTATGAGTGAGCTAAGGAAATCTTAATTACACTTCTAATCTAATGATTTATCGACATCGAATGCGAAAATTTTCCATATAAAGAAAATTTTAACATTATTATATCAATTACTTAGACACATAGACGAAATATATGACGTGCTTCAAATAAGAAGGGCAAAATAGGATTACACGTAACAGGCACAACTTGATAATAAAAGAACACGGGTTAAGAAAATATATTTCTATATCGCAATAATTCTACATAACGTCTCGGCGGGAATAAGCAGTAAGTTTATATCTAAAAGGTATATTGTGAGTGTACAGTCTTGTCACGTGGCGTATGAGGACAAACAAGAATGTCAGTGCGTTAGGACGCTTTCAAGTGTTATTCTGAATATGGACACCGTATACGTGACCGGCGGTGGAGACTTCATAATATAAGTTTTTTGTTTCATGTTACATCGATTGTAGTAGTTGAACCAGAAAATAAAAACTATACAAAATTGATAAATATTACTTATATGTAGTTTTATCTATATCTATACTATAATAAAACTGTAGAGGTCGATTTTCTGTACATAGAATAAAATTCTAAAAACCGAGTCTGGGGATATAAGAAGAGAAATAGAACATATCCAGATTTTTTTCAATTTTTCCGTTTATCTGTCTCTTTGTCAGTTTGTACGGGCTAATCTCCGAGACTGTTGGACCGATTTAAATGTAATTTTGTATGGTGGTACCTTATATCCCCGGTCAATATCTTAGGTACTTTTCATCTCGGAAAATTAAAGAGTTCCCGTGGGATAGTTAAAAAACGATAGTAACTTATACAGCTTAGTACACAAAAACTACTGATTGGATTTTAATGAAACTTTACAACAATATAGTTCATACATCAGAATAACAAATAGGCTACTTTTTTATCCCGGAAAAATTTACGGTTCCCGTGGGATAGATTAGTTTTTGTGTGTTTGAGTGAGCCGCTAGTGCTTTGAAATAATTTGCGAAATATTAACGATTAATAATCCTATGGGATATAATGTAAACGTACATAAACGTGAACATACATATTTATGTATTAATGATATATCACAAATAAATTTAGGCTTTTTCATATATGTCAATTTACTTACATAGATAAATTACATGTTACGTATTAGATATGAAATCTACGTCAATAAATTAAATAATTTATTAATGAGGTACTGCTACAACTTATTTACCTACATATGTTACTTTATGTTATACGTACAACATACTATTTTGCTATATCGAATACGACCAACCATCGATCATATTTTATCATATTTCTATCATTAATTTAAGAAAATAATATTTACAATATTGAAAATATAAAAAATCCTATTAAATTTAGTAGACTTTCCTATTATAAGTTCATATATATTATATAGCTACCCGTCAAATTTTGCCATATCTATAGAATATAATATCCCTATTACGAGTAGAACTTACGCCAATGAAAACATACAAGGCTTCCTTTTATAAAATGATAATGTCATTATAATTATGAATAATTATATATCTGTACATTTGTAGATTCTATGATATCAATATATAATTATAAAACAACATATTACATACGTAAATATATAAATATATAAAAATATTTTAAATAGAAATAAGAGACTACTATTATACGGTAGCGCTCACGGGCCGGCTCGGACGGATTTGTTTTATGCCCACCGAAGGCATCGACTTACCGCGACCGTACGCCCGAGGCGTCTTCTTAATTTTATTACGCGACCCGACTCGGACCTGCCTCTCCGGGGAACACCTTCTAATTGTGTCTTAGAAAAAACGCTGGAAATAAAAATTTTGCTGCTATTCGACCCAACTTTACGTTATAAATTATGAAATAAGTCTATACTATTATTATTTTATGAACTGACTTCGAGCAAAGATCATTATTGGTAAATATTTTCAGTCTATTATAATTATCTATCTGGTAAATATTAAAGTTTGAATTATATTCTTTTACCGTCTAACTAAAAAAAATATAGGTACTTACCGACTGTAAAATCAAAGTAGGTAATTATTTTACGTTTATGAATATATTTTTTTAAGTTATACCTACTTCTTTTGGCATATTTAGAAAAAATTATGAGAGTAAATTTTTTACGATGCGCGCACACACCAACAGCCAAAAAGCGACATGATGAAGTTAGCTGCATTCCTTTTACAATCAGAGAGTTGTGACATACGGGATGAAATCTTTAGATATTTTAGTGCTGTTACGCCAAAGAAGTATAACTTCTTACGTGCGTACATAAGTGCACACACACGTTTTTTTTATTGAAACTAATATGAGACCACTCTAGAAGTAGGACTAAGAAAGTCGATTCACGGTTGGGGAAGATATCACGTAACACACCATAAACTCCCTAAAGAATATGCAACCTCTTTGTTTTGAAGTGTGATAAAAAATTGCCAAAAATTGTTTGTATTATATATAATTACATTGTTCATTGCAAGCTTCTTTCTACGTAGGTATTAAAACTATTTCTGACACAAATACTCAGTTTATATTAATTTTTTTTTGCAATTCATATACGAACGACGTAGTGTGGCAAACCACATAAAAATTACTATTACCTATATTGGTTAATTCGATCAGATTAAATCAAAGTGTGGCGTCATTGTGGGGACCACCGCCTCATAACTTCAACAACTTTAAGATATCTCTACATATTGTATTACAGAGCTCCTAAAGCTATAACAAACGTACAACACTAGTTTATATTGAGTTATAAACGGAGTATCCAACGAAATGAAATAATAGCCTACTTCTACTTAATAATATATTTAATTAATTAATATTATTTATATAACCTAACTAGCACTGTCCGCGGCTCCACCCGCGTTCAGATGACCAAAAACCAAATTCTTAGGTTTTACATATTAGTATACTCTTACATTTCAGTTTTTGTATTTTTTCTCAGACACGAGACATTTTCCCGCGGTAAAAAGTATCCTATATGTTGACCCGGATAACCAGCTACCATCATAAATTTCATCAAAATCTATCCAGTGGGTTTCCCGTGATACGGTAGGTAACAGACTGACAGGTAGACCGACAAAAATTCTAAAAACTTTAGATTCGGCCTCTTTATCGATAATAATGTCTATTTCAATAAGATTTTCCAAAAAATATTCAATGTACAGATTCGGCATAGATAGAATTTTATTATATTATTTATATATATAAAGTTTTATGTTTATAAAGTTGATTCTCAAAATTTTTACTAGTTTAAATTATGGAAAACGAAAATTATTAAATACCTAGCAGGTAGGTACCTGGATGGAAAAAAAATAGAAATACTAAGCAATAGAGGGTTACTGGAGAGTTATATGTATTAATTAATGAATATAATAAAAGAAAATATTTTTCTATTGATTAAAATAAATTCTCTTTAAAAAGAATAATATAAATAAAATAATATGTAAATAAATATCTACAGGTAGATATTTATTATTTTTATATTTATTTAGAATAGTTCTATCTATCATATTATCCTTACTCTATTTGTTAATTATTGGTAAAAATGTTTAATTAGCTTTTTACAATACACTTTTACTTTTTAATTGTATATTAATTTGGGATCCTAGTGCCATCTATTAGCAAATAGCGCTATTTATAAATTAACACGTAACACCATTAGCAGAGCCATCTGTTATTGAACAGTTGTTACTGCAATAATAAAATTTAAAATATTTTTATTAAAATATTATAAATGCAAAATAAATTGCAATTATATTATTTTTAATACTATATATAAAGAAATCAATACTGAATCCTAAAATTGTACGTATGTAAAACAGAAACTTAACTAAAGCACAGTCTGTGTGCGAATTTTAGCTTTATAATCTATCATTCATGACTTGACATTTGTTTATACTTCATCAAATCAATACGCAATACACCGTACATTTAAAACAAAGTGAAAATTGTGGGGTATTTTGTTTTGTTAGTCTTCATTCAGGCGACAACGAAAGTGGATTGTTAAATTTAAATTTTAAGCGTTAAAAATGACAAACGCATTTGCAGTTTGTCTTATTTCTATATTGTTCTTTTGTGGTATAGGTGAGTAATTTTTTTTGCGTGCGATTAATTAGTTATTATTTTTATCATTCTTGTCCTTGTTTCAATACAATTTCATGTTATGTGGTAAGGAATTGCTGCGAAACATTACGCTGGTGGTAATTCATTCATACTTTTATTGCTTATTCTTGGATTTGTACTAAAATTGATATTTTTAACATTTTCTAAAACTTTCATACATAGGAGAAGAATATTCTTATGAATAATTACGAATATTTAAGATTATTTATTTTTAATTAAAAACAAAGAAAACATGCATAGACTAAAGATGCTAAAAGTTCTATAAAAACTGAAGAAAAATTATAGACAAATAGTTTTACACTAAAAAGCATAGTAACTATGGATAATAGATTGGTTTGAGAAAGAAATATGTTAGGTAATTTATTTGTGCAATCAATATGATTGTTATTTAACAAAAGTCAAATAATAAGACAGTCATATTTGTACAGTTGCTGATGAAGTAAGTCTAAATCTACCTACTTCAAAATATTTAACAAAAGAAAACTGAAAAACATATTTGTTACAACATAAGTAGTCCATATTTTATTCAATTCCAATATAAGCTGTGTATCAATAAGGACCTAGGTGTTATATGTAGTCTATTAATTGCATATGATAACAATGATACTTACTCAGTGATATTGTGAGATATGAATCAAAAAAATAACTAAGAACAATGAATTATACAAAACCTCAATTGCCAAACAATAATGCCAAATAATAGTACTAATTAACAATATATTATCAGGACACTAAAGGAATCAATAGTAACACTCATCCCCCGATAAGTTATATTTTTGTCATATATTTAAGGTCTTTTTTCTGTCATTAGATGTGATTCATACATTTTTATTATCATATTACTGGCAAGTTACTTACTGTTTATAATAATATTGAATTTCCTGTACTCGGCTAACAGGAGGGGATCAGATTATTGCATATATGCTATAATATATCAAATTTAAATATCTCCAATGTTCATACTTTATATAGTAAACATTTTTTTCATATATTATGTATGATTATTTATTTATAATTGTTATAAGCTTTGAACCGTTATTTGAAGCCTAAATCAAATATTTGAGAGAGGCTAACTTGATTTCTGGTAACATAATACCTATTAATTTTTGTTCGTGCCTTTACCTATGTAGATATGTACACTAAAATATAGCCCATGTGAAATGTTTGAACGTAGATTTTAAATATCTCAAAATAATATTATCAAGACTAGATTTAAATTGTACAAAAAGTTTTGGTTATTATTTTAATCTTCTGTAAAAAACGGTTTTAATTACTAATTTAAATATTTATTATCATTACGAACTGCTTCATTGGTATGTTTATAAAGTTATTGACTTAAAGATAAATAACTCAAATAACAAGACACTTTGACCTTTTACAAAGACTATTATGTATACATACGTTTGATATAATATATTGTATTTCTTTATATATTTTGAAAAAGAAAAAATGGCATAAAATAGGTTTATTTACTTCAGCCAAAACAATGTCTCTATACTACATTATTGTCTTTTCTATTTGATTTTGCTATATTTATTTGTAATTTTTATAGTAATATCCTTGGTTAAGATGAAGGAATAACTAAAATAAAATATTATGTTTTGATAACAGGTTTGTCAAATGCTCGGCAAACACCAAAAGAATGTTCAAAGGGACCAGAATATTGGTGTGAAAGTTTGAGGTAAGCGAAGAATATATTTGACACATTTGGCTCAGTTTGTAGTGACTACTTGTTGTGGTGGTCAACGGTCGCGAGTTCGATTCCTGCTGGGGGCATACACTTGTGTGATGATCATGAATATTTGTACTCCAGTCACGGGTGTTTATATTTATAATATAATATATGTATTTAAAGTTATATGTGTAGTGTATCAACTATCTGGTATCCATAACACAAGCCTCGTAGCTTACCATAGAACTAGATGGTTCTGTGTGGTAATGTCCCAACATATTATTATTATTGTTTATGATATTTAAATATATTTATTAAATTGAAAATATGTATTCCCATTTTCAAACACTTGCTTGTACATATGTTAAGAATTTTTTGGTACATTAAAATATTATGTATATGAATGAGGTATACATAAGTATAACTGAATTATTTTCGATATATTTGCGAGTGCTATATAATCAGTTAGTTCAACATGCAACAACAAATCGATAGGTAATAATCGGTTTATTTTATTACCTAATGTTAGCTGCCAGTAATGAATCATGTTAATATAATCTATTATTCATAAATCCATAAGTCTAGTTGCTAGCAGTTATGCATTTGTACAGTAAACCACGAAAAAGACTAAGAAAAGTTTTATCACAGAGTTATTTTGTTTGATTTATAAATAATGTTGTTTTTAACTACTCAAAATATTAATGCTAATTAATAGCTCCATGATGTTTAAACATTTCAGCAAAACATAATTTGATAAGAAATGTAGTACGCTATAATTTTTTGCGGTCATCTAAGGCCGCTTACACACTATTCACAATTCTTCTTGATATTACAAATTTATTTAGCTAGCGTCAATTGTTTAGTCATAGTAAAATGATAAAATCTATACTTTTATATGGCAAGCCACACCTAAATGAATTACGAATGTTGATAAATATGTGTATGTGTATATTTTAGTAATAGTAGTATGAGTTCAGTAAAGACAAATTATATGGAATTCGAGTTTGACTAATACATATTTTGTTTATCTTCGTGGTGATTAAATTAAAAAAAAAAAAGCATATTGAAAAGGTTACCTATTTTAGTATTTATTTATTTACGCGTTTACTTATCTGACCTTAAACAATAATTAATATTTAAATGCTTATAAAATGTTCAAATAATGTCCTCCCGACCGATACCGGCCATGGCGGCCAAAGTTACTGATCGTGACTGAGGCAAACCGATTGTGTATGAGATATTAGAGTTCACAAGCATGCACGTTGACATCAATTCACTATATTTCTGTCACTCTCAAAGCCCGATTGGACGATACTTCGACAAGACCGCTGAGAGATCAGGCGATCAGGCTTTACCGAAAACTTCTTAAATCCGGGTTGTTACTGAGAAGTTTTTCATAATTAAGCATGTCTCTACTCGGGACTCGAATCTAGGACCTTCTGGGGTCTGCACCGAAGCAGATATAACAGCCAGATATTTAAATACATAATTTCATAAACGCAGGCGCGCCGCAGACTGTGGAGCGGTGCAACACTGCATCGGCACAGTGTGGGAACAAGAGCGTGTCACGGTCAAGGACAACGATGTATCCGAAAAGATCGTCCGTCTCTTCAGGCAGCTGAAGGATGTTAAGGACATGATTAATGACGTAAGATACTGTTTTCTTTTATTTTATTGACCGATGTCAAAAAAAGGTTTTGTGTCTATGGTACTTGGACCATCTGTGCGATATCTTTGCTGATTGTGACATAATTTTCCTCAGGGGTTTTTTTATTTTAAATAAAACTATCTTTTCGGATTTTGTCGCGGATTTATTTGGATTTTTGTTTCCCGACGTTTCGAATGCTTTACAGCATCCATGGTCACGGGAGAGACTGAGGTGTTACATGTCTTGAATGTATAGTTGTTACAGACAGCCTACCCACAATTAACAAATGAAAAATTGCACCATTACATTACAATATTTTTTAACTTTAAACATTTTTTATAATTTTAATTATAATTGAATATGGAAAATTATTTATTTAATTTTGCTATTATTTTTATAATTATTACAATTTTAAAATATTAATTAGTAATCTATATTTAGTGTTGCCATTATTATATTTATAACCATAAAGAAAAATATAAAATGTAGTATTAATTATTAAAGCCATATAATTGTTCTATGTGTAATTTAAAAAAAGTTAAAATTAATTAAGGATAATAATTTTAATTTAGTTGCTATTATTTAAAAACAACCTTACTAAGCAACACTATTAATATATACTTTTACAAATGAAAAATGAAAAATATTAGTCTGATAAGCTGTCATTTTGATCTACACAGTATGAACTTACTACATCTGCCTGTCTGTTATGTTTATATTTATAATAATATATATAGATGTAGTAAGTTCATACTGTGTAGATCAAAATGACAGCTTATCAGACTAATATTTTTCATTTTTCATTTGTAAAAGTATATATTAATAGTGTTGCTTAGTAAGTTGTTTTTAAATAATAGCAAACTAAATTAAAATTATTATCCTTAATTAATTTTAACTTTTTAAATTACACATAGAACAATTATATGGCTTTAATAATTAATACTACATTTTATATTTTTCTTTATGGTTATAAATATAATAATGGCAACACTAAATATAGATTACTAATTAATATTTTAAAATTGTAATAATTATAAAAATAATAGCAAAATTAAATAAATAATTTTCCATATTCAATTATAATTAAAATTATAAAAAATGTTTAAAGTTAAAAAATATTGTAATGTAATTGGTGCAATTTTCATTTTGTTAATTGTGGGTAGGCTGTCTGTAACAACTATACATTCAAGACATGTAACACCTCAGTCTCTCCCGTGACCATGGATGCTGTAAAGCATTCGAAACGTCGGGAAACAAAAATCCAAATAAATCCGCGACAAAATCCGAAAAGATAGTTTTATTTAAAATGTCAAATATTCGCGTAAATCTAAGAAAGTATTATTTCCTCAGGGGTTAATAATATTCAATACTTATTCCGGCATTAATGGCGGAATATAAATAATACGCATAAAATAATATTGTCATCAGTGTCTCTTTAGTTAAAAAATAATAATTTTAAGTGTATTGTGTACAATTTACACTACGTATTGACTCTGAACTGCTCTAGGTGCAAGCACATTTCATAGAAAAACTATGTGAAAAGGGCGTTATAGTTATGGACTATAAACGTTGCTATTACAGGCAACATTTATTTTTAATTAAGGCTAAAATTTAAATCTGAAAACTGTAGACATTGGTCTGCTGAGTACAGACGCGGATGTGCGTGGAACAAAGAACGTAAAAAGTTGAATAAAAACATGTAATTTTAGATTTGTTGGCATTATAACAGCCGTTAGAGCTCACTTTCTTTACGCAAATTATATAATAATATACCTAAATCGAACAGTGCATCATTTCATATCAAATGAAAACATACACCGACTATCACCTTAATAAAATTACAATTATAGCCTTGGGAGTGCATTTGTTTCTTGAAATTTATATTAAATAAGGGATTATTCACGACACGATTGGCTCAGCCTGTAGTGACCCTACATGCTGTGTCAGCGGTCGCGGGTTCGAGTCCCACTGGGGGCATTCATTTGTGTGATGAGCACGAATGTTTGTACTCAGTCATGGGTGTTTATATTTATAATATGTATGTATTTAAAGCCATATATGTGTAGTGTATCAACTATCTGGTATCCATAACACAGGCCTCGTAGTTTACCATGGAACTAGATGGTGTTGTGTTAATGTCCCAACATATTTATTTATTTTTATTTATTCATTAAAACCAATTTACAATAAATGAAGGTATCGCATAGTATGAACAAAACTCTCTCCTTTATCGAAGTCATAAAAAAATGGTTATATCGTTTGTAAATGAAACTTATTTTATAGAACAAGATAGAACTTGCCTTGAAATCTCCTCCATTTTTTTATAAAACATAAAATTAAATGATACAATTGCCACTTTCTGGTTAAAACTAAACATGGAGTTTGAGACATAACGTATATTGTGTAGATGGCAGCGGTAAGAGGAAACCAAATAAAAGTGGAAGTTACTCGTTATTTTTGTAATCTTTGCAAGGGCATTACATTTTTGTAGTGTTTTCAAAAACATCAAAATTTCTGGCTCAGATTATATCAGTTTTGAAGTCGTTTCGACATGACAAATATTTATTTTTATAATGTCATCGCTGTTGGTGATAACAAGTGTGTGCTTCCTGCATTTTTAACGTCTGATAAAGCACTTTTAAAGCTATTATTTTATGTTAGAATGTTTTTCGTGATTACGTAAAAATCTGGCTCTTATGTCGAGAATGTACGATTTATTGATATTATTATATTATAGTTATCTTTGTTACCCAGCTAATTATAGTTCATTCTCTAAAGTGGAATCGTGTTTCAAACTTTCTGCTCACTGAATGAGAGTATTTAGTTGGTGCCTACTAAACATTAAAGCAGCTATCAGATACGTAAATGATTATAACTACGCAACGGATTTTGATGCGTTTTTTTTAATAGATAGTGATTCAAGAGGAAGGTTTATATGTATTATGTATGATACATGCAAATTATAGTACAGAAAAGCCGAGAAATTCAAAGAATTGTATTTCATACTAACCGTTAAAACGTACCTAAATAAATGTTAATTTTAATGGAATATTTGCAATCATATTTCATACATCCATCTTGATCAATGGTCATATTTTAGAATTGATTACATCATTTATATAATATTTCAATATTGGCATTTCAATATAATATACTTAACTTTTATAGATATTTTTCATCGACTTTTTGTCATATCTTATATTAGGAAAATAACATTAAATGATGTTAATAAATTAATTTAAAATGATGAATTGCAATAACATATATGTAAATTCGTACTATCAGCCTTTCTATTGATTGATTTGGTCAAATCATATTATAATATGGTCAACAAAATATGCTATGTTCAATTTTCATTTAATGTCACCATTTTAAGATTTTACGCAATGATCGACTACTTTATAAAAAATCATAAAAAATTTAAAAAAATAAAAAATGGCACCAAACTACCTTACAAAAATTTTTTAACTTTAAAACTAATTAAAATTATAAAAATGTTTAAAGTTAAAAAATATTGTACAGGTACTTTGATGCCATTTTTCAATTTTTTGAATTCATTTTGTTATTTGTGGGTAGGCTGTCTGTAACAACTATATAATACCTTTGAGACATCTAATACCTCAGTCTCTCCCGTGACCATGATTGCTATAAAGCATTCGAAACGTCGGGAACCAAAAATCAAAATAAATTCGCGAAAAACCCCAAAAGATGTTTTACTTAAAATAAAAAATCATACTTAAAATTGAACGCCTTATAATGTCACTATTTTCTTCTTTTTACAAATTTCTCACAAAAACATAATTTATAAAAATGTTAATAAAAAAGGTCTTCATAAAAATAAGAAAAGTATAAAAAGGATGTGTATATATATATTTGTGCCTACATATACTTAGATAAATTATCTCTAACAGGACTATCTAGGAACTCGCGTGAGCTCAGCCTGCCGCGATGTTCCATCGCCCGCCATATTGTCTCTATGCAAGGAGAACACAGCCGAGCTACAACAGTACATGAGTCACGTCCTACAATCGGACACCTCTCCCGAAACGATGTGCAGAATTATTGGCATGTGCAATAATGCCAAGTTAGATTCGCTTATCTCGGTAAGATATTTTTTTACTTTTATATAAGCTGGGAATTTTGCTGTTAGTTCTGTTGTAGATAATTAACAAAATATAGATTTTCTTAGTATTTTTATCCCATTTACATAATAATAATCGAAAAATAGTCAAAATAAGTGTTATTTATAATTTTTTATTTTTTTTTTTATAGAAAAAGAAGACTGAAGAGCACACAAAACAGAAACGTAAGTATATTTACAATTATGTAGTAAAATCGGACAAGTGCATGTCTCGCGCACGCGCTGACGGCTCCGAAAAACGAAACGTGATAGTGTTGTTGTTTTATCTTTAAAATTACTTTATCTAAATATCTTTACCATAACAATTTTAATTACAATTATTATTTTTATTATTTTATAAAATACACGTTACATAAAAAAATCTAGGGAGTAAAATAAAAATGTCATTTGGGAACATTTATTACTTAAATATCATTATTAAAGACCCAAAAAGCTTAAGATGTGCGCTCTTTCTTTTCATGCGTTAGTTATTCGTATAGATATTTTTCATCTTTTATAATTGGACAATCATTATCTAGCGCTTTTCAAATTTCAACTATATAATACCAATAGTTTCAGAGTAAAACGTTTGTAACATATAGACCGACAGACATGACAATATTATTATAAAACCTTCATTTTGATTTTAGCTTTTTTGGCTTCAGAACACAAAACATCGTTTCTTTAATGATGAGAGTTATTTCTTGTTTTTAAAAATCTTCTTATCTTGTATATGCCTGACTAGCTATACCTAATAAGCTAAAATATAAAGATCATAAGTTCGATTCCCGCACCGCGTGATGATAATACAGATGTTTGTACCGCTTTACTAAAACATTGTTTTAATAATAGCGGAAAGATAATTTGCTCTTCACATTTAACCCGCAAGAGAAAGTGTGTGAAGATAAAAACGAATGACGTAAAGTATCATTTAATCGTAGTAATGTGACTAATGCCCGATTTCACCAACATCCCATAAGCTACCACCTACGTATGGGATCCCTAGCTTAAAAGTTCCCCTAAACTAGCCCCTAAATTAAATCTCGTTTTACCATCGTCAGAGCCCGTATTTCTATTACCTATATTTAGGTGGCATTTTAACATTTAGGTGACCCCTAACTGTTGGTGAAACAGAAACTGTCCCCTAAAACAGCCCCCTAACCATGCTTAGGGGATCCCTTAAACTTAGGTGACGTTGGTGAAATCGGCCATAAGACACTGGTATAATCTAAAAGATGTATAATTTAGTAACACAATCTGCAAGCATCATTTTTATATACATAAATCTATATGATTTTAGAAATCAAAACGAAACATAATACATATGTATTGTATAGTTTATAAGAAGCGCGAAAAAAAAAACAAGAAATAACGTTTTAATTCTGTAGGTACTATATAAAATACAGTAAAAAAAATATATTTTAATATGTCTAAAGAAAAAATATAGTCTTATGTGTGAATCCATGAAATAACTTTCTTTTTTCCTTATTTTATTTAAACCCGTGGTTCCATTAGAAATATTAGAACGTGGAGATGTAACGAATATGCACACTCACAATATTTTATGGATATTTAATGAATTAATGAATTGTTTTAGCTCATCTGTTGGGAGCTACGAAATGTACGTGGGGTCCTTCCTATTGGTGCAGCAACTTCAGGTAATTAAAAAACGTAAAATATTGTATTTTTAATTTAAATTGTAAACTATGTCATACATACTATACATCATACATACCTAACAATTATAATAGAGCTTTGCAATTATTATAGAGTTTAAAAAAAACTAAAAAAGAACACGTAATTGACAAACTGTAGTTAATAAGTTCTGTCAGAACTGTCATTCGTAGCAGTCGTGTTTAGCTTATTAATAAAATATAATCATGTTTTTTGCTTATAATGCTAATAGTAAAACTGTATAACCGTTTTGATGGCAAAATGTAGCTATCTGTTATAATAACTGTGAAGTGTAGTGCTATTTAATATCAAAAAAAGTGTGAAAATCTTAATTTAGTATCAAACTTATAAACCTCTTGGTTTTTGCTATTTTCAAATACCCACTTGTTACCATAAATGTGATCATAACAAATAACTTGAATGTAATATTATGAATTTTCACTATAGTCATTAAAGCTGCAATGGTATAGTGGTGACAGCAAAAGATTCCTGCGTATCGTCGATCCGATAAACCCGAGTTCAAATCTCACTTAAAATATACTTGTTTAAAATTTTTATTCGTTTCTTTCTAAAATATAAAATATGAAATATAGTTGTTGTAAGTCGACAAGTGGGGGAGCCACTGATCGTATCACATGTATACAATGCAAATGTCACTATCATATACAATGTTTGTTTCCTTCCAATGAAAATAACGAAATATCCAATGAATTAAAAAAAAAATGGACTTGTCCAACATGCTCTTGCACCCGGCGTGGTCTTAATACAGACAATACACCAGTTCGGTCCTCTCCCTTGGGTTCAAGATCTGTTAAAAATACAAATATTAACATGCAAAGAGGAGGGTCTGCAATTAATCAATCTCCAGAAACGATGGATATTGGAAGGGAATTTAATTTTACTATAGATGATATCAAACATATTATTTCCTCAGAAATAGCGAAATGGAAATCAGACTTGGAGTTAACCATTAATAACCTTGTATCTTCCTTTCTGCAGCCTATTAAGGAAGATATAGTTAACCTAAAGGATAGTATATCTTTTATCAACACTAAGTACGAAGAAATAAATCAGAAAATTGCTCACTTTGAAAATGAGATAAAAGTATTGTCTGCTCAATCAAGTAGTTTAAACGATTTGAGAATTAATTTAGATAGCATGGAAGCGGAGAATAACAAACGAGAACAATGGGTACGTAGATCTAACGTAGAGATTTATGGAATACCTGAAAAGAAAAACGAAAATCTAATGGAGCTCCTACAATCAATATCTAGTCATATAGGTTATCAGGTGAATCCTGCAACGGATATTGACTTTATCACAAGAGTAGCGCCAACTTCTAGAGAAAATCGTCGGTCAAAACCTATCATAATAAGATTTTTATCCCGCTGGAAAAAGGATGACTTTTTGTCTATAGCTCGAAAAAATAAGTTGAAATGTAGCGATCTTGGCTTTTCTGGAAATAATTCAAATATATATTTTAACGATCATCTGACTAAGAGTAATAAAAACTTATTACAAGAAGCCAAAAAGTTAGCCAAAGAAAAGAGTTTTCTGTATGTTTGGGTTAAGAATTGTACAATCATGGTCCGACGTTCTGACACTAGCCCCGTATTGCATATTATAAATCAAAGTGATTTAAAAAAAATAGCTTAAGTGTTGTTTTCCCTTTGAAAAATTCTATTATACTGCATGTCATATTTTTATTCGATTTATTTATTACTAATGGTCTATTTTATATTATTAAAATGTATAATTTAACGTATTGCGAGGACATCTTAAAGTTTAAACTTATTTTTAATTTAACGCGAAGTTATTCAACAACAATAATTCGATTTTATTTTAACTATGGGATTTTTTTGTTAATTTATTATAAATATCAACTAAGAGAAATTAATATTTATTTTAGCAATGGATAACCGTCTCTCAATCTACTATCAGAATGTACGTGGTCTTCGTTCTAAAACCAATATTTTCTATCGAAATCTTCTCAAAACTGATTATCATATAATATGCTTAGCGGAGACCTGGTTATTGGATGGGATTTTCAGCGAGGAGTTATTTGACTGTCGATACTCCGTATATAGGTGTGACAGAAACTATGAATTACGTGGAGACTCTATGGGTGGTGGAGTATTAATCGCCGTTAGACGTGATATCTCCGTACGTTCTGTGAATACTGTTTTAATAAACAATGCAGTTGCTGATGTTGTAAAAGTTAAAATAAGTCTCAACATTGAGGGCAAAACGTCTTTTCTTAATGTTTTCTCATGCTATTTTCCCCAATGCAGACTTCATTACGAAGCTCTATGTAACTTTTTTGAGTATGTTTCAAATGATATCGTTAAAGAGCCGGATGATTATTATTTTATTGCAGGTGACTTCAACATCCCAGATGCTACGTGGGATTACAATAATTCGATGATGAATATAGTCGAAACGAATCTTAACAATCATTTAGTGTATGCGCTTTCAATGTTTTTAAATTTTACCAACTTAAAACAGTACAACTGTATTCCCAATGTTAATGATAGATACCTAGATCTAATTATAAGTAGCTGTACTTGTATGGTTATTCAATGTCTGGAACCCTTAGTTCAAGAAGATTGCCATCATCCAGCTATTGTAATAGATTGTCAAATATTTACTACTCCTATACTTAATCCACTCGCTAAAACTTTACGTCAATTTCGAAAAGCTGATTACAATATAATTAACACCAAAATCGAAGAAGTGGACTGGAATAGATTACTTTTTGATCTTGATGTCAATTCAGCGGTGGCTAAGTTTTATCATGTTCTTGAAGAGATTATATCGGAGTTTGTTCCTTGTAGGGTAAATACAGGCAACAAGCAATTCCCTTCTTGGTATTCTAGAGCGCTTATTAAAATAATTTCTGAAAAACTCAAATATCACAGAAGATGGAAAGTATATGGTAGGATTGGTGATTATGACACTTTTAGCATGCTACGGGAAAGACAAAAAAGAGAACAGGTTGCTTGTTATGATATGCATATTTATAGAAGTGAAGAAATGATATTACAGCAAAGTAAATCTTTTTGGTCTTTCGTTAAATCGAAAAAGTCTTGTAACGAGTTGCCGGCAACAATGTTCCTGGGCGATGTCTCGGCATCAGATGGTGAGAGTATTTGTGCTTTGTTCAGTAATCACTTTCAGTCAGTATACCAGCCTAACGCTTTTGACAGTGATATTAAATTTAACAATAACATTGATCCAACTATGCATGATGACTTGTCTATCGGTTCTGTTGAGTTATCCCCCAGCATTGTACATAAATATTTGAAACAGTTGGATCCTAGTAAGGGTATTGGCCCTGATCTCATCCCTCCTTTCTTTTTGAGAATGTGTAGTGTGAGTCTGTCCCATCCTCTCTTTTTACTATTTAATAAGTCTCTTAAATCTGGAATTATGCCCACCACATGGAAGCGTTCTTTTGTAGTGCCAATTTATAAATGTGGAAGTAAACATGACGTCTCTAACTACAGGCCTATATGTAAATTGAGTGTGATAGCTAAACTATTTGAAAAAATTATATTTGATTATATTTACCCTTTTTTAAGTTCACGTCTTATTGAACAACAGCATGGGTTCATTAAAAACAAATCTACTGAAACAAATTTGAACGAATTTATTCATCGTGTAACATCTGACATGGACTGTGGTGGCCAGGTAGATGTCGTGTATACGGACTACTCCAAAGCTTTTGACAAAATTCCTCACTCTTTGCTTATCCGTCGACTCACGGAGGTCGGTATACACGGCGATCTCCTGCGTTGGTTTGCCTCTTATTTACGAGAGCGAAGTCAAGCTGTAACTATAAAAGGATTTTGCTCCTCATTTGTGCCAGTCGCATCAGGCGTTCCTCAAGGCTCGCATCTCGGGCCTCTGCTTTTTAATATCTTCATTAATAAAATTCATTTAATATTTAAACATTCTGAAATTTTGTTATACGCTGACGACATGAAGATCTTAAGGACTGTCAATAAAAATGACGATTGTCAATTATTACAAAGTGATCTTGATAGGTTGTGCCAATTTTGTAATAGTAATGGTCTTATTCTTAATATTAAAAAATGTAATGTCATAAGTTTTTCACGTAAGACCAATATTGTCAAATACGATTACACCTTGAATAATAATTCAATTAAACGTGTTACTGAGGTGAGAGATTTGGGTGTATATCTTGATCATAAACTTACTTTTTCTAGCCATATAGACCACATTGTTGGTAAGGCACATCGCATGCTAGGCTTTATACTCAGAATAGGAAAAGATTTTCGTAATAATTCTACTTTAATTGTTCTATATAATGCTTATGTCCGTTCTATACTTGAATATGCTTCTTCCGTTTGGAATCCACAGTACAGTAAATATATAAATAGAATTGAAAACATCCAGATTAAATTTAATAAGCATTTATTATATAGATCAAAAAACAATAATCAGGAATTTCCTAATTTAGTCTCCCTATTGGATCGCCGACGCCTAAAGGATGAACTTTTTCTATTTAAAATTATCAGAAATCATGTGCATTCACCATTTCTTTTAAGTAATATTTGTTTAAGATGTCCTCGACCGCAATCACGTAATTTGTCATTATTTTATCTACCTAGAATAACAACTAATTATGCACGTAATAGCTTTATATACCGTTCTTGCAGATTGCATAATGAAATATTTAATGACATAGATTTATTTTCCCTTTCTTTAAATAAGTTCAAAATTTTAACCAGAAGTGTCTGTTCGTGATTTCCCCGTTTTTTTTTTGTTATATACTTTAATTTTTAATTTTAATAAGCTAACATATACCTACCTTAAGAATGTGTAAACGGTGAAGACTTAATTGGTGTATGTATTTTTTTTATTTCTTTTGTTTATAATATGTAACATAATACTGTTTGTCTTCCAAATAAATAAATAAATAAATAAATAAATAAATAATAAAAGGGACATATACACACAAGTCAAACCCATAACCCTCCTTTGGGCTTAGCCGCAGTCGGACAAAAAGAAGCGAAATCCGATGTTTTAACTAGTATTTGAAATAAAATGAAATAAACTTTATTCAATTAGACAAGTACTGTTGAATCGGCAATTTAATGAAAGCGTCAGTGTAGTCAGTCCGTGAGGAAGCTACCACCGGCTCGGAAAGCAGTTCTGCTGAGAAGAACCGGCGAGAAACTCAACAGTTGCTGTTTTAATTATCAAAGTTACTTTTATTTTATTAACATAACATTATAGATAGCCTGCATATGAGTCAATATCACTCAATTCAACAAATTTTCATCAAAAAGAAACTCTTGAACAGTTATAATAGGTACGCTTTGCTCAATAAAATATATTGAACTAGCGGACCCGACAGACGTTGTCCTGTCTACACGTCTTTAATTTGAAAATTTCAAACTTTTTTTAATATTTTTTTTTGATGAAAAATATTATTCAAATTGTGAATCTAAACCATTCCCAGATCCCCTTGAACACACACAAAAAATTTCATCAAAATCGGTCCAGTCGTTTGAGAGAAGTTCAGTGACATACACACTCACAGAAGAATTATATATATAAAGATTTTATCTTTAAATTTTTGAAATGGTAAATCTAGGACATTTTGTGGAATCTTATTATATATCTGTATACTCAAGCACATGAAGGATTTATTCACCTTTTGGAGTATTTATTGAAGAGTTCCACTATTAGCTTCCTAAAGCCCTATAAAGCATTAGATTGTATTGTCATTTGGATATCACATCCCCTACATTGTTTAAAATAGATACAATTAGAAGTAAGTTAAAGTCGACTTTCAAGATTTGATTGCATAATTAATGACGTAACGGTATGGTCATAGAATTATAATACCTTTACTTTTCGCTTTCTTTTTTTCTATAACATTCGAGTTTAATCAACCTATTGAACCACGTTAGTGTTAAAAGTATAAAATCACGAGACAATCTGTTTATTTTTAACATATATGTTACTACTATATAATTAACATATTATTACACTCTACCAAAATGTTTTACTAAGAAATTAAATTTTCGCTAAACAGAAACTCACTAAACATAAACATAACCCTCCTTTGGACTTAATCGCAGTCGGGTAAAAATAAGCAGAACAGAACTTTTAAGTAGTCTACTGAGAAACTTAATATGTACTTAAAAAAAAAAAAAATTTCATACAAAACGTTCAATTACATAGTACATTATCAACTGACGGTCACGTAAAGACAACAGACATTCTAACATCAATAAATCGTAACGTAGCAATAATATTGATTTGAAACGTGTTAGTGGTGTAACGACGTGGTCGAGTATAATTCATTTAGAGTTCAGCCGATAGCATTTGTTGTTATAACATAGTATATGTACATACATATACTATACATACCTATGTACCTATGTAATTATATATATATATATATATATATATATGTAATTGTATATCCAAATATATATTATACTAGCAGAACCCGCGGCTACGCTCGCGCTAAAACTACAAAAAAAAACACTAAAAATACAAACTTTCATGCCCTATTTTACCCCTTTATGAGATGAATTTCGGAAAATGCTGAAACACGTATTTATTTAATTGTATTGAAGAGCATTAATACCAACTTTCAAGTAATGCTGATCATAAATATTTTTTTCGGTTGTATTATAACGTGTTTTCCCGTGGGAAATAGATGATCTCACGCTGTAAAAAGTAGCCTATGTCACTCTCCAGCTCTCCAACTATCTTTACATAAAAAATCACGCAAATCCATCATTCCGTTTTCACGTGAAAGAAGGACAAACAAACGCACTTTCACATTTGTGATATTAGTATGGATTTTGTGTTATTTTATAGCTTTTCTGGGATAAGAGAGACGTTGATGCATGTTTAGGTAGAAAAAAAAGAAAAGGTTAAATCGAGTTTAGGCTAAATTTCATTATTACATTAACTATTTGTTTGCATACTTTATTTTCTAACTTAAATCCTTACTAAGAATCGTTTTAAAAGGTTCAATACTTACATACAACTAAATCAAATAATTCAACTAAAGCGCCCTAAACAACTGTTACATATTATGTTAAATAATAATTGGGAGCAAATGTGTACTTGTAATTTGTAAATAAGATTGACTCCTTTGATAGTAATCTATACATATAATAAAATTGTAACTAAGCCGTCCGTCCGTCCGTCCGTCCGTCTGTCTTACTGTCTGTCTGTTACCGCATCACTAGAAAATCACTGAACAGATTTTGATGAAATTTGGTATGATGATAGCCTGGTTATCGGGGTCAACATATATGATACTTTTTACCACGGGAAAATATTATGTGATTCCTGAGAAAAATACAAAAACCGCATTGTAAGAGTATACTAATATGTAAAACCTAAGAATTTGGTTTTTGGTCATCTGAACGCGGGTGGAGCCGCGGGCAATGCTGGTTTAGGTATAAATTATATAAGTATTACTCATTGACAGAGATTCGAAATAGATGTAACAAAAATGACCTTAAAAAACATGAACATAATTATATACAAGAGTTATCTGCTGTGTGTAGCTTGCGCGGTATCTTCGCTAAATGAGAACTGATTATCATAATTTTCTTGATAAAAAGAAACAACCAAAAAAGTTTATATTAAAGCATTAACCGAACAAAGTATTAACTATTAAGTGTTACAACCAAATAAATTTCATTATTTAAACAATAGTACCTGGGCGACCTACCTTTCCTCGAAGATTTTCGTGAAAGGTACAATTTTCTTTTTAATTTTGCTTGAAAACAAAAAAAGACCGGACCTGTGATTGTCAATCTTGCGTTTTGGCCGCTTGACCACGATGCTTATGTTCTAGCGTGCGAAATTGCGAACATATTTTACATGGAATAATGCGAAAGAAAACCTCATGAAAACTCGAAAACAAGCGTTTTTCCAGACATAGACCAATTTAAATCGATTTTTCGCCCCCGAAAACGCCCACATGCCAAATTTCTGTGAAATCATTAGTGTATAAATAAATAAATATACAAGAATCGCTCGTCTAAACATATTAGATTTTTATTTAAAAAATACTTATTTCAAACAGTACCGGTCGGGAATGCAAAATGACACACCACTGCGTACAGCGCGTGTGGTCTAAGATGGCGTACCCGCAAGACGATGATGGTATCTGCAAAATTTGCAAGGACATGGTGAAACAGGCTCGCGATCAGCTACAAAGCAATGAAACACAGGTAATAACTAATAAACTTTTCTCTTCTAGCTTATGTAGTTATAATGCAAGACTTTCAAGGAATAACATAGTAAGAGAATTCAATTTTTGGCAATTCAAATATATTTGATTTTGGTCCAATGTTTCGGAGCCGTCAAAACGAATATAACGAGCCATAACTCGAAGGTGTTATTTGTAACCATTGAAATATCCTTCACATCTTGGTTTCATATGGTATTGGCATTGGCATATAGATATCACATAATACATATTTTAAAACCGATACGAACGTTAGAAGTAGAAGTTTAAATCGACTTCCAAGATTTGATTACATAGTTACAAATGAAATTAATAGAAGTGCGTTAAACCTATCCCATGAATCACAATAGACTGAGATGTGCTATTGTACTGATGTACTTAATATCCCGGAAATCATCCCTTAAGGGGGTGGAAATGGGGATGAAATTTTGTATTAGGAAGCAAGCTAGGGACCAACCCGAGCGAAGCTAAGGTGAGTCGCTACTTATTAATATAAATAAATTCATTGTCTATATATATTAAGAAAAGACATTGTTTTAATTCAGGCCATATAGGGAAATATTAGCGTGAAAATATATACATGTAACTTGATAGGTAGCATTTAAAATTTTCCTCTCTAACATCCTGTTATTTAATATTTTTTTTCTTCTTCCTGCCCATTTCCCAAGTCATTTGGGGTCGGCGCAGTAAGTCATCCTCTTCCATTCTCCCCTATTACTCGTCATCTCATCATTCACCCCTTTCTCTTTCATGTCTTGTCTCACACAATCTATCCATCTTTTCTTCGGTCTTCCTCTACCTTTCCATCCATCTACATTCATTTCCATCACTCTTCTCGTCACATGCGTTTCATCCCTCCGCTTCACATGCCCATACCAACTAAGACGATTCCCTTTCAACTTCTCTGTCACTGGTGCTACTTGTAAGCTTCCTCTTATGTACTCATTCCTTATTTTATCCATCCTCGTCACTCCACACATCCACCTTAACATTCTCATCTCAGCAGCATGCAATCTTCTTTCATCAGTCTTCTTTGTAGCCCAGCATTGCGATCCATACATAACGATTAATATGTAGTACAATAATAATAAACAACACTGTTAACCATGCAGATTAACAATGTGTTTAGAAATAACGACTAAATAATTTGTATTATGTTTAAATGAAAATTATTATTAAATATAAACATTAAGTTATTTAAGGTGCAATAGTAATGATAATGAACTAGCAGAACCCGCAGCTTTACTCGCGCTAACACAACAGAAAAAATCTAAAAAAGTATGTTTCATACAAACTTTCATCCGCTATTTTACCCCCCTTATGGCATGAATATCGAAAAATGCTAAAACACGTATTTATTTAATCGTATTGAAGAGTATTAATACTAAGTTTTACGTAATATTGGTCATAAATAAATTTGGATTGTATTATAACGTGTTTTCCCGTAGGAATGAGATTACTCCCACGGTAAGAATTAGCCTATGTCACGCTCCAATCCTCCAACTATCTCCAAAAAAAATCACGTCAATCCGTCACAACGTTTCAACGTGAAAGAAAGACAAACAAACAAACACACTTTCACATTTATAATATTAGTATCGATTTTAAAGATGTGAATATAGGCGAAGTCGTTTAATTGTATTCTTTATCTGCACGAGTTTTAAATAACCTACTGGTAGCCTTATTTTAGTTCGTGAAATATTTCTAAACCTATACCAGTGTTTCTTCATACTCTGATTGATAAGTTGATTTATTTACAACAAATAATCCTTTGAATTTACAGAGGATTGATGAACTAAATATATAGTTATTAAACAAAAAGCCTAGAAACAAATTCTAACATTTAATATTTTAATATAGCCAAGATCAAGATCTGCTAAGTCATTGTGGCCTTGCAAGTTATAATGATGTTAAATTCTAGTGTCATTGTTTGTGTATGAGTATAAAATTTCCCTTACACGTCCTCGGTTTTATTTTTATATCATTAGTATATTAATAGCTTATACCCGCGACGCCACTCGCATATTTTTAGAAAGTTTTAAGTTTGTATGAATTGCAAAAAAGAAAATTTTCAAAAACTGGCAGTTCCAAACATTAATGCTTTCACACAAACGAAAATTAACTCGAGTATCGTTTAATTTTACATCAATATATGCATTATACTTCATTTAATATACACAATTTAAAAATTGTCTTAAATTAATCCACTTATTAACACACTTAGAACAAAAGAAGTTAAATTTTAATTTTAAAATTATCTTTGGCTAAGTAATTAAAGCCTACCTATTAAATACATACCTAATCAAATATTTTCGAAATCGGTGCCAGCCCATACAAAGCAAAGCACACCGACTTCGAAAATATTTGATTAGGTATGTATAGTAAATGAAAACTACCAATCAGTTACTTTTTACTTTTTAGTGCTTTTGTTTGAAGTCGGTTTTTATTTTTTTGTTAAAAAGTTTTTATTTTATTGTTTTATTTGGCTCTATGTAGGTATGGTTTGACCATCTTACATACATAGTTCGACGACCGATAACACGTTAATGGAACTAATGAATACTATTTGTTATTTATTTTTAAATAACTCTTTATTATTATTTATAACTGTTACTATAGTTATAAGATATGTATTATTATTATTATATACATATTTATCTTTGAATGGTTACAATGAGTTATTTTTATATTCTAATATGAACGGTTATATTTATTGATTTGTCATAAATTATTATACCCATATAACAGAGAAAATATAATATTTTTAAACTTGTATTTTAATATTATACGTATTTTCTAAATATAATTTTAAATATATTTGAGTCTGCTCAGATAATAATAGATATTTTTTAACAAACATTTTTATAATACCGATGTCATGATCAATATTTTAAGGTTATGTCATCCTTCTATAAGTACATGTGTGAAATAATTATTATGTCGAGATTAAATTTGTGCTATTATTATGTTATAAAAAAATATTTAAGCCCGACATTTGGGATAAATCAATAGCTACAACATATAAACACAGAATATGTAAATACAAATTGTTTAGGTGTTATATTAAAATGAGTTAGGATAGTTTAAACGTAGTATAAGTAAATTCAATTTTTTAATGCTTTCTTAGATTTACGCGAATATTTGACATTTTAAATAAACTATCTTTTCGGATTATTTCGCGGATTTATTTTGATTTTTGGTTCCCGACGTTTCGAATACTTTACAGCAATCATGGTCACGGGAGAGACTGTCTGTAAACCCAAAATCAAAATAAATCCGCGAAATAATCCGAAAACGAAAAGATAGTTTTATTTAAAGTGTCACATGTTTAACGTTAAAAAACGTATTTATTAACAGGAAGAGCTAAAAGAAGTTTTTGAAGGGGAATGCAAATTGATTCCAATCAAGATCGTGACAAAGGAATGTATTAAATTGGCGGACGATTTCGTGCCAGAATTGGTTGAGACTTTGTCCTCGGAAATGAACCCTCAAGCGGTTTGCTCGGTCGCCGGACTCTGCAACAACGCCAATATTGACAATCTTCTAGAAGACTATGTAAGTTCTTTTTCGTCCTAATTCTTTGTCTATTCCTCGCTGTTATCTCTTTCCATTTAAATAAATAAATAAATATGTTGGCACATTAACCCAGCACCGTCTAGTTCCATGGTAAGCTATAGAACTTAGCTATAGAACCAAGGACTGTGTTATGGATACCAAATAGTTGATACACTGCACATATTTAACTTTGTATACATGCATATTATAGATATAAACACACATGACTGGAGTACAAACATTCGTGCTTATCACACAAATGAATGCCCCCATCGGGACTCGAACCCGCGACAGCTGTCACAGCAAGTAGGGGTCACTACAAACTGAGTAAAACGTGACGTCAAAATTTACAGAAGTGAATGTCTCCATAAATACCTGCTATTTTTAGTGAAATATTTGTTGTTAGTTTTAAATTAAAGTGGCTTGACTGAAAATAATCAAGAAATTACGTACTAGTGAACTTAAAATTATAATAGCAATATTCAGACATTCAAATAGGCACGATATAATACAGAAAATTCATCATTTGATACTTAATAGTATCTTCTTTGGCTCTTTTTTTATACTAGATGCTATTAGTAACGCAATCATAAAACATAGACTATACACATCTATAGTAAGGACATACAATGTTGCCCTCAGAAGTTAAATTTTTACTACTTTTCCAACAGATGCGAAACCATTTTATTTATTAACATCTAATAATAAGCCATTATAGAGAAAAAATCTAATAATAGAATCTGATCACTGTCATCCATATTTTCAGAACACAGCCTTAAAAAACAGGGAGGGATGTTCCAACTGCAAAAGAACTGTCGGTATTATGAGGAAACGCTTTGATGAAACTACTTATGAAGATTTTCTAGTTGGACTGCTTCAGGTGAACATATATTATTTGTATAAAAAGTTAATAATATGAAATATAACAAAAATATAAAATTAAACAAAATTAAAAATATAACAAATAAATAAAAAAAAATTAAAATATAAGATTAAATGAAATACACGTGCTATATGTTATTATAATAAAATACATAATATGTATTACATATACCGAGTATAACAAAAATATTTAATCAATGCAGTGACTCAATTGATATTATCAACTCCTCAATTTTGGTATTTAAAAAGAATGTTTCTTAGCAACTTTTAAGTATAGCAAATCAGTACTTCGTCTTTCTGTTCTCTTTAGTTTATAATTACCAATATATAATAATTATAATAATATTTTTTTGCAGGCATGTCAAAAATTAGGCTCCCTATCAGACTCCTGTTCAATGCTCTCCTTCAAGTACTACGAGAACATAATAGCTGGCCTCAAGAAGGATTTGAACCCACAGTCCGTGTGTCACCTCAGTGGGCAATGCAGCCATCTCTACCACTCTCACAACCTGTACACTTTCCCCGAAGATTCTAAACATTTCAAGGCCTCTGAGTAAGTTATAATATTAATATCTTTGGCATATATACATACAAGAAATCCATCACAATAAGGAATATGCGTGTGATTTAAATTAAGGTGATATATTTTTTATAATTTTTATTGCTTTTGAATTAAGCCTATATCAATATTTTTCAATGTAATTTTTTTTATTAAGAAAATAATTTTTAAAGTGATATAGGTGAGAAATTCAAAATAGTCGAAACGCACGTCATTGGTCAGACTGAATATGACGTCAAAGTATTATCATAACAGAGCGATTTTGTTGCTACAAATTGAGTCGTGATTTCTTTGTGAACATCACACTGACGTCACGCCAAGCGCGCGAAATGGCGCGTTTAGAATATCCGCAACGGTACGATATTTAAAAAAAATGGACTAAATTGTAGTTTTTGGAGCTGGATATTTTTTTGTACAATTATATAACGATGTTAGCTATTGTATTAAAAAAAAATTGCGCATATTTATATTTCTAGGTTTTGGATGATGATTACGTCAGCAATATTTATTTATTTATATTGGATTTTCTGCAAAATCGAATAACTTTGATTCGTCCAATCAAAATAAAATAAATGTGCATTAAATTCCCCTATGGCCTATAAGCCTATAAATACCTTATTTCTAGACTTGATGATAACTGCTGTATATGAATAACAATCAAAAAACCTGAACAGACTAATGCCCGATTTCACCAACAACCCATAAGCTACCACCTATGTATGGGATGCCTAGCTTAAAATTCTCCTAAACTAGCCCCTATATTAAATTTCGTTTTACCATCGTTTTTAAGCCCATATTTCCAGCACTTAAATTTAGGGGGCCTTTTAACATTTAGGTGACCCCTAACAGCCCCCTAACCATGCTTAGGGGATCCCTTAAACTTAGGTGACGTTGGTGAAATCGGGCATAAGATATATATGTATCAATGTTTACGTAAACATAGGAAGGGGGAGTAAGAGCTTTGCTTACTTTTGCTGACAAGGGGTACGGAGGGGGTAATCTATACATATAATAAAATTGTAACTAAGCCGAATCTGTACATTCAATATTTTTTTGGAAAATCTTATTGAAATAAACATAATTATCGATACAGAGGCCGAATATATAGTTTTTAGAATTTTTCTCTGTCTGTCTGTCTGTTACCGCATCACAGCAAAACCACTGGAGGGATTTTGATAAAATTTGGTATGGTGATAGCTGGTTATCCGGGTCAACAAATAGAATGCTTTTAACCGCGGGAAAATATCTTATTTCTGAGAAAAAATACAAAAACTGCAATGTAAGAAGATACTAATATGTAAAACCTAAGAATTTAGTTTTTGGTCATCATAGTGCGGGCGGAGTCGCGGGCAATGCTAGTAATTACTAAAATTCTGCTTACGTAATACTTGAATTGCCCCTGACACGTTTTTTCCGTTTAGCATTCATTCCCCAAGTATGCTGAATGACGTGCGATAAGAATCTTCTATCCAGTAAAACATAAATAATGTTAATTTCAGTGACATCCCGTGTGAGTTCTGTGAACAAGTGGTCGAGCACCTGCGCGACACGCTCGTCGCCAACTCCACTGAACTGGAGTTCCACAAGATACTTACTGGTCAGTTATTATTATGTACTGTTTTCTCTCTAACCTTATGATATTCACGGTCTTTTCCTCGTTGAAAATATAATTGTACATTTATTTTATTATTTTAATCTTTACTAATATTACATAAAAAGAGGCAAGAGTTAGTTTTTTTGTTTGTTTGATGTTACAAGGAGTAACTTAGGCAAGTTTTATTTTATCATAAGAATTAAGGTTTCGCGCAAAAAAATTAAAGCCTATGAAATTGTAAACAAAATTCACGTAGCGCGTAGTTGTTAATACGATAATATAATTTTACCGGTGGTAGGACTCTGTCAAGCCTGAGGAGTCCGACTGGATGGTACCACCCCCTTATCTATTTCTGCCGCCAAGCAACAATGATGACATTGTTGTGTTCCGGTTTGAAGGATAAGGTAGCCAGCGCAATTATAGGCAAGAGGCATATCAACTTAGTCCTCACAGTGACAACGCACCTACGGTTCTGCATTTTGTTACATAAAATCTAAGTGCATGAACCGTATGCGTTATGGGCGACACTTACTGCTTTCCACCAGGTGGTCTGTCTGCTCGTTTGTCACTGAACACCATAAAATAATAATAATAATAATATAATTTTTACACAGGTGTATGCAAACACACCGGCGAGTTCAAATCCGAGTGCCTCCAGCTCGTAGATCAATATTTTGAAACTGCCTACAATTTCTTAGTATCCGAAATGAAAAGCGCTGAAGTATGCAGCTTAATGGGAATTTGTACGAACAAGACTGATGTGGACATTGCGCCATTGCTACCGAAGGAACTGGCTATTAAAGCTGTGACGATGTCCACCAGACTTATTGGCCAAGATGAGGCAAATAGCTACGTAACGCCCGCGGTAAATGTTATGTTATTATTAATTAGTTTAATATTTACAAGGAATATTGATTAATTCATTGTTGTAGTTATTTTAAATGAAAATTTTATAGGATTGTTAAGGGGCTTAAAAATAGCTATAATGTTGCACGCTGATTTCGATTGTGAGTTTTTTTTTTCATATTATGTTCTACTCGAAATTTAAGTCTTATCTATACATATAATAAAATTGTAACTAAGCCGAATCTGTACATTAAATATTTTTATGGAAAATTGTATTGATACAGACATCATTATTGATACAGAGGCCAAATCTATAGTTTTAAGAATTTTTGTCTGTCTGTCTGTCTGTTACCGCATCACAGAAAAACCACTGGATGGATTTTGATGAAATTTGGTATGGTGATAGCTGGTTATTTGGGTCAACATATAGGATACGTTTTACTGCGGGAAAATATTTAAAAACTTAACTGAATGCTACAAAATACTTAAACTTAACTGAGGCATTTATTGTTTTAATTAAGATTTAATTCTTATATTAACAAATAACTCTTTCGCAGCCCTCAAAGAAACAAGAGAACATACAAATAATGGGTACTGAAGTAACTCAAGTGCCAGTATTGCCGATAGAGAGAATGTTCGTGTCTGTGCCGCGCTCCGACACCATATGTTCCTTCTGCCAGTACTTCTTACACTATATACAAGTGGAGCTCAGTGATGACAATACTGAGGTAACCTCTTTGTGTTATATGTTTTCCTGGTATATGTAATATTATACGGATATATTACTAGGTAAATTTGTTTATTTTTGAAGTTATACTTCTTGTGGCACGTTTGGAAAAAAATATGCCAACCCAAAAGCGACATGATTTCTTTTACAAACAGAGAGTGGTGACATACGGAATGAAATTTTTAGCTGTTTTTGATCTATTACGGCAAAGAAGTATAACTTCCTACGCGCTTACATAAGTACACACACACGTTTTTTAGGGTTCTGTAACTCAAAAGGTAAAAAACGAACCCTTATAAGATCACTCTCTTGTCCGTCTGTTTGTCTGTGTGTCATCACCGATTTTCTCAGGAACGGGTGGACTTATCCATTTGAAATTTATACCAGATACTTGAAGTTTATAGTCCCTATTAGGTGTAAATCAAGGTCCCGAGTCAACGCGATAAAAAGATATGGGCAAATTTATATTTTCGCGAAAACTTGTAAGTACCAAAATTTCCTTTATTTTCAATTTTTTTTAATTTTTGGAATTTTCTCTTTACTTGTGCTGTAAGACCTTGCTTTTAACTAAAATCGACAACTCTAGGTCAACCGAAAAAACTGGAAGGTTTTGGGTCGAAACCCTATAAGGTAGTTCCGTTGACCTAGAATCACGAAATTTGACAAAATGCAAGGTCTTACAGCACAAACAAAGGAAAAATTCCTACAAATTTGTACGGAACCTTCTGTGGGCGAGTCCGACTCGCACTTGTCCGTAATTGTTTTTTTTTAATAAACTGCAAGAAAAATATTTGTCAAGCCAATAATAGTAAAAAATAACAATACAGGAGGCCATAAAGAAGGCGGTGGAGGGCGCGTGCGACGTGCTGCCGCAGTCCATCAACGACGAGTGCCGCCAGTTCGTGACGGAGTACGGGCCCGCCGTCATCGCGCTGCTCGTGCAGGAGATAGACCCCGCCAGTGTGAGTCATTGCTTATTGTTATCAATTATATATCTATCTATCTGAAATGAAATAAAAAAACTTAATTCAATTAGACTTATTACAAGTACTTTTGAACTCGACTAGACGTAGACTATCTCGTTTGGGAAACCGAGTAAAGCGGGTTTTAATACTGGGTCTCGCACATTGTTGAGATTTTCATGTGCGAATCATTTCCAACACGATTACCACTTGCCTTACGGTGAAGGAAAACATCGTGAGGAAACCTGCATGTCTGAGAGAACCTAGCAAGTTTTCGAAACACACGCTCAGTCCGCCCGCATTTGGCCAGCGTGCTGGATAACGGCTTGTTCCCCTTAGTATTAAAGGGAGCCTCGTGCCCAGCAGTGGGACGTTAAAAAGAGTTGAATGCTATAAAAGTATTAGTGTAATCAATCATAAATTTTTATTTAAATAATATTTAGCGGCTCGCATCTCAAGCATAGATCAACAGATTACTGATTATCAACAATAACATTTTTTACTCGTTTAGCGGCATCAATAGTTCCTTGAATAGTTGGTGGTGGATCAGACTCATCCATTTCATCTTCTTTATTTTGTTTCCCGTTATATATCACAATATATACTTAGTATCATCTAAAAATGAACACATTTCTTAATAGGGTATAATAGAGAATATGCAAGTGATTAAATAAAGGTGAAATATTTATTGTTATAATATTTATTGCTTTTGAATTAAGCCTATATAAATATTTTTATGTAATTTCTAAGGTAAATTTATAAGAAAATAATTATTAGAAAGTGCAAAAATAGGTGGGAAATTCAAAATAGCTAAAACGCAACGAATGTGACGTCCAAGTAAAAACGTTCTTATGCCAACTAAATTGAATTAATTCTTATGTTATAGGGAGTTTTTAGCTATAACGGGATTATAAAGAGTTTACACTGTTATATTTACCAGGTATGCCCAGCTGTAGGCCTCTGCCCCAAGACGGAGGAAGTTCGCCGCGTCGATATCAACGCGCAGAAGTCCAACTGCCCGCTCTGTCTCTTCGCAGTGGAACAGCTGGAAACCATGCTGAAGAATAACCGCAGTGAGGTACATACATACATATTATTATTACACTGTTGTTATATGACGTTTGGCTCAGTTTGTAGTGACCCCATTTGATGTTCCAGCGGTCGTAGGTTCGAGTCCCGCTGGAGGCATTCATTTGTGTGATGAGCACGAATGTTTGTACTCCAGTCATGGGTGTTTGTATTTATAATATGTATTTAAAGTTGTATGTATAGTGTATCAACTATCTGGTATCCATAACACAAGCATTGTATAGTACTATGGTATTTTGTGTGTGATGGTGTTGTGTGTTAACTGTTAGTGTCTCAATATATTTATTACTAGCGGCTCACCCTCGCTTCGCTCGGGTTCACCTCTAGAAAAGCACAAACAGATCTATCCTACGGGAACCGTCCATTTTTTCGGGATGAAAAGTAACCTATTGTTTGACCGGCAATATAAGGTATCAGCATGCCAAATTTTACTAAGTTAGGTGCATAAGTTGTTGTGTACTAAACTGTATAAGCTCTTTAATTTTCTGGAATGAAAAGTATCTTAGATGTTGACCGGAGATATAAGGTACTACCATGCAAAATTTCATTTAAATCATTTCAATAGTTTCGGAGATTAGCCCGTACAAACAGACAAACAGACAGAGAAACAAAAAAATTGAAAAAAAAACTGGATTTGTTCTATTTCTCTTCTTTCGGGATGTAAGAAGAGAACTGACTCGATTTTTAGCATTTTTTCTAACCTCTACAGTTTTATTACGTATAGAATAAATAACGTATAATAAAAAAGTAATATATAATAATGAAAATAGTTATAGCGAGTGTACCTTAGGAGATAGACATATAATAAGTAGAACTTTTCTATAGACCTTTTTAAGACTTACAATTTTCTTGCACAATGTTTTCATCTATATCTTAGGGTTGAGCAAACGTTAGCCATATAAATTTCTAAGGACGATTCGATAGAACCAGTTATTGAGTTTTCCCGTGGGAATGAATAATTTGCCTGTCGTAAAAGGTATCCTAAATGTTGACCCGAGTACTAATTTATCACTATACAAAATTTAGTTAAAATTCGTTCAGTACTTTTTGCGTAAAACGCGCACATCGATTTGACTAAGTTAGTTTTATTATAGGTATAGATAAGAATAGATATTGCTTAGGAGATATACATATACTATTTAGAACTTTCCTGTAGGACTTTTCAAGGCCTACAATTTTTTAGTATATTGTTTTGATGTATGTATGTAGCCAGCGGAAGGTTTCTAGGGAGGACTCGATAAAACCAGTTATTGTATCTTCCCGTGAAACGCGCATACAAAAACAGACAAATAGACATATAGGCAAACAGACAAACAGACATTTTTTTTAATAACTATTGTTTTGGGGTCTATGTTGTGTACATAATACGTTACAAATAAACAAAAACAACTATCCCACGGGAACTGTATATTTTTCCTGGATAAAAAGTGACCTATTTGTTATTCTGATGTATGAACTATATTATTGTAAAGTTTCATCAAAATCCAATTAGTAGTTTTGTGTACTAAGCTGTATAAGTTACTATAGTTTTTTGACTGTCCCACGGGAACCCTTTAATTTTCTGGGATTTAAAAGTAGCCGATTTGTTATTGTCATGTATGAACTATTATTTTAAAGTTTTATTAAAATCCAATCAGTAGTTTTTGTGTACTAAGCTGTATAAGTTGTTATAGTGTTTTAACTATCCCACGGGAACTATTTAATTTTCCGGGATGAAAAGTATCTAAGATGTTGGCCAGGGATATAAGGTACCACCATGCAAAATTTCATTTAAATCGGTCCAATAGATTCGGAGATTAGCCCGTACAAACAGGAAAACAGACAAACAGCTCGCTCGGGTTCGTCCATACCTACGAATATGTTGTATTATCTCTTTAACCATTTGTCCAAATTATATGCAGTAAAAGGGAAAAGTCTTTTGTTTTAAACATTTTAGACGATAAATTTATTTATTTTGATAAGAATTCATAATTGTTGATAATATGACCAATAAACATGACCTACCGATTTAAATTATTTTTTTAATATAAAAAACTACTTTTTGTGACTTAAATATAAAAGTTAGACATATGCTGTCGCTGACTTTTTTGTAGGCATTATTAAGCTCTACAACTTTTCTCTAGAACATAATCATGTATCTCTCATCGTTAAGGCAGCGTTCGTAAGAAACGTTTTCGTTCGACCGTTTTTTCTCCGACTTACTATGCAAATCCGACTACCACGAAAAAGCCTTTTCATTTTTCGGGTTAATATATAGCCTATGACACTCAGAAAGAACGTGGCTTTCTATTGGTAAAAGAATTTTGAAAATCGGTTCAGTAGATCCAGAGATTACCCCCTACAACGTCACAAACTCACAAACTCACAAACTCACAAACCCACAAACTCACAAGATCACAAACTTTACTTCTTTATAATATTAGTATAGATTATTATTATTTGTAGCAGTTGAACTGCCTTGATGGTCTAGTTGTTAGGACGTACGGCTGCAGGTACGGAAGGCCTGGGTTCGCCTTCGAGACAAGTTCAGTTTTTGGAGTTTTTTTGTCAAGAAATTCTTAGTAAAAAGCTGGAATTGGGATGTCGGTGTTGCATACAACCGAGTTCAGAACGCGTCTCGTCTGTCTGATCTCTCATCGTCAATGTCGAATTGTCATCCTACCCGAGTCTCTCTTTAAAATGTAAATAAACCTAATAAATAAATAGAAAGAAAAGATTGTGCACTTATATATGTGTGTACATTTGTGCACTATAATATCTCCTGTGCATCTGGCTAGTCTCAATGAGATTGGTCACCGTGACAGAAATCGGTCATTGTTTTATTTATATAATTGAGAGTTAAAATGTTTCTTTCTAATCAATCTTGGTATAATAATAAATGTTAGGCAATTTGCAAAAGTAATTTTTTTATGTTTAAGTTTCATGAAGTTAATCTTTTGCATATAGTTAATGTTATTCTTTCTATGACGACGTCCTCTCGTCATAGAGCACATTGTTATTAATTACATAATAAACTAGATCTATGAAAAATATTTTTGCACAGGTTTAAAACAAAAGTTTAGACTTTACTTTCATTCCAACGATAGGTCCTTGAATGTCGAATTCGATAACTTGTGTTATGGATACCAGATAGTTGATACACTACACATATATAACTTTAAATACATACATATTATAAATATGAACACCCATAACTGGAGTGCAAGCAGTCGTGCTCATCACACAAATGAATGTCCCCAGCGAGACTCGAACCCGCGACCGCTGGCACAGCAACTAGGATCACTACAAACAGCCAAACGTGTCGTGATATGGTGATGATAACGTCGGGAACATTTGTATAAAGCTAACAAATTCGATTTCGAATATGATATCTTGGCGACATCATGTCCAGTTTTTAAATTATATTATCGTATACATTAATTTCATAATATTGTATCATACAGGATAATATCCGTAAAGCGTTAGACGGGCTTTGCAATCATCTCTCTACGAAACTGCGCACCGAATGTGTGGACTTCGTGGACACCTATACAAAACAATTAGTAGAAATGCTAGTAGCCGATCTAAACGCTCAAGAAATATGCGTATATCTCAAATTGTGCACGGATAACAAGAAACACATCGATCCTTTGGCCCTAAGTGATTCTGCTAAAGGCAAGACCGAACCCCCGACCCTCGGACATCCGTCCATAGATAAGTTCCACGATAGCCCCATACTGAGAGGCGATAGGAATAATAGACGTCGACCGATGCTGCCTAAATATATGCTGGAAAATGGGGTTGGTGACATAGGTAAGTTATTTTCTTAGTTACGGCCTTTCTCATTCGTTTATTTGAAAAATATTATGTACTAGCAGAACCCGCGGCTTCGCTCGCGCTCAAACTAAAAATAATATGTATCTAGATATCTTACAAACTTTCATCCCCTATTTTACCCCTTTATAACCTATATATTAGATAACCGGTCTGCCCTAGCAGTTAGCCCAACAGTTTGAAAGGTGATAGAATCTGTGTGGCATTTTCCTAACGTCGCAATAGGGAATATGCGTGCGATTTAAATAAAGATGAAATATATTTTTTATAATCTTTATTGCTTTCGAATTGAGCCTATGTCAATATTTTTTAAAGTTATTTCTTTTTGATTAAGAAAATAATTATTAAAAAGTGCAAAAACAGGTGGGAAATTCAAAGTAGTTGAAATGCAACGCCATTGGTCAGACCGAATGTGACGTCAGAGTATATGATAACAGAATAATTAGTGATTTTGTCGCTTACAAATTGAGTACATATATCATTTCTCTGTGTATATCATACTGTGACGTCACGCCCAGTGAAATAACGAGTGTTTAAAGTATTCGCATCGGTATAATATTTTAAAAAATATACTAAATTTTATTTTTTTGGAACTGGATTTTTTTTCACTTATGTAACGATGTAAACTATTGTATAGAAAATTAGAAAGAAAATCATGCATAGTTTCTATTGTTTTTCTTTGCTTGTAGCGCATTATGGAACTGGTATGTAAGTAAAGAAGACAAATAAATAAATATCACTCCATAAAGTGCCCCATTTTTAGATAAAGATAGCCATATGAAAACATTGACAATTGATAAGGACCTAATTACGTGTTAATATATGTTAGTTGTATTTAATAATATTATTATGCGTGGCTTAGCAAGAAAATAAACAAATTGCGGGGATAGGCAGTTTTTATATTGAAAATTATTCTCCATACAAAGTTTTATCTACTATATGGTAAATGAAATTGATCTTTCGAAACAAACGTTTACTGTTTATAATAGTTTGGTTTTTCGATCAAATAATATTTTTTTTTGCTGATTTTCAGTACTTAGCAAAGAGTATTTTATGTAACCAAAGGTTAGCGAAGTAAGGATTTTTGATAATGGATCACCCAACTGGGATAAAAGTTTGGTTATTTTTGAAGTTAGAAATATGAAAATTGATGTTTTAACTCCTATTTAAATATATTGCCGACTAGTGGCTTACCCTAACTTCGGTCGGGTGCGTCGCTAGGAACTTTTTTTTTGAGCGGAACCCTAATCTATATCTTTACTAATATTATTAAGAGGAAAGATTTGTTTGTTTGTTTGTACCGAATAGGCTCCGAAACTAATGAACCGATTTCGATGAAATTAGGTAAGAAGATAGTTTGAGACCCTGGGAAGGACATAGGATAGTTTTTATCCCGGAAATTATCCCTTAAGGGAGTGAAAATGGGGATGAAAGTTTGTATGGGGAAACAACCAAGGGACGAACTCGAGCGAAGCGAGGTTGAGTCGCTAGTTCTTTTTCTTAAGTAAAAGGAGCCCAAGTTACTCCTTATAACATCAGCTATCTGCCAGTGAAAGTCCCGTCAAAATCAGTCCAGCCGTTTCGGAGATTAGCTGAAACAAACAGACAAAATTTTTCTAAATTGTGTTTTTCTTATAAGTATCGTATATAATTTCATATCTATTTAGTAATAATTTATTTATCTATATAGATGGACAATTTCCTAGAACACAATAATTGTCCTGTTAATAGAAAAAAAACGCCGTAACTGCTCTCGTCTTTATTTACAACTTTTTTTTAGCCACAAACGCGATCCCAGACAATACAATAAATGGCCGCCCCATCGAAAAGTCAGATAAAACTATATGCGTTATTTGCGAGTTCGTTCTAAAAGAGATCGATGACCAGATAAAGGATAAGCATAATGATGTAAGTATACTTTTTATCTGCCTATCGATACTAATTTTAAAAATTTGAATTATTTATTTAAAAAACTAAATTATTATCAAATGTATAATCAGCATGTAAGTGGAAAGACATAGCCCTTTGTTTATGAGTGCTTATAAAAAGTATGTCACGCAATATCAATGAAATTATTTAATTAATAGAAGCAAAACTTTACAATGATTTTAATGTGAACTATTGCTAAAACACTTTTTTTCTATTATTTTTTTCTATTAAATATAAATTATAAACGGATTCCGATTGGTCTAATGTATTTATCACTCGTAATATATTTATAATATATAGCACTTAAGTACTAACAATACTTTTTACTCTAACGATAGCATTAAATAACTTTTAGGTTAAAAAATTATTTATTTCCTTGTTTTAACTTTACTTTGCAAGAAATATAAGGCTTCTTTATTTTTTATTTATTATTGCTTATACAATTTAGTAACTCCCAAATCTCAAAAGTATTACTAAAATTGTATATCAAAACCAAAAATTCCAGGACGAAATCAAGAAAGTAGTGCACGGTGTATGCAAGCACATGCCCAAGGCGGTGCGTCCCGACTGCGACGAGTTTGTGGAGAAGTACTCGGACCTGGTCATCAGTCTGCTGGCCCAGGAAATGAACCCGGATGAAGTGTGCAGGGAGCTAAAGCTGTGTACTAGCTCGCTGCAAAAACTGAAAGGTTGTATTTTATACTAGTGATACACTCCTAGCATTGAGATCGTCCATTACTCACGTGAGGCTCGAAAGGGGGGGTGGGGGGCTTTGTTCAGAAAAAATCACCAAACATCATTGGGGGTAGTGAAATAGAAAGAACAGATATAGATTGGCACCTAGAATCCCTAGGTGACTAAACACGGTTAGGACTAAGTTTTAGTAGTATTCAGGTCGGAGTATCATTTTATCCAAATCCATTTTTTTTCAGCTACATCTGCTGAATAGTCTTTTTTTTTTAAATTGCACTCTCTAACATTCTTTGTTCGAATTTATTTTAAAGCATTTAACATGTAAATACTAAAGACATGTTTTAAATTTTTTATTAATTGTTATAGTGTGAGAACGAGGCGTAAGATTAATGATAATAAAAATAATATTTGGAAATTAGCAATGCTTCCTGATCGTTAAATAAATAAATGAAATAATATAATCTCTATTTAACCGACGTCTAAAGTAATAGAGACAAATGAAAAGGGTTTTAATTTAGGTTCACTATATGTAGGTATACCACACAATATCTTCGTCTGTTATATACTGATATTGAGGATTGTTTATAGAATACGCTATACGTTGAAATATTACTACTACCACCACTACCACCATCACCACCACCACCACTACTCTCTCGCTTCGCTCGGGTTCAACAAGATCAAATCTGTCCCGGAATAAAAAGTATCTTTGTGCTAACTTCATCCAAATCCGTTCATCCGTTCTGGCGTGATTGAGTAACAAACATCCATCCAAACATCTAAACTTTTACATTTATAATATTAGTACATATAGAAATATAGATTACTATAGAAGGTTTTTAGATCTAAATGATGAATATTAAATAATTTGATAGCAGAAGAGATCTTGGATTGCGCTGTGTGCGAGACCGTGGTGATGGCTGTGAAGAAGGTTCTCGGCAACGATAAGGTGGACAGGAACATCGTTCATATCGTGGAGAAGGCCTGCAATGCGCTACCAGCTAAATATTATGATAGGGTAAGATATTTATTTTTAGTTTTCATGTTTAATTAATTAATACTTTAGCAATTTACATACATAATTATGAATCATCCGATTATTTTTCTTTTTTCATAAAGATAATGTATTATCTTGTATGTAACCTTCGTATCTTAGGATACGTTATAATTGAAATAACAAATAATTAATAAAAAACATAAAAACCAGCAAAACTAAACTAACTCATAAATCTTTCTAAATATGACCATCCTTTAGGAATAAAAGTAATTTTTCCAATTCAAATAAATATTACATACAAAAATGATATAAGATATTGTAAATTTGAATATAATAAAATATAATTGTACTGAACAGTGCCACACGATGTTGGAGATATACGGCGCGGGCGTCATACGCCTGATAGAGGAGTTCGGCACGAAGGACGTGTGCAAGAAGATAGGCCTGTGCTCGGCCGCCGACGCCGCGCTCGTGCGCATGCGCCGCACTAAGGGGTAAATAATGCTCATAAAAAGGCACGGACGTATGTCTGTGGGTGTTAAATCTTACTCAAAAAACAACAAAGGGGTAACTAATAATTGTCTTGTGTTTATATGTTTATTTATACTTAGTCCCCGGGCGACTGGGAGTTCTTTTTTGTTATATCGTATTTTTAGATAAAAAAAGCTAAACACTTGAATAAATACAAAAAAAAACAAAACTAAAATCTTTGTATCCGACCGGGATTCTAACCCGGACACCTGTGATGGTCAATCTTGCATTTGAAACTGATTAATAATAAATAAAAACTAATTAATTCTTTAACATTTTTATCTATAAATCTTATCCATTTTACATTATATATAGTTTTTTTTCCTATTTATTAACTTAATTTTTCAATTTACAGGTAATGCTGCGCCGCCATCTAAATAAGCAAATTCATTTGTAATCTCTCATTTACTTAAGTCATGATTTTTTTACCAAATGTTTTTTTCCTTTCATTTACTTGCTAGTGTTTCTCTCCATTTGTGACTATTGTAAGTTAAATTCTCTAAGTTTATTATAAGTTTTGTGCCCCTTTATATTTAGTTATTTTGCACGCAAATATGACAATTTTTTTTCACGGCAGTTGATATTCGTCCGATAATCGGATAATTAAGAAATAATCAATACAAAAAAACAAAAAAGTATATATATATATATATATATATATATATATATAAACCCTTTTGTATTTTGCAAAAAAAACAACATTAACCTACCGAACTGGAAACTTATTGTTACAGGATTTTTAAGTCTTTATGTGTTAAAAAAAGCGTTTTAACCTACGCACCTAAAAATGGATTTTATTAGGACAATATTACTGCGTCATAATAAAACAGGATAATTCTATTAATCAGTTGATAAATATTTTTAATTTAAGTCAATTTGATCTTATTCTAAACTTAAAATTTTATCAATATTCTTAAATATCTGTATAACTTGATAAGTTAGAATTGTTTTTTATAGAAACATAAAATTAATCGCAGTTGCAATTTATGAGTATCACAACACCAATAATAGTCAGACAAGTAATAGATTTTTTATTCATCCAATTATCGGACGAATAGACATTTTAATATTATTCTATTTGTTTTATATGTTGAAGTTCTAAATTAATTGAGCAGTTTAAAGTTTGATAAATGAACTAAAGATTTTTTTGGATACAAATTATTTTTACTTCCTTTGTGACGTATGATGCAGTTGTATTTTTTTGGTAATCGATTCAATATCGATTTACTTAACTAAATGACTGACTGAATTCGATTAATCGCTGTATCGATGTAATCCTGCGATGTAGTAGCAGTTTTTTTTATATTAATCCATAATAATTCTTATGGGATCGTTCTCATATAATTACGTAACCATATTTATACCATTCTTACATGTTAGCCTGTGATAGAAAATCTTTTGTAACTAATAAATAAAATTGGGGGAAATGTTTTTTTATTTAAAATGCCCTGTATGTAATCAATCTGATCTAATTAAAACTATATTTTTTTTAAATATATCTACACTTATGACTATTATAAAGAGGAAAGATTTGTATGTTTGTATCGAATAAACTCAAAAACGACTAGATCGATTTAGATGAAATTTGGTAAAAAGATAGTTTGTGACCCTGGGAAGGACATGAGATATTTTTTATTCCGGAAATCATCCCTTAAGGGGATAAAAGTTTGTATGGGAAATCATGTTTATAAAGTTAGCTTTTTTATTAAACGCTATTCAAATTTATTTTTTTTAATCAGCCTAATTACTCGATTTTGAACTAATTCAATTGAATTGGAATTATATTTAACACAACAATCCGTGCAAAAAAAAACACATCCAGTTTCTTTTGAATAACCACTTTAAAAATTAATGTTAAAAATCAATGTAACTAAATTATATCTAACAAGTTGCCCGGGTAATTTGTGCATTAGCTGCGCTCCTAAAATTGAGCGAGAGTTACATACTATCTAGCAGATTAACTCTCAATAAGTTCGAAAAGATAAAATTGTATAATGAATGATTCTTTTAAAACGAACTAGTAGTTACAGAGCGCGTACAAACAAAAACAAACTCATCATTATATGTATATACATACATATATTAATATATAGTATAGATTAATGTAATTATAGACATTTAGAAAGACAATATAATTATAGTCCATAATTTAATATTAAAGATTTAGACATAAATTAAGCGCTAAATCCAAACATTTTAAAAATATTTGCAATTATTAATTATTTAACGATGGACTCTTGAGAAGGCACCGGTGTATGACATTTTTCTTCTTCTCTCAAATCTCGAGGTTGGGGAAGTACTTCCGGTTCATTCGGATTGTGCCGTTTTAAGTGTTCCGCTAGCCATAGAATGGGCTCAGCGGGCCGCTCGTGAGCTAACGCCGTGAGTGCCGGCGACAGTGTGGGTGCTATATATTTCTGAATATAATCGCCAATTTGCCATTGGCGAAGTATTGGCCCAACTATCACTGAAAAAGGTTCATTTAAATTAATGTTTATCAAAATATATAGGTATTTTGTTGATGCTTGAAATGTTTGCTGAATTAAAGTATAATTAAATTAATTATAAGCAAATAATAATATATAGATATATTCTATCTGTTATGCCGCATAGGAAATGCAAGAGTATCGCGTCCCTCGCCCCTTTAATTTTAATTGAGCATGCATGTATTCTATCCCCTAAAGTAGGTATCTACTAGTAGGTACCAACTATTTGCGCAACTTTAAGTCGATTCATACTAAATGTGTATATTTAAATGTATTATATACACAAATTTGAATACTACATTAATATTATACCTATTTCTAACCCTTACTAATTATACGAAAGCGACGGGTACAAAGGTACACGGTAAATGCTTATAATTTATATTAATTGTACAGTGTTATACTTAGCTAGGTTAAACGCCCCGCGTTAATAAAACTTCGATTTATTTCACCTTGATAGTTCTATTTACAAAGTAACTAAAAGGTCTCATAATACTCGTAGGCACGTGGCAGATGGTAGTTGGTCAGAAAGACTAGTGCCAACAATTTTACGAAGTTTTCATACAATTGAATAAATAATGCGCGAACGCCATTCCTTAGGAGATGGGAGCACAAACATTATTTTACATAATATTGATATATTATGTATGTCCAGTGATAAAACCGCCTGCTGTGCATCTTTTCTTGGTGTTGTTTTTTATTATATTTCTTTTTGGTGTACAATACAGCATATTATTATTATTATGTTATGGGTACCACCAATCAAAAGGAGTCATGAAGGTAGTGCAACGCGTTCACACACTTGCGGACGAAGAACAAAACGATAAAACGTACCTATTTAAATAAACAAAATCTCTACGAATTACACAGTAATATAATCTTTATTATTTTTATATTTAAAATGTGATAGTGTTTCTTGGTTTGTCCCGACCCGATGAGATCTATGTATTTTTAAAAGCACTTAGTGTAGCTATTTATAGGAACTACTACTTACAATAAATAATAATAAACGTTATATAAAAACTTACTGTTTGGAAAGAAGAAGTGTATTTCTCTCAAAGCTTCTGTATGGCTCTCGCTTCCGTGCAACGCGTTGAAGTAGTCGCCGTACTTAGTGCGTCGTCCGTAGCACGCTCGTAGACTGTCCGGCCAGTACGCCTGAGCTTCTACAACCCTGTATGTAATATGAATAAACCTTCAATAACCTTGTTTCAAAAATATTGTAAATATTTAAATTATAATGAGAAGGACTTTTGCCATTTCTCCCGCGAGATGTCGCGATGTATATGATCCCAAGTATGTTCTAACGTTAAATAGCGTGGATGGATTTTTTTTTAATTTTATTTAAAACATGCTATTTAATAACATCATAATTCAATACACCGACCTCTCCAAAATATGTAGGTATATTAAAGGTAAATTTTATTAATTTTAAAATATTTCAGTACATCTGGTATACTCATAATCATAAAATTCCATACAAATTAGTTGACGTTAATATTCACCTAGCTGGTCCCATCAAAGTACGCCACTTTTGTATGCAATTCTTAGAAGCTAGAACTAAAGCAATGATTGGTCCACTCGACATGTGTGCTACGAGATGTGGAAAGTGATGTCTCCCATAGTGTCCCTTGTAGAGTTCTGCAGCTTGTTCTGGCGTCAGACGAACCACCCGTCTCTGGAATTAATAATTCATATATAATTTTGTAATAATGATATTTTGTATTAAATAAAAAATAGATTTTGAGATTACATAAAGACCAGGCTAATATGGAAAAGTTTTGTTAGTTTACGGGCTATACCTAAGTTTGCACATAATGAGATCACAAAGGAGATATTAGATTTTTTGTCAAAAAATTCTCAGCTGTGCCTATAGTGGGAGAGTTGACTATTTTCTAGTATCTCGGAGGGGCATCTCTATGAAGACTATGGGAGTGAGAGAACAAAGTATGCGCCCATGGTAGCGTCTAGTAAAGATAGCTATTCTCGTGTGAGATTAACTGCGTTGAACGAAAGATAGTCTGCAGGAAGATATACATTTGTAAGTGCAGTTAAACTTAATAAAAGAATTTATTTTTGAACATTTCATTTTTTTAAAACATTAAATTAAATAAAACACATAGTACCTATATGTGCGTGAATTTCATTAAATTTTCAAATACAATAAACTTAAGTATATCATCGTTAGTTTAGATATAAGTCAAAAATCGTGCATTTTGTAGGAAAACCTCTAGACATCTACAGTTGTTAGCAAGTGCAAGTAAAACTAAATATACCTACTAAAATTTACAAATTTAAAATGTCTCCTGATAACTTTTTTCCTTAATTACTTACTACAATAATCGAAATGCCACATAAATGGCTTTTAACAATTCATGATCCAGCAAGGTCAAAGGAAAGGGTATGACGCATATATCGTGTTACATTACAATATACTATAAGCTTACCTAATGACTCACTTTATTCAATGATAATATAAAACTCATGCTCCTAGAAATGAATAACAGTATTATAGATCTATCGAGATATGACACGCAATTCATTTGTGCGTGTTTTATCTACGCTTGATGCCGTATTCATATCTACAAGTTTTAAGGGTTTTTTTTTTGTATATTCTAACAAGTTTTTATAGTTAAGCTAGTATATCAAATTCTAACTAGTTTTTATAGTTAAGCTAGCAAATAAATTCAAACATCACAATTGCCATAGCTAGGTAGGTATATCAATTTCATTTAAAATACTTTTTTATGTATAATGTTTTATTAATTATTTATTCAGTTTATGTATAAACGATATTTAAGAAAGTCGTTTGTACCTATATGATTACTAATTTTAATTATAAAGCCATTTAAAATCTATCAAATCTATTGACAATAGTTTCAAAGTCCTTATGGACTCAGGGGATATGGATAGAAGGTTTAAATAAGTATTTCGTAAATAAATCTCCATTTTACATGTACAGAACCTGAGTTTATATATAAAATACATATTATTATATGTAGTTAATACAATAAAGTATTAGTCGATACTATTTAAGTTTAAGGAGTTTAATTATTATTAAAAAAAAAATTTAATAGTACGTGACTAATGACGAACTGAGCAAGACACTTTGAAAATCAATAGAAAAAATGTAATTTTAAACATGTGAAGTTGTCGTGGACAGCCCCACTCGAAACGTCAATGGGAATACGTAATTACTTTTTTATGGATGGAAGCCATAGATAGCAGCAGTGACCGCACGAAGCTGGGGCGCTCAAGATCTAACAATAACAGGGTTGCTACATGTTGATAAACACATTTTATAAATAGTATAAAATTCGTATAGGATTTAAATTTACATCTAAGTTATGTTTTGGAGGCAGCCAGGGGATGCAAAGAAATGCAAATTAACTTAAAATTAATTTATTAACTAAAATTTCTTACTACTAAAATGACTGTTCGATGTTAGATCAAATCAGTGAAGATGCAGCCAAGTAATGCCTTTTATACTACATTATTGTAGGAAGTTGTGACATTGGCATTGATGAAATGTAGGTGGCTGCTGCGCTTGCACTTGCGCCTGACCTTGTCTTGTCGTCGCCGCGCGAGGTTTGTAGAGCAAAGCTGACGCGTCGATTCAAGTTCCGTAACATCTAACATAGAGATCATTTAAACTTTAGAGAGATATTGACTGACAAAATGTTTAGTTAACAAGTCATATTTGTTTTATATTTTACTCTACTTATTATTTTTTATGAAAGTATGTATATCAAAAATACAATAATATCGGTTATTCATTTTACTGATAGACGTAAAAGGTATTTTATACTTAATTATAGTACAAATTAATAGATTTTAAACAAAAGTACACACATATATATGTTTAACTCGATTCTCAATTAAGACAATCAATGAGGTGCCAACCCTGTCGTATCAAATGCCAGCTATGACGCGGGATAACGAACGCGCCCTCGCTCTCAACTATATTTTGCATACGCAACCCTCGCTGCCGCCGGCCACTGAACGGACGCAACCCTTTGTATAATCACGATTGATTCCTTCCAAAATTTAGAGTGAATTTTGATGGAGAATTAGCAATCATTTTAAAGCTCTAGCATGTTAATATATAAATTATTTATACGATTTCATATAACACTACATAAAGAAAAAATTGAGTCCACAATCAATATTTGCTGTATCGTTCTCCTTTATTATTCACATTCTAATAAACAGTCATTCGAGGACGTCATTTGTACGTTTTAATGGAACGATAAAAAGACCATTTCGTAGATAAATGTAATAAAAATGTGTTCAATGATGTTTTCAATCCAGATACAAACTTTTTACATAGTTGGATATAAATGTATATAAAATATATGCTTCATTCATGAATAATTCGAAGTATAAAGATATTAAAATTAGGTACTTGCTTTATGCCACTTTATTTTCATAAAATAGCAACACCTCACTTTTTTCACAATTATTACAGCGTTAAGGAGTACGCAGTTTGAAGGTTCAAACCACCGTTCGCCCCGCACAAGAATCGAACTCGCAATATCTGCCGTCAGAAATAATGCAACCTCGTCGCACCTTTGTGTCCAGAAAAACATGTATTCGTTCCTGCGTATTATTTCTGCACCTTCTTCTTCTTCTTCTTCTCCCTGCCCATTTCCCAATCACTTGGGGTCGGCCGAGTACATCTTCTGTACTGCTGATAGGATTTGGCAAAAGTTTTACGACCGGCCGCCTGCCTGACGTCAACCCTCCTTGGTAATGATTGGAATTTGTATTATTTCTGCACCTGATCTCTGATTGACTGTATATTGTATAGGACAATCCTAGTAGAGTATGAATGACATAGTAAATGCAATTGTTATGCTTGCATATGCATCGCGTTGTATGTATCTAATATCTTCTACATAAGGCCATGATAATTGCTGCCGTAACCAAAATTTGATTCAGAATTGAAAGGACCTCTACACATATAATAAAATTGTAACTAAGCCGAATCTGTACATTAAATATTTTTTGGAAAATCTTATTGAAATAAACATTATTATCCATACAGAAGCCGAATCTATAGTTTTTAGATTTTTTGTCTGTTTGTCTGTTACCGCATCACAGAAAAACCACTGGAGGGATTTTGAAGAAATTTGGGATGGTGATAGCTGGTTATCCGAGTCAATGTATAGGAAGGATACCTACTTTATACCGCGGGAAAATGTCTCATTTCTGAGAAAAAATACAAAAACTGCTATGCAAGACTATACTAATATGTAAAACCTAAGAATATGATTTTTGGTCAGCTAAACACGGGTGGAGCCGTTGGCAACGCTAGTTTATAATAAAATCGTAGTATTGAATTTTTTTATAAATGGAGATACCTACTAAAATTATTTTCTTCAATGTCAATTTGAAAATTCATGTACGTGATTTGAAACATAATATAATAATTAAAAATATACGTCTATTAAAAATATATAAAATGCTAACAAAAACATATTATGCTTACAAGAAAGTTACTTAGTGATTTTTATTAGGTATAATTTATTAACTACTTACTGTTCATGGAATATCCTCACCCGGCTGTATAACAAATCACAAAACGTGGAACTCAAGAATTATCTTTAGCTGCTCGAGTTCGTTCGATGAAAATTTATAATTTAAGCTAGAGTAAGCAATGTTGCTTAGGAGGAACTGGATTCAAAAGTCATGCACGTTTACATACAACAACAAAAAATACACACGATAATAATACAAAAAAAATACTTTTAAGTTGACATCTAACAGATCATACCAAACATCGAAAATACAAATATGAAATATATAATCTTGTTACAACATTATTACGTATTTGCGTAAAGTTCATAAATAGATAGGCTAAAAATGTAAAAAAAATATTTCATATCGGACTCGAAGTTTCACTTTAGCGTGTTCAAGCATACAAAACAAATTCTTCAGCTTTATATATATACTAGTAAGTATAAGCTTACATAAATACACTCGTTGGATATAATTGGAATAGTTTAAATCTGATGACAAGAAAGTCAGCGTAGCGGTAGGGCGTAGGGGTCCCGGTTCAAAACTTAATTTATATGTTTCTAATGTATGGGTAGGCAAAAAGAGTGTACAAAGCTACGTTCTTACATGCTCATTTTCAAGTAAGTAAAAATATCGTTAATATTCTATTCTCAATATGAATTATATTTATGAGAAAAAATTATAATCAAAATATACTAACAGCTAGAATCATAAATCTATTATCCCTTATATGATTCTCAATGTCTTCCGCGTTTTCATGAGCCTCCGGCTTAATAATTGCTAATGTTCTTTCCGAGTATGAATGGTGCTCGGCACCGGAATCCGATGAAGCGATCGACATTCGAACGTAAAGTTTCTGATAATGTTAATTTTTTTTAACACTATCAGTATTTGTCACATTTGGTAAAAAATATTTTTGATACACAAAATTGACATTTAGGTCTATATATTTTTTAATTTAAAATACTTTCTAATAAATACTTTTTTAATTTAAATTTATTCATAAAGTACTAATTGCTAGTAATAATCTAATTTATCTTACTATTATAATTTTATACTAATTACTATTTACTATCAATAATAAATTATTATTCATTGCATATACATATATATTACAGATTGGTTATATTAATAAGATCAGCCCTTAGATACCAATGAGGTATCACAATACACTTATCGCATCTGAAAGACATGACATTACATTCTCTCTCCTTGTCACAACAACATAAATATAAATTAAGACGTCATAATCAATACGGACAATCGGCAATTGCAGACGGGAAAACTGGCACGCATTTTCCGGCGCGTCCGAGCCACCCTCCGCGCGTGTAGTCGCGGGGGCGGGGCGTGGGGGCGCGAGGGGGTACGAGGGGGCGCGAGGGGGTCGGGGTGGTGGGGGGCGAGCCGGGAGCGCAGGGCCCAGTGCCCCCCGAACGCAGCGGCGGCGCGACGCCTCCCCGAGAGCCCGCGACATGCGTTGACGTCTCCCGCCACCCGACAACCACCGCCGTATACATGGACAACTCCTGCCTCCTCGACCTCCTCATCAGGTGCTTCGCGATGACCGAGCCCGAGGACCTCAACTTCACCGCGTTCACCGACCTGTGCCGCCTCTGCTCGCTCAAGAGCGGGCCTCGCCTTCACATATTCGACAAGGAGTCCGAGCAGCGACAGATACTGTTCAAGCTGCGGACTTGCTTGCCCACTATGGTGAGCTTTTTTTGTATTATTCATTCACTTACCTTATTATTGCTTTCCCATCAAACCATACGCAGTTACCAAACTCAATGTCGTGGTAAACATGGTGTAAAGGTGAGGTGCGGTAATGTAGAGACGTGTCGACTGCCGTAGCCTCGTAGGCGCACGCGCGCTACGCGCTACGCACATTATAACAACATGAAATACAGATTTGCTGAACAGGAACACGATACCTGTTGAACGTTTGCACAAGGAACAATAACTCTATAATGAAATATTTTAATTTTATTGCGGGTAATTACTGATAAACCGAGTTCAGCTAGAGGAAAACAATATTTTATATTGACTTTAAATTCCAAAACATTCAAGTGTTTTGGCTTATAAAATATAAATAAATTTTCAAAAATTCCAGTTAATAAAGACCGAAAGAAAGTTAATTTGTGTTATCTATTGAATGATTGAAAGGCGGAAATTAGACCTTGCGATGACATGACAAAAGCTTTATCTATTTTCATGTTCCCTCCAAATTTATGGCAAATTTGAATAGTAAAATTGTCTTTAAAAAATATTATTGTTGCACTATTCAAAGTGATTTTAAGGGGCCCTTCTTTTACGTTAGGATTATAAATTATATTAATTAATTTTGGTATAAAATAATATGATTTTTTCAATTACGTTACTAACATTATAATAGTACTACTTACTCATTGTATAAACCGATTCAATTTTGTTTTAATATTAAGCATCGCTGACTTAATATCGATAGTTCACATTCAAAGCGAGGCAATACGATTATGTAATACTATTTCTATGATTCTCACGTCTAGGAGATGACTGGAAGACTGGTTCTCTTTTATAGATAATACCACCCTTAAAACCACTTTTTTTTATAAATTTGTCCATATTTTATTAATAACAAAAACAATTTAAAAGCACATACACGCATAGACAAAGTACATAAATTGATAAAATTACATCAAATTAAGGAATTATCATTTATATATTAATAAAGACGTATAAAAACACACATATATATATGTATACCTTCCGGAGATGATTTTTAACACTTAGCCTTAAGTTAATTGTAATGTTAACCACATATGTATAAGGTTATTAGAATTATAAGCTTACATATAGACTTCACAAATCAATTTCTTTTAACAAAAGGATGAGATTCGCTTAGGCTAAAAGCTTAAAAGTTCCTACGAATTCTGAATTTGAGTTACGTTAAGTTAACCACTTTAACTACACACACACAACCATTAGACCCAAAGGGTCAAACTTTAGTTGTTTCGAAACTTAATCTGTGCTAACAGATATAATAATGAAATGTGTAAATGTGATTTTATTATCTATACATATAATAAGATTGTAACTAAGCCGAATCTGTACATTGAATATTTTTTAGAAAATCTTATTGAAATAGACATTATTATCGATACAGAGGCCGAATCTATAGTTTTTGTCTGTCTGTCTGTCTGTTACCGCATCACGGGAAAACCACTGGATAGATGTTCATGAAATTTGGTATGATGATAGCTGGTTATCCGGGTCAACATATAGGATACTTTTTACTGCGGGAAAATATTTCATTTCTGAGAAAAATACAAAAACTGCAATGTAAGAGTAAAAACATAAGAATTTGGTTTTTGGTCAGTGGTGGTTAGTTTAAAACAAATTTAAAGTAAATATTGCTAAAGTCATAGTTTTAGAGTAAAATAAAGGTTATATAATGGGTTATTTGAAGGTCATATTTTACATAAAGCTATTATTGCTAGTAACTTATGTAATATCATTCTCCAGGTCGTAAACTATCTGTTAATATAAAAATGTTTTAACTTTCCACAACTGGGCACGGGCCTACCTTCTCTACGAAAGAGGTTATGCTGCGTGAAAAAAAAGAAAACCCACAAAATTAATTTATATAATATTAGTAAGGTTAATTATAATTACATATATACCTGATCAAATTATATATTATGTAGATAATAATAAAAATAGCGTTTTTCTAGTCAATTCAAGCTACGGTGACTAAATTTGGTAAGATTAGACATCCGCGCGGGAGATACATATTATTGTACACAAGTATCATGTGCATAAATAAAAATGTATTAAAGTGTAGCTCTCTATTATTTTTGCTTCTATAGTATGGTGGGATATCAATCTGACAGAATCGGAAAGAGATCAGGCACAGAGCCGAAGGTTTTATATGGTCTCTGTAACACGTCTTAACTCTTATATTATTTATCGTTAAGTTCCCAACTAACACTAGAATTACTAGTATTACTATTTTTTGATCTGACCCGGAACTCGAACTCGGGACCCGGAACTTAAACCGCAAAAAATTCGCTAGACTAATAATCATATCATATTATTTAATTAGCATTCACATTTTTATTTAAAAAGCAGTAATTGTTTTGATTTATTATGCTAGAAACTGATGGTTTGAAATAAACCTACGTACATTTACTTTTTCGCACAAAAGTGATAGTCGCACACTCTATATATGGTAATCCCCGGGGAAATTTGGGTTCGAATGAAATAAAGCTAGAAATAGCACTAAAGAATGTGTTATAAAAACATCTTTTTTTAACCTATTTCCTTGAAAAACTAAAATTAATATACCAAAAAATTTGTTAATTAAAACCAAATAATCTTATCTACCTGTTTGACCATAAATTAAATAAACATAGAAAATAATTATCTTGCCCATCTCTTTATTAATATCTTTATCTCTACATTATAATTTTTTTATTGAATTAAATTTCATATTTCAATGTAAATCCAGCAGATATCGAAGGACGACTTTCTGCCAAAAAAGATCTGCGAGCGGTGCGTCACGAGGCTTGAACAACTGTACGAGTGGCGTCAAAGTTGCCTTAACACGGACTCCGTGTTGCGAAATTATGCTGAATCTATGAGAATCGTCACTTCTACTATTAATTTTCAGGTTAGTCTATGTATAATTAATTAGTTGCTTATAAACTTACGTGAATGATTGGTATATTTACAATCAAATCAATATTATCGACTGTGTTTTATTATAACAATAATAGAAATTAATTATTTTGAAATTGTTTGATTTTAAAATCAAATGCTCTTTATAAAAACACATTATGAAGCTATTGTAATATTCATTAGATATTAATTTTAAACAAAGACGCTCTGTTCTTTACAAAGGCTTATTACTTACAATTATGTCGAAATACAAACAATACACTAAAGCCTAAAACAAAGGCACGAGATTTCAATATTTAATGAATATTTTAAATAACAATTTCATATTCTGTTAAACATTACTTAACATTTCTATCCCCTATCACGAACTCACATATTCAAAGCTTGTTGATTTATTTGAGCACTCATTTCTGAAACTACCAGTTTGATTTCAAAGAAATATTTTTGTATTCTATATATTGAACGTCATGTTATGGCTTGGAGCCAATAACACATAAATAAATTACGCGGGCGGAGCTGCGGGTCAACGTTATATGTTTATGAAATGTTTAACGAAGTAATTCCTCTCAAATGGTACATTTTTAACGTGTAACGTGTACAATATTGTATACAATATTAATTTTTTAATTAAACGATTTTCTCATAAATAAAAGTTTGTCAAATGCGAGTCTGAATAGCGCACTGAAAGTTTCGTAACATCAGAGAACGATCAATATATATATATATATATATACATATATACGATCAATATATATATAGAACGATCAATATATATATATATATATATAAGTGTTTATGTTGAATCGTTTTTTAGTAATAAAATGCGACATTTTAATGAATTAAAAACCATTACGCATAATTTACGGTATAAGAAATGCATAATTGAATAAAATAAATGTATTTTTTATCGACAATCTACGATTTTCAGGAAATAGACGGACAGATAGACAACCAATGCCTATAAATAGACGATAAAGACTTTAAAGTCTAAGGGGACCATTAGTCTACAGAACCCTAACAGTAAATTTTATATGATTATTAAAATCATATTTTTAGGGCACGTTCGCAACAACAGCAGCATGATAACTTATCTTTAACAATCGATATTAATGAAAGTATAACACCGGTCGATAATAGTGTAATCATACGCCGCATTGACATATTTTATATTTTTATGGGTGTATAAAACATCCTATTGTTTTTGAAAAAAATATAAAACTTATATAGCTTATTTTACTCGCTTTATAATTAAAATATTGAGTAGATAATTTTAAAATGCAATGAAAACAATGCCTTAAAAAACTAAAACTAATATAAAATCGTAATTGTGTGTATAATAGATACGTATACATAATATAGACAATATACATAGATATACATAATATCTACATATATATTAATACGTGAAGTAAAAACTTTGTACCCCTTTTAAAAAAATAAAAAAAAAATAAAAAATTGCGCGGACGGAGGAGTATAAAATTTCTCACACTTATAGTTTACTATACCGAACGCGGGCGGAGCCGCGGGCAATGCTAGTTATGCATAAAAAATACATTAAATCAATAAAAAAACATTACACACGCTACCATGTATTTGACACACACACATATTTATACTCTTTTGTTTATTTTTAAAGTCTGTGGTCAAATTGAGAATTATGTAGGTATAGTTTAATAGCTATTGACGAGCTTTCGTTTTATAAATAAAAAAAATCCATAATAATCATGGTCGAAGTTCGACCACTCGGCGAACTCTAGTATAGTTGAAATTTACTTGAATCTCTACGGTATTGGGTACATCACCTCCATTTGGCATAATAAACTGTGTCAACTAGACAAGTGGCATGTATCATACATTTTTATTAATATAAATTAATATCACATGGCGAATTTCCCGTGTTAAAAAACTTATTACGCTTGGAGAGTTTCTGACAAAGACAACCAAGCAAAATTGATTCTGCGACAGCGGTTATTCACTACATTAGACTACGCAACTGTAAATCAAGCAGCAATTCTTCATGCCAATAAAATACAAGTCAAAATATATTTGCTTTATCAAATAAGGATGTTTATTGAATTTGTAAATAAATGAATAATTCAGTAACCATTAGTAGGAAAAGTAAAGCGCCATAGAATCCCCCGTCATAAAAAAAATATTTAAATATGAAATAAGAGTTCGTCATCTTTCAAATATTATTTGAAAATTTTATTTGTAAAATCCCTAAAAACAAATATTTGACTCCGGTAAAATACTTATTCGGTACATTAACAGATTGTACGACGTACATACAACAAATGTACATCATTTTTTATTTATTTATTATGTCTTTGTAAAAATATGTCTATTGTGCAACTTTTTCACTTCCTGAGGGAGATTGTTCCTCATGAAATTCTACAAAGTCGCCGATGTCGCGTAAACGTCAAAGGTATAATAGTTGTTATGTGTAGGCTCGCGAATGCACGTCGCTACGTCGGCCCCTCTATCGATCCAGCGCGCCCGGCGCGTATCGACCCAACACCCACTGCATCAAGCACGACCGAAAACTAACTCTATCCCTTAAGAGTAAAGCCCAAAGTCCAAGATATACTTAAGCATCTGCCAAAAACACTGGCAAACGATTTCCAACTCAATAAAAGTGTATCACGAGCCCTTATCGAATATCCGCGTTTTGTTTTGAGAGTACATGAATTATCCACTCTAATAGGATAGTCATAAGGTTGTCATCAGGAAGCGATATAATAAGTCTTTCGGGAATTCGGTTATTGGATACGCATGTCCAGTAACTCTTTAGTTTTTACTCAGAAGAATTACCTCTCTCTAACCTCAACATCTTCAGCTCAGAAGACGGACTTCTTATTTCATGTATGTTTTGGTATAGCAAAATATTAATATGTACAGAGACCTTGAATGCACAGTAATGCACGAGTATATACACATGCATTGGAAGCAAGGTCGAAGGCTGGCAGTCACCCTGCTCGGGGGACTGTTAACCCTGACCTAGCGGGGTGAAGGATCCTACTACGGCCTCCCGCCTCCCGGTGGGGAATGCTACCCCAGAATATCACTGACGATTCAACCTTCTCTACTAATGTGATGGATGATCAACCTTTACTTTTAGATTGTCCTTTGTCGGTGCTTTTTAAGCTTTTGTTAAGCATTTAATTATTATTTTCATTTTTAGATTATTTATAATAGTAAAATAGTGACGTTAATATTTAATAGAGTAATATAGTATATTTGAAATAATATAAAAATAAATAATAAATAAATAATTTTCTATACGTTATTTACAATAAATACCGAATTATGAAAATGAAAATTCTCAAACGACAAAAGAAACAAAGAAGAACTTTTTAATGTATTATATTTAGCTTATAAATAAATATTTCAATCATATTTGGTCTGGAACAGCTAGCGCCCCTGTAAAATCCTCATAAGTAACCCTTGCAAAGGAATGAGGGGGATTGTCTTATGAAGAGTTTACCTTACCCTTCAATTTTATATCATGCATCCAGACAGCAACCGTAGTGTCTGCAATTAAAGTTAGATTTATCAGTATAATCAGTTAAATTTATTTATGAACTTCTTTGTAATTTACAATAGAATGTGTGAAATCTGTAACCACGAATGCATTTTATACATTTTAATTACTATTAAATAGATTTAAAAATTTTGGAACTAACTAGCCCTGTTAAATTGTAAGAAAGTCATCATTGTATGTATGTATGTAGATAAATATATCGAATATTTTTTAAATATCACTACAGCACTGATTTTAATTAGATAAATTATTCCACGAGTAATAGTCAAATGAAACAAACATACATACATATATACGGAGCCTTAAATATTATGCAACATTTCAATAGGTCGAGTAGCTACGCAAAGATCCAGTTTATGCTCTCCTCTCGTCGTTCACTCATGTGATGGGGGGTTACGGATAGAATATAAATGGTATACGCGATAGTAGATACAGGCAGTAGCAAAATAAGAGTTCTATAAAAGCTATTTAGGAGTACAATATAAAAAATAACAGATGCCGAAAACTCAATTTATTATGAAAACATAAAACATCGTTATGTCTTATGGCTTATTTCACGGAGAGCCTGCTACGATCTTATCGCGAAATCTTAAATTAAGGCTGCTTTTCATCAGAACAGGAAATTAAATTGAATTTGAAAACTCTATTCGCTTCCTTTGGTAATTGCATGCAAATACAAATGTAATGCAAAAGTAAAGTAAGTACTCGATGGATTGACTCAGACTCGAGTCAGCATTACAAATTATTCAATGTACTGTAGATTGAATATTTTTATACTTTCTCGTTGATAAAGTTACTAATTTGTAAGGCTGCAGATTGTTCGGGCTTGGATTCGAGCCCCAAATCGAACCATAACAGTTGTTGGGTTTTAGTGTCATGAAATACTTACTTAGTTTGAATTGAACCTAGAGTTAAGTTACGGTGTGTACACCCTCGTGCCTCGAAGAGGACGATAAGTTATTGGTAGTTGTCGTACTACCGGAATATGAGGGCTACAAAATAGAGAGTGTGCACTATAATATGTCCCGTCCAGTTGGCTAGTCTCATTGTGATTGGTCGCCTTTACAATCACATTTTTTTTTGGAATTACAAAAGCAACAGTTTTTATAGAGTTTTGTCTGTTCACAGAATTTAAATACTTTAACGAGATAAAATATATAGAAGATTGTGTAAAAAAGATGAAAAGCTTGTCTACACTATTACATAAAAACTTAAAATACGAGTATTTATAACAGTCTTTCTAACATGACTTCATCTTCAGTAATTCTTTTCAATATTACTTGCTTTCTAAATTCAATTTTTTGTTTTTCATATTCATTTTTTTTTATTTACAAATAAATTATATTACAACTTTTACTAAACGTCTAGTCTTCCACCAGTTCAGTTTTCTTAACAACTGAGCGAGTAGAAATATATCGTTTGTTAGAGCTGATAAAATTCAAACATAATCTATTGTATTTTTATACCTCCGAATCTAATTATAAGATATTAGGCATGCAAGGGGTCCCCCTTGTCTTCAGGAATTCAGGTGCATGGAAGGGAAAGTGTAATCGATCGACGTAACGCCAATGCTTGCACTTAGTACATTGATACGGAGGAGAGTGCTCGTCTTAGCCATGACTTTCACCTTGAGAAGACACATGTCTATACTTAGCCTTAAGCGTTCTTCAAATATGTACGAGTATATATTATAATAGTGTGATTTAATTTATTTTTTATATAATGGAGATACTATTAAAGGAAATTTTTGGTGTAAGTATTTATATGTAAAATTATGGTGTTTCTAAAATAGTCTAAGTTTTGTGGGCAAATACGTCGTGATGTTTGTTGAGGTTACGTTTGTCGCTTTGATGTGATTGTCTTTGTTTTAAATGTTACTTAATACTTATATACAATATTTACTATTAAGTACCACAACTATATCTTCTCTCGGTACTTATTACATATTAAAGAATTTTGTGTCGTGTTGTTAATGAATAAGGAACGCCTTATAATATATATACTGTAAAAGGCAAAGAAAGTGTTACAGTTAAAAAATTGACGCTCAGACGGATGGCATAGCTTAGTTTCGTTTGAACTTTTTATGCAATGCTTATTTCTACTAGTTTACAAAACTTATTGCAATCTAAGATTCTTCTGAGACAGAATTCTAAAAAGTGGAAATCTTAATACTTACGTAGCTCACCTTATAGATAATAATATATCAAAGATCTTTACATAATTCAGTTTGATATTCAAATTCAACGGCACTTATTTCACCCCTGTTGTTTGGGCCCCTGTTAGGTAAGTTTGCTTTTAATCAGTGCAGAAGTGATAAGGCCCCCCGCTTCGACCCTTCGCTTATCTCCGAGGGGACTTCCTCAAACAATGGGAACGTGGATTCAGATCATTCAAGTGTGCATGATAATGCGGTAGAGCACTTTGGGAAATGTGTAGGTGGCAAATTAAGCACAAGATATGAACAAATACGTATATAAATCAAAGACATGATCAAAGATAAAAATCTTCACTTATTATCAAATATTTTTCTAGGAATTAAAACAAATCTATTTACTCACTGTAACATTTTTTAACGAATATAATATTTGCTTCCTGTAAGAAAACATCAATCAAATGAAAAATTCATATATTATTATTATACTAGCGACTTACCCTCGCTTCGCTCGGGTTCGTCCGTGTGTTTTAACTGTTAGTATGGAATAGATAAACTATATATTATATACGAGTATGATGAGTAATATATGAGTATTACATAGGTATGATGAGTTATTGTGGGTTGTGTTTTATATATATTGTGGATTGTTATTGTGGTTATTAACGTGTTTTGCCGTGGGAGTGATATAATCTCCTGCGGTAAACCACCACACAAAAATCACGCCAATCCATCACTCTGTTTTGACGTGAAAGAAGAACAAACAAACAAATAAACAAACACACTTTCACTAGTACGGATAATTTCTAGTAAGTATGTAGATTTAATAGACCCAAAATTTTGTTTAGCTTTTCTTATAAAATTATTTCCGTGAAAATCTATCACGACGTCCGTTTCCCCGTTTGTCGGCCGGTCGTTGAACCCACCCTTTGCCGATTTTAAGCAATTAAGCATAGGGTGTTCATATTCGTGTTATGGAATGAAAGTCGGCTGTGGGGGACCGTTCTCACTTTCTGCGGGGTGAATGCACTAGGGGGCATCGGTGGCGCCCTCCCTAGCCTTCCCTCCGACCGCATCAAAGACACTCATTGAAGGCGACAGAAAGTAATCCGCAGACGAGACTAGCAATTCACAAAAAAATTGCAAAAGAACAATGCAAACATGTTTTTACTTCAATGATCATATATTTTACTGACGCTCATAGAACACTTAGGTATTATAAATATATAATTACGAAATATTGTAAAATTAAGTTAAAATTCCGTAAATTGATGTATTCTTGGTGCATTATTTTTAAATTTTATAATTTGTTTACAGGATGGCACAGTCAATATGGATAAAATGACAGAAGCACAAAAAACGGCATACTTAGAGGCACACGTAGCGGTACAACAACATATGGCTCAGGCTGCTGCTGCTGCTAGACGTGAACAACAACAGCAACAGCAGCAGCAACAGCAACAACAACAACAGCAGCAGCAACAACAGCAACAACAGCAGCAGCAGCAGCAACAACAACAGCAACAGCAACAACAGCAGCAGCAACAACAACAACATCAACAGCACCAACAGCAGCAGCAGCAACAACAACAACAGCAGCAGCAGCAACAACAGCAACAGCAAGCAAATAACAATAATAATTCATCGCGTCATCATCAAGAAATGCAAGTAAGTGTAAAGAAATAAATTACATCTTAAAGGACTTCTGAACTAACACATTTTTTTATTGTTAAGAACAATTTAAAATGATTAAATATTTTTTAGCAAGCCCAAAGCAATACACATCCCGGTCATCCATCGCCACCCACAGTTAGTTCAACTCAACATCATTATGCTACAATAAATTCTCCTATAAAAGTACCTCAAGTAAGTTCCAGCACTGGTGGACCGGACTCTACGTTTACAGTCCCAGACGATGTAGGAATGGGTTTCGAGGGAGGAGTTCGCGTATTACAAAGTCTTGGAAATTGGTAAACCTTGTTAAATATTAAACATAATAAACGTGATTACTGATAGATTATTGTAAGGGTAACTATGTTCTATTATAATATTTTCAGGTCACCTGAGGTAACAAATAACATACCAAGACCAAATTTAATACCCTTTACCGAACCATATGCAGAAGGTGGATCAATGCATCCAGGAACAAGACTTAAAGCTCTACAAGGAACCGTTGTTAGGAAACACCCAGCTATTAAACCAACTAGTTCTACTAACGAAGGTAAGATCTTTTTTGATCTAGAGGATTATGTTAAACATGTGAATCCAAATATGGTAATGGACAGTTATATTTCTATTTTCTAGGAAATAAAGCATTCGAATGCACTGTTTGTGGTAAAGGATTAGCACGTAAAGACAAATTAACAATACATATGAGGATACACACAGGTAATGTAGTATTTATACATCGCTACGTATTTAGCCTCAGTAACAGCCCGGAGTTGGGAAGTTGGCGGTGTTTCACCCCCGTGCCTCGGAGAACACGTAAAGCCGTCGGTCCTGCGCCTTAACTCTCACTGGTCGTGTCGAGCAGTCGTCCCACCGGAGTATGAGAGAGACAGGAATAAAGAGTGCACTTGTGTCTGCACGTACACCTGTGCACTATAATGCGCAATTGGCTAGTCTCAATGAGATTGGCCGCCGTAGCCGGAATCGGTCAGGAGAATCATCATTTATATTCATACATACATCATATTATTTTAGACAAAGCTATTTACATAATAAATAATAACAATAATAAAATCAATAGATTAATTCGAGTATAAATAATGAACCCGTCGTAATAATAGCAGTCTATTTCTACTAGTAAATAATGCATAAAGTTTGAGAAGCAGGAGCTCAGACACTATAGAGAACAAAACAACATTTTTATTTTCAGGTGAAAAGCCTTATGTTTGTGAAGTCTGTAACAAAGCGTTTGCACGAAGAGACAAGCTTGTACTTCATATGAATAAATTAAAACATATAACGCCATCAAATATAGCACCTTTAGGAAAACGAACGATTACAATACCCCGTAAGATTATTTTCATTATACGTTTGTTCGACTAGTGAGTTTCATAATATATTATAGATAGTTTTTTTCCCTTGGCTTCGCCCATGTAAGGAACATTTTCTCTCTTTTCTTTAAACTTTTTTAGGCAGCGCCATCTATCAAGTGGTTCAGAATTAATAAACATTAAAGTTGAAGTATTTTTGAGATGTTTAAAATATGGCCTATTAAGTTTGATCACAGTTCATTAAACGGCTTACGAGTGATTAAGTAACAAACATTCAAACATATTTATAAAGTCACATTTATATTCAATAAATAAGACCAAGTTATTCAAAAGTTCACATTTTTGCAGCTCTCAAATTAGATGACGTTAAGCCTCAATTGACAAAACAAGAAGATACAAAGCCAAGCCAAGCTGAGATTGCAGCTGTAGCACAACAACAGCAACAACAGCAGCAGCAACAGCAACAGCAGCAACAACAACATGCACACCAGCAGCCTATACAGGTCTGCCAGGTACCTGGACACAACTTTACGGTAAATCACAAAAAATCAAGGCATGGAAACATATCGATGTTTAGAATTTCTATTTTTGAATATTTCTTTACTGGGCATGTTTCATAGTACTACTTATTATTTGATTTAAAACGAATTGCTAATCATAATACATACGTTGCATTTAAAAATAAAATTTTAATGATTTGATTTTTCTTTACTACTTACTTCCTTACATCTTGTCTTTAAATATTTTCTATATTGCAAATTATTCATTTTTTATTCTTAGAATCGTTTGTGGCATGCTGTGATTATTATTATCAATTTAAAGAAAGAAATATTAAAAAATATATAATATTATCTGTAATATTTCCATTATGCAAGAAAATTATACAATAAAGTTCCATGTCAGTTTAAATATTCATTAAGATTTATATGTATAATTAGTCCAGGCAAATAAGCAGACACGAAAACCTTTACACATTGTTTCTGTATCATTAAAACTACATTATATAAAAAGGGCAAAGTTGAGTGCCAAAATTTTGATTTCAGACCTTAATTGACTGGATTATAATATCCATCGAGGTTCCTTATAAAATGAAAACAAACAAAATTTTATTGTTGACAGCTTCCACGCAATTTTCAGAACACAAATCTAGTGCATACGAATGCTGCAACGGCAGCTGTGGCGGCGGCGACAGCCGGCATGGTGGTGTCGTGGTCGTGTGAGCTGTGTGGCAGATTGTTCGCAACGAGGGACGAGTGGAGTGCACACGCCAAGTCACATCTCCCCGATAATAAGTTACTACAAGATAAAATGCAACAAGCTTCTCAACATCAGGTACCCAACTTAATACTAACACGATTTTATGTTAATCCATCTTAGTTACAAGATAACTTATAATATCTCTAATTGTCTTGAATTAATTATAATCTTTATTCACTAAAAGATATCAATTGTTATCTCAAATCTTGTTATTATATTATTACCAACCAATTATAGTTATCTATTACGCCTATTTATTCAGGCAAGATATCTTTTATTGTCAAATGAGAATCGAGATATGATGATAATAAAAAACAAATTGTTTCAGCAACAAGAAAAAGTTCATTTAACAAACCAAGAGAAATTGCAACTTCTCCATCACCACAACCAAAACCAGCAGATATTGAACGGTCACGGGATATCTACGGCGTCAGTGTCGACGGCCACCGTGGTGAACGAGGGGGGAGGAGGGGGTGCGTACTTTACACATGGGCACACGCACTACGCACCCGAGAGACAACACACACACGCACACCATCTGTGCCTAATGTGCCGACAGGAGTTTGCTGGTAAAGCAGAGTTTATGTTCCATGTTAGAGGTCATTTTGAAGGTAAAGTGAGTGATATAGCGGCCGCAGACGTCCTCGCGCGCTCCCTTGTGGACAACTCGGGGCTGTGCACCTGAGCCACGCCTACCCCCGCATTTCAATCAGATGTTTGCGGGAAGAGCGTCTTGCAGGACGACACGATCATGTTAAAGTTTTGAGACATAAGTGATGCTTGTGATGAACTAGCGAAGCTGTTGAATTGATTTATAAGATATTAGAAAGTAATTTTTATACACGGGTAACATAATTATTTCGTTAGTTTTATAAATTTTTTATGTTTTCAAAGATTTTTTTCCTAATTTATAGATTATTATTTATTTTGACGTATAATATTTTACATATTATTACTTGATTATATTTTTTTATTTTAATATAATACAACTGTTACAATATCTTTGAATCTTATCAAATACTTGCTAATTAATTGTTTTAACCAATATTACTAAATAAGTGCCTATATTATCATTTTAAAAATCATTCTTTCACTTGGTCTTTTTCATCTTTCGATATAAATTATACTTAATTATAACTAAAACATCGGATTATATTTTATAAAAAGAAAGTTATTAATCGATAGATTTTTTTTAAATCAAAAAATATATCAGTGAAATCGTGTAAAAAGGATAATGTAAAAATAATAAGTATTATATTTTATTATTAATTTGTAATGGTCCAATTTGTACATTAGAATTCGGGATACATTTGTAAATAGCTTAAATATAACAAGTAAGTTTTTTATGTAAAAATTACTTAAGTTACAATCATTCAACGCGTAGAAATGCTAGCTAATATTTTCATTAAATTACGCTTTTGATAAAAACAGGTAATCAAAAGAGAGTTATAAATACAATAATATCCAAAAACTGAATCCGTCACTGCATGATATTTATCATTGATCGACTTCCAGATGTTGTTATATTTCAAATTAAAACTTTTCTAAGTTATTTATTAAGAAAGAAATATCGTATTTCATGTCATTATTAAGGCGCGGGTCGAAATTCACAAACACGTTCCATAAACAAGTCATGTAAGATGTAAATATAATAATATGTATGTATTTAACTACAAATTATTATAAACTGCCAATCGTGATTTTTAAAGTATAGTATATAGTATTACGTACTATTTTTGTTTTCTTTATGTAAATATTATCTATTCATATGTAAGCTAATAATGCTTATATGGATGAGTGAATCTAGTCATTTTCGTAGTGTAGGTACTAAAGTAAATGGACTTTTCTGAGGTCTTAAAACATAATTTAAGGTAGAATTACGAGTGTTTTGATTGTTCCTTATTATTTTTGCACCAGTTCTTTATTGTAGAATATAATAATGACAGAGAAACGAAAATAAATGTTACATACATTGACAATAAACTTTTCAAATACATCAACAGCAACGTTCCCACCAAGTTTTACATGTTTATGCCAAACTTCCTATATTGTATAAGGTTAATCATTAATTACTATAAATAATCGTAATAATATCACTGCCCAATAACAAAAGTACATTTAAATGTTTCTTTGAACAGTATTATTTTTATTTTCTAAGATATTTAGTGTCATTGAATATTAATGTCATAGAATTTCCTCTTATTCTAGTGGCTTAGCATATCAGAGGTCTCGGTTTTAAATATTATATAGGCAGTAGAGCAATTATACAGATATAGCCCTAACTTAAACGAACCCCTTTTTAGTTTTAAATAAAATAAACGAAAGTACATATTTAATAACACAAAATAATAAAACAATAATTTAATATATTTGTAGTGTACACATATTTTTTTAATTTAATGCTTAAAAAAAATCACGCCTCTACATTTAAAATTACCCAATTTTTTGTAGTCATTTAATGGCGAAATAGGCTAAGAATTTAAAAAGTATCTATTTTATTTATGAAATAAATGAAACAGTTACAAATGAAAGAGATTTCAAATTAACTATTGAGTATATCCGCAATCTTCAATAGATTAATTGGGCGGTATTTTAGTAAGGATAATGGTGTGGTAAACAAAATGTTATTTCGATGTTACTATTATAAGTACTTAATTTTAAATTTATTTTTAATACAAAATTATATCATTAACAGTAAAGTATTACTAGCATTTTTGTCTCTAGCACTCTAGTCCACTTTTCAATATTACAGTACTACTGAGATTCATTAGATATGAAAGCTTTTTATGAGTTTTTATGAATTTAAAGACAGCTCACAATTTAAAATGCAGCACGAAAATGGTATTTAAGTAGGTCAATTTCTATATCAATTATTAATTTTACATGGCATTGAAACTATAAAAATATAGTTGTGTTATGTAATTATTACACAATAATTATATGATATCCTTTCATGGTACTGGGATTTTTTTTATAATAGAAACAGATAATAGATATTTAAATTAATTATACACATATCTGTATGTATTCAGCCCTTTTTAACGTCCCACTGCTGGGCACGGGCCTCCCCTCAGTATGAGGAGAATCTTTCCATAGTCCACCACACTGGTCAAGTGCGGGTTGGCGGACTCATACTCGTATCTATATATAAAGTCGAAAATCTTATTGTAACTTATATGTAGCATCGAAATGACAATTTGACGGTTAGTTGTAAGGCAACTCGTGCATAATTCATTAAATCTAACAAAAAAATCGTTCACATTGGTAACTGAATTTCTTTTTTTTTTAATTTAAAGTTTATAAATGATAGACAAAATTCATTCAAATCTCGACTGCATGAAAAAGCTTTCCTGTCAATGTAAAGTTGTTCAAATCTCTATAAGTTTAAAATTTACATTACTAATTAAAAAATTAAATTATTTCTATAAGATTTAACTTAGATAAATGAATTATGTAAGGGATTAGGTAGTTTGCGATAAGCAAAACAGAGCACGATGGAAGTTACAAATTTGAGTAGGCATAGGATTGTACGCGTAAGTTGCATCGCACGATAGGGGGGACATGTATGCAATATGTTACTAGCGTTATTTTATAGTTTGTATTTAGTATGTACTTTTAGATAGACTGTAAGTATTTTATAATAAGTGTAATTATATTTTGACAGAACACAATGAAAACTAATAATATAAAAATGTTTGTCGGTCCATCGTTAAACCAATTCAGTAAATAAAATTAGTAATTAACTACAAGGAGCAATTAATACAAAAGAAACTTTCTTGTTTTAATATAAAATAAATTGAAAATAAAATTATATTTTGAATAATTACTACGAAATTCCGTAATTTTCGGCTATAAAAAAATATATATATAATCTGTGACATAAATTATTTATTGTAAAATATCTTAAATCTTCTGTAAAGGCAGTAAGGTATTAAACGTATAAATAATAAACCGATAACTTATGTTCAAGTACATGTAAGTTAATCATTTCATTAAGCTTTTTATAAAAGCTTGTAAATTACGGTGCTCCGTTTAAGTAAACCAAGCAATAATCATACATTAGTAATGTAAACACTACAGCGAACATTTTTTTACATTTTTACTAAAATCATGACTCGTCTCAGTGTATAGTACTCGTAAGTATAAATTATAGGTATATGAAGGAATTGGCTTTCAAATTGATCTCAAGCATCTAGTCGTAGGGCGTGACGGTTGAATGACCAAGTAGTAAATTTCTAAATAGTAATTTTAAATAATAATGTTTGTACATAATATAGTAGGAATTATCTTCTAAGTATAAATATCGAATTATTATCTTGAATGTCATTGCATTGAAGGTTTGCAAAAACTGTACAATTATTAATTACTATTCATTGTTCATAATGTTTTATTAATTTTATAATTAGTTCTAATTGTGCCTGTAAAGCTAATATAGCCTTTGATTATTTTCTACTGATGATCTATTCTATTTAAAAGAAGAAAATCTTTCCAATCTTATGTTTTATTATTTTTCGTATGTTTGTTTCTATGGCTTAAAATATACCTTTCTAAACACAAACAACTGATACGGTATTTAATTTGTAAACACTATATGACAATCGAAAAATTATAGATTGTAGATAAATATGTAATTTCGCCAAATTTACTATCGCAGTACTAATGTACATACTCCGCAGGTTTTATGTTTAGCTAAAACATGTGGATAAATATATTTTTTAATAGTATATATTATTTTTTGTTAAATAAATAATAATTTTGATTTTATTTTTTATTAATATTTTTCTAAGATTTAAACATTTTTATATGAGCAGCTTTAATGTCCTTTTGTTGTTTTTTAATAAAAAATGTTTTTATAATTTTTCAATTTTTAATATTAAAGGTTAAATACTTATAACCAAAGTAATTTTTATATTATCATAATTTATTACGATAGTGAATTTAATTTCTTATGAAAAAAAAGAAGTTTTTCATTTTAAAGGCAATTTAATAAGAAGATATTTATGCCGTATTTAAACCCAATATTCACAGTGGTTAATGAATATCGCATAATTCGTAACATAACAAGAAAAATCCATGGACGCAAACTAAGAAATAGAATAGATAAGTATGAATAACACAGTGACGCCTTAAATGGTATTGTATTTTATTGCTATGAATGCCGCAATGCCCACGCCTGCAGTGCGCTGGAAAACCGAGAATCATGTGTAGTACATACTCGTAGGTACCTACCTATATCTTCTCAGAATCAGTCACTAGCCAAGTTTAACTTCACTTTAAATGTATTAAATTTGAAATATATATTTCAACATTTTATTTAGTGTTCGCATTTTTGTTCTTAAAAACTGTAAAAAATATAATAAAAATTTTGTTGTTATAACCGTTAAAAAAATTAAACTGTCTTATAAGAATATTACTCCTTTTTCCTAACAGGAGCAATAAAATGTCTGGCATATCGTATATTTGTATAAAGTTTTATAGATTCTTGATAATGTATGCGATGTATAGTAGTGCAAGTTGTGAAAATAAAAAAAGAAATATCCATTTTTAACGTAGTTTTCTTTGTCCCTGCAAATATTTCCACCTTTGTGAACTATGTTTACTTTTGTTATTTTTTCTGGATCATATTTTAAGTGCAATAAAGAATATAATAATATTTCATAATGTTGAATATGAATAATTGGGTTAATATATTTTAGTAATGCAGCAATAGATTTATTTTAGGCATTTTTTTATTTTATGTTAGGTACTGTTATATGGTTCGTCCCTAGTTACGTTTTAATGTTAAGTATAGATTTCTCAGAGATGAGATATTTTCTCGCAGTAAAAAGTATCCTATATGTTGACCCGGATAAGCAGCTATCATCATACCAAATTTCATCAAAATCTGTCAAATGGTTTTCTCGTGATGCGTTGCCAGACAGACAGACAAACGGACAGATAAAAATACTAAAAACTATAGATTCGGCCTCTGTATCGATAATAATGTCTATTTCAATAAGATTTTCCAAAATATATTTAATGTACAGATTTGACTAAGCTAGAATTTTATTATATGTATAGATAAAGGTGAAAAGAGGGATAGCAAAGTTTGTATAGTAAACACTATTTTTTGGGTATCACATACACAATGTTAATATTATTTAGCACATTTCGTTCTTTTCCTTAATTTAAAAAAAAATCGCATGATAAGTACCTACACAATGTGAGATCAAGTATTTTGCAGTTTAAAGCGGCTAGCAGTGAAACGCGGCAAACATTAAAACCTTCTCGATTAAATTTGACAATGATAATATTTTATCTAATCATCATTGCAAATATATTAATGTCAAGTTAATGTCAAGATACTGACATTTTGGCAAAGATCTAAATTCTAGTTATACAAAATTTTTGTATTAAGAAAATTTATTTTTAAAGTTATGCTACTGATTAAGGTTGTCTTGCATTTAAAGTTGCTTAACTAATTTCCGCTGAAACAAACCATTAGCATAGCAGGTAAAAAAATGTCTACCTTTATTGTATCTATATTTATATTATGTAAGTATATTCTGTATTTCTTAACGTATAAACGTATCTACTTTTAAATGAATTACAGTACTTACAAGAGACTTTTGTAAAACTACTTTATTCGTATTTTTTTCTTTTTTTTTCAGTTCCTAAAATATTTAAATGGAGAACACATATATACGAGTTAAATTTACACCACTAATCAAAAAACTTCCTAGACCTAACTCTAATTACTGTCTTGAAATAGTACCAACAATATCATGCGTTAAAAATATTAACAAAATAGTTCTGAAAGACGAAAAAGATTCTATAGAATATCTTATACCAATGACATATAAAATTGTAATTAAAAAACAAAAAAATATTGATTCTTTAAAGTTTCATTCTTGTGTCGATTTGTTGCCATCTTCGTCTTTTTTTAATTTTAATTCTGGTGATGTTGTTCGACATATAAGTGAAACGATCACAATAAACAAAGCAGATAATTCATTAGAGGACGTATTTGTACCGAATTTTAACTTTCAAATGAAAACTGAAGGTATAACAAAAATGGAAAATGGCATATTTAATTGTTGTGCACTGTATTTATCCGTTTATATATTTTTTTGTTATTTTTTTTTCAGAAAATAGTAACCTTAACAAAAAAAAGCATTTTATTTGCAAAAAAATAATTTGCGACAAAAGTACGAGTTATAATGAAGATAATAAAATAATAAATATCACTCCAAACCTACAAAAACCAATAAAGAAGAATCGGCATATGACACCATTATACAATATAAACATAAACGATGTTATATTATCCTACAAACACAATTCAATAAAAACCAATTCAGATCTGTCTTCATATGTAGTACATTACCAACAACCAATAAAGAATAATGATATTTGGGATCGACATAGATACAAATATTTATATAATAGGAACTATGAATGTAAAATACTTTTTTTTAAGAATTTCTTAAACACGAATATAAGAGTCTTGCCTGAGGAACGCATCGCTAAATTCAAAAGAATGATGGAACAAAATATTCTACCTTTGAAAATAGCATTAAATGACATAATAAGCAAATGCACCACGTTAGGTGTTTACAATTTATTAAATAACTTACAAATTAATAAAAACCTAAATGAATTTTCTGTTCATAGTGACATTGAAAAAAAGTGTAAATACAACCGTGTTGTTTATTCTATTATATTTGATGAATAAAATTATAAAAATTCAAATAAATAATGAAATAATATTTATTTTTATTTATTTATCTTACTAATTATGTACCTTTATACAGTTAAGTACCTTAAGTGATGCATATATAATTCGGGTTTTCATATTAATTTGCATTACATTTTAATTTTTAACATTTTGCCAGACAACAAATAAACCAAGTGATTCGTAATATATTCAGACATTATGCTTGTTAATTATTTATTCTTTTGTGCCCTGAGAGTGCTTAGTTAAACCACAATATCAAAATATCATAATAATAGAATTTACTAGTTTTGTTTCGGCAGTCTAACATCAATGTCATTTATTTACCAGATAGTAAGTTTTGTCATAGTACTGTGATTTGAACTTAAAAATCATTCGGATAATAAGATGCTTGGCAACACCATATTGCAGTTATTATAAAAAAAGTCTAGATGTAGTTCATAGTTATTATGTACAAAAAATTAGCCTATTGCTAGAAAGAAAAACCATTTTAGGTTATTAAGATCCATTTAGTGAACCATGTATATATATATCGACTTGGTTGTAAATTGACTGTACATACACTTTTGACCATAAAACACTCCTTAATCTACTTAAGTACTTATCTAGTAATTGGATCTGTTTTCTATAATAATACGTAAGACTCTATTAAGGAGTGCCGAGAAAAGAGGTCACAAAAAATATTAATCAAACTCTTTATTTCGAAACATACATATTTGTTACAATAGTGCAAAAAACTTTTAAATAAAAAATATATATATTTAACAATTAAATTATAGTTTTTAGTCTCATATTAGTTACGAAGACATTTATTTTTTATTTGCGTAGGTACACTATACAACTAGAGTGTTCCGATTTACGAGACTGCGACCTTCGGCATAGATTCATTAATCGTAACTACTATCTCAGACGGCATATATATTTATAGAATGGAATAATAATGTCACTTTACTTAAATCTTGTTTATTTACATCTAGTATTATATAATTAAAAAAAAATGCTGTTTGTTGGTGAGCATATCACTTAAAACGGCTTGACTTATTTAGCTATTTTTTTTAAATATTCGTTATAGTCTGAATAAGATTTTTTGGATTAGGGAGAAACGGAAAGTGCTTTTTCCGATACAATTCTTGTATCAGAACAAAGTCTGTAGTTTCAGCTAGTTTTAATAATTTTCGTAGTAGTAGAAACACGAAATATTATTGAAATTAAAAGTCATTAATTAAATTGTTTTAGAAACATGACTAACCAGAATGTTATGAATCAACCGATCAAGATTATACAACATTTACCATTTGAGATTATAGCTATACCCCAAGATAATGACTATCAACAATCAAATGCCGTTGAAAATTCGACAAATCAACACAGTTTCAAAATCAAAATCAAAAATAAGAAAGAACCTGGAGTAAAACGATCTGTTATATCAGTACCTAAGTTAAATACAAGTTATAATTCAAAAAAAGTACGCCTTATTAATAGTGATCAGACAATTCTATCATTTGATCTTTTTATGGACGCTCATACTAGTAAAAGAACTCAAAAAAAGAATCAAAACAAAATTTTTCAAATGTTTAAACCCGGTAAGTAAATTTTTTTTTTGATTATAATTTAATAAGCAAATTAACAGGATAATTACCTAATAATATTTTATATATACCTTTCATCAGGCTGTCTTAATGCGCAAAATGAAGACGATAACGATCCTTATACATCTACTTCGTCTAACGGTCCCAATAAAATGCAAAATATATCTGAAAATAATATAAATAATTGCAACGAGAAGGGAGCAGAAAAATTTGCTTTAAGAAAAAATTTTGTGCTTGATAATACCGCAACAAAGCCTCCCAGATCTTTCCTGGGTCAATGCAAACCAGGTATACATATCAACATAAATATATATCTTAATGATAGAATACAATCGAAATAAAAAAGCAAAAAAATAAACATATATATTTTTTTATAAATGTTTTAGGTGGTTGTCTAGATCCACCATATAGTGAAGAGAAATACCCTTATAAACCAACCGATGATTTTTCTCCTTTATCGCTCAAAGCAGATATTGATAAAAAAATAAACCAAGATGGTAAATTTAAGAGTACAAATGAAGTAAAAGCTATTATCACAAGTGAAATAGAAGCAATAACAAACGATACATTAAATAAACAAAATGTAAACTCTCTCTCTCAAGAAGAAAATGACGATAGTTTGGTGAATTCTCTTATTACCTATCCACATACCACATCGGGCAGTAAAATTAACATTCCAAGAGAAATTCAAAATAATAAAACGAAACCACGCACGTCTTTAGAGAGCAAGCCAAAATTTCCATCTAATGAATTCCCTGAAATATATTATATGCCCCCAAAAAAAGCGAAAACTAAAAATTCTGAAGCAAAATATAACAAATATGAAAACGAAACACCTTCTGCTAATTCTAAAATAATTAATTTATTAATTAGGAATGAAATTACTAAATCCACAACACCGGTTGAAAATAAACTACAAAGTTCAGAACCAATAAAAGTTGATTATGAACCAGAATATAAAATTATAAAGAAAACTTCACAACAAACTATAAAACTATTTGATTGCTCACCAGAGTGGACTGTTACATCAAATGAAGATATTCATAAATCTGTACGTGATGATACAATGTCTTCAAAATATACTAATAACACATCAAGTGTAGAATTAATTCCAGTAATAGAAGACACAAAATTTACAACAAAGACGCTTGTTTCAAATGGTTCTATTAAATGTTTTGAAAATCCTAGTGAAGGTGAGGATATAAATAAAAAGGATATATTACCTGATAAACAGCAAAAAGAAAAAAATGAATTGAACTATTTAACAAATATCTTAGGTAAAAACTCTGAAACTCAAATAAAACCGAATTCAAAAGATTTATATGTAACGGACCCAAATATAAGTCTAAAAACATATGAAGCTCCGTTTTCAAATACACAATCTATTCATGAATTATTCGATTCTATTCCCACAAGCAGTATATCTATGATATCAAATATAGATAAAACTAAAGTAGATATTAAAGATATTAATGTTCTTTATAAAGATGAAAAATTGTTTAATATTTCTCCAAAAACATCCCAAGAATCACTTGAAAAAATTGACACCAGAGTTGAAATAAACAAAAATGAATTATCAGATCATATAAAAAAAGATAAAAATACAAATAACAATGTGATTATTCCTTCATTAAGTAATACTGATAACCAACTGCAAATAATTAAACCAGAAGTCACTCCAGAACATATAATTGAAAATAATTTAACGAAGGAGAGTAAACAGACTATTGATGAAATATTATTCACAAAGCAAACTGAAAGTTTAATTATATCATCAGAAAAACTCCTTGATACGTCATTAATATACGAATTAAATGCAGATAATCAAGCGCCCAACATAGATAGTACAATTACTCCTAGTATTGAGCAAATATCAAAATCACAACTTAGACAAGATAGTAAAGAAATTGATTCAGTAATAAACAATGACATGCTTGCAAAAATTAAACAATTAGAGTTTTCTCCAAAACCTTTTCAAAAATCCCTCAGGACACCTGAAGTGAATGAAAAAATATCATTACAAAGTCTTGAATTCCAAAGCAAAGACATCAATACGTTATCGCCCACTTTGGATACTCTTGCTAGAAAATTAGATGACCCGTCAAACATAAAATTAGCAGATTTAGATAATCTATTTGCCAGAACGGAACCCAATGATACACCAAAAATTGATACAAAAAGCATTCATAGTATTGAAAATTCTGTTTTGGAAATAAAACACCCCAGCCAAGATTTCATAGAACAGAATAATGATGTCAGTGTTTTATATTCTGCATTAAACAGCCCCGTCAAAAGTTCCGATACTAAAATAAATATCGAACCAGATAATATAATTAAAACTGATTTGAATGTCGACATATTTAAAGACTTAAACAACGAAGAAGAAGATCTAAAAGCAACGACTGATTCTGTTATTTATGAAAGAACACTCACACAGCAAAGCGTATGTTGTTAATTTATAACTTGCCGTATTTCTCTAGCTAGCTCTTCATCTTTCGTAATATCAATAAAAGTTCAAATTCAAATATTTAAGTATATGATGACAATATCCTTGATCAACTCCGGCCATGGCGGCCAATCTCACTGAGAGCGTTCACTCACTAGTGCACAAGTGGTTGTACAAATACAAGTGCACTCTCTATTTTGTTTTACTCTTAAAGTCCGAAGGTACGGTAGTTTGACATGATCGGTTAAAGTTAGGACGCAGAACCAACGGCTTTACGTGCTCTCCGAGGCTGCTACTGAGAATTCCTTAACAAAAACTCAATAACTAAACTTTTCCCGACCCGGGACTCGAACTCAGGAACTCCGGATGTGCGGCCATACATGCTAACCACTACTTTATTAATATACTATTACTACTACTAGCGACTTACCCTTGTTTCCCTCGCGTTCGTTCCTAGCTTACTTCCCCGTACAAACTTTCATCCCCATTCTCATCCCCTTAAGGGATGATTTCCGGGATAAAAACTTTTTCAGTCACTCAGTTTTCTTATCATGAGATTTAAAAAATCTGATTTTAGTAAAAAAAAAATTTCTTTTAATTTTCTTCTATACAAAACTTGTCCTGACAATAAAAAACACAAAAAAACCTATATATATATATATATATATATATATATATATATAGGTGACTCTTTTTTATTTATATAGATGGATAGATGTGCATTGTACAATATAACCAGAAACTTTTTTTTAATCATAAAATTCATGAAATTAAGTTATCTTATGCTATAAATATTACATTTTATAACTAGAGTAAAAACTATATATTTGATAACCTCGTCTAACCTCCAAGGATATAAGTACAAAAATTAGCTTATAAGTGCAAAAGTACATTTAAACTTATAAATATATATCAAATCAATGTTCTAGTTCATGGTAGAAAATGAAATGAAACCTATCCCACTTCAAGTTGAAATGGTTAACTGTGCAACAGCAAGCAATACGGAGCAAAATAGTTATGAAAGCAATGACAAAATGAAATATAACAAAATTAGCAATGTGAATGATGTTACAGATTCGAATGTGAGATCTAATATACTATTTCCTTACCTACTATAAATGCACCGCCTCAATGCCAAACCAACCAACGTCATACACAAAATCTCAGTCATACTAAACTGTTAATTAATAGACTAGCTCTTAAGTTACATTATGAGAGAGTTTTTGAAATAAATAATAATTTACCAATAATTGTCGTAAGTGTGAGTCTTTACTAATTTGATACTTATACTTTTAGGATGATATTAAAGACATAAGTTTAGAATCCAGCGCAATAACAAAAAATAAAGAACAAGATTTAAATGAAATATATTTCGATGACATCAATAATTATACAAAACTTAAAGAGAATATGGTACAATCGGTTAGTTTAAATTATATATTTTTTGAGTACAATAACATTCCATTTATCTTATATTTACATTTCAGCAATCTTTAGAATATCAACAAAAAACAAATGAAAACACTAATCCTGAAGATGTTGGTATATTGAATAAAATTAACATTCATTATAATATTTCTTCAAAAACATCATTACCTCATTCAATGGAAACTGTGGAAAGATCAATCACTAATGATACATCTAGAAACCACAGTAAATCGTCTTTGAAAGGAAACGGAAAGGACGGAACTATAAAAGGAACTTCTAAAGAATTGCTCGTTCCATTTCAAATTCAAGAAAAATCAAATGACGCAGGTTCCCTAAAGATAAAAGATAAATATAATGAAAATATAAGTCAAAAAATATCTTTTTTAGGGAAATACAAATCTCCATCTCAATCAGTGTATTCAATTCAGGCGCAATCTAGAGAGAAAACTATTGTATCTAATATCATTTCTACTGTTCCTGAAGTTAAGATTGATGGCAATAATGACACAGACAATAAAGCAAAGTCTAAAAATGCAGAACAGTTGAATGGTGAAACATTTAATGAAATTAAAATAACAGGTGAATCGGATTATTTTGCTACGAAAGGATTGATAGATTTACAGGGTACAGAAAAAAACTTAACACTTTTAGATTATGAAGGAGAAATTTGTACTTCATATAAGCAGCCGCATAAACAAGTCAATAGTGCAGCTATTTCCTCCATCGCAATAAACTTTGGATTCCGAGCCGCTAAAACTGAGGACAAGAAAGTTTTAATTCAAACATATGATCCCACAATGCCAATTGAAGAAAAGTTAGAAGAAAGGATAACAACTATTAAATCTTTAATTAGAGAAAATAATAAAGAAATACGAATACATATAAATTCGGAGACTGATTTAACGTTATGCATTACGAAAAATAAAATTCCCACTAAAAGTAAGTTAATTCTTTCCAATTTGACTAACTAGTTTTTGTTTTATAATTTTTATATTAATATTTATTATTTTTACAGTAACAAACTCAACGACGATTGTCGAAGAAAAAACATATATTCAAAATACATCGAGTTCTGATAAAACGTTAAATTATGATAGTTTATTGCAAGAAACATTAAATTCAGTATATGATAGTTTAATACCCTTACAAGAGGTAATTAATAATTTGACAGAGGAAGCTAAGTTATTATCTCAACAACAAACGCTCTTTAGACAACTGTTAAGCAAGATGGAAACAAAGCCTTTACGAATACTTAATATCCACCAAATGTGTAAATGTAACAAAAATTAAATATGAACATGACTGATCCACATCACAGCGTACTAATATTAGGGTAAGTGCGTTATTTATATATAGCATTTGTTATAACATATTAATTATGTCCACAAAGCTCCATTGTGCAATGATCCTTTTAATGCACCGTACATAAAAGGTAATTAGAGGTCTAGTTATGTTTTTCTTACAAGCGAAAAGATATTTTTTCTATACATAAAGCTATTTACTAATAGATAACAAAGACTCTATCCATCATACTGTACGTATCATTGTAAATAAGATATGCAGGAGATTTATGAAAGAATAGTCAAAAAATATCTTTGTAAAGAATTACTATGATCTTACCATTTACCAATTACATACGAAATGGACAAAAGGTAAATATTAAAGAATAAAATATAAGGCAGGTAATCCACACTAAAACTGTCTCTAAAAATTAATGATTTTTAGGATCTCTCCATTCGCTTCAGCCTTCACAACATTCACGCCGTCGTAAAGATCACTATGTTTATAGGAACCTATTGTTTTGTCGTTATGAAATGTATCCTATCACTTTCGATCGAAAACTCTATCCACCTATGAAATTCCTGTTAAAATATTTACGTATCAAGAAGTTCTTTTCCTTTTAACTCACTGGAACTCGATTAATTCGACGACGACCCGTTTGGCTGAGTTGGTAGTGATCCTACTTGCTGTGCCAGCGGTCGCGGGTTCGAGTCCCGCTGGGGGCATTCGTTTGTGTGATGATCACGAATGTTTGTACTCCAGTCATGGGTGTTTATATTTATAATATGTATGTATTTAAAGTTATATGTGTAGTGTATCAACTATCTGGTATCCATAACACAAGCCTCGTAGCTTACCATGGAACTAGATGGCGCTGTGTGTTAATGTAAAAAAAAACAATTTACCCGTATAAAACTAGCCCATATCATTCTCGCCTTTCATATATTAGACAGCGCTAGGCAGCTAATTCGTAGACGTAGCAGATAGCAACAGAACCAAGAGATGAGAGGTTTAAATAAAGGCATTTTTTTTAGATTTTACAGACACTTTGATTTTGTATTATAACTTGGTAAATACATTTACAATAAATATAGATATATGACGTATGCAATAAATTAGTATAGATTATATGGACTTTTTTTCTAGATTTATAGGTTTTTATTATTATGTTTACGATTTAGATAGATTGTAGTACAAACTACAAGCTGTCGCTTGGCTTCTACTACTTAAAAATACCCCCAACGCAAATTGAATAATGTTTCCTGTACAAACTTGACCCCGTTATTTCTTTATTACGTATCAATTCAAGAATATTAGTAACATGCCGCTAGCTAACAACCTGTCTTTCAAACCCATAGATTTTTTACTGTATATCTACTGAGCTGTAGGTTAAGATATTCTTTAAAATTGATTATGAAAATGTTCACCTCAAAGACAATCTTACGTATTTTGTTTTGGTAACGGCTAATTTTAGTAAATGTGCCACAATCACCCTTGTGTCGTGTTATCTACATACAAGTTTATATATTAATAGCAGGGTCAAGCTTATTTACTACTACTTTATTACTCCTCCACGCTGAATTAGTTGGTTGAATTTAGATGAAATTTAAAAAAGGCCGTGGTTTCGCAGTGGTTTTTCATTTGCAATTCATGGAGTTTTACTCGATGCCAGCAGATGCAAGGCGAAGTAAATCTGCTTTACATGTATAAATACATCACCATCGTTTTGTTTGTATTTATATCATTTACGACATTTATCAAGAGATGAGCATTGAGTTGGTTTGTTAATATACTTTATTTTCTTAGCTTTTTCTGATTTACTCAAACAAAATCTAATGTAAAAAATTGAATCAACCCACCTCAGGATCTAACTTAACCATTTCCCTGTCCCATGAGTCATATATATATCATATTTCGATTGTTTAACTATTGTGTCTATTTTGCGGGCGGACAGTTAATCTCTTAATAAAGTACAAATTAGCCAAATCACTGGAGGCATTGCCGAAAAACGGTTTGCATACATAAAAAAATATTATAAGCGTCGAACTCGAACATTACTGTCGTGCCTTCTTCTTTTCTGAAGTCGGATAAAACACTTTTGATATACAGAAGATATTTGCATATAAAATATGCCTCAGTATAACTGGTTCATTGAATGCAAGTACATAATTCGTTGGCTCACTGTTTCAAGGTTCTAAGGTTCGGTTATAATTTTAGTACTTATTTAGTTATTAATGCTACAAGGTTCTATGTGTTATATGCTACAGTTTTGCATAAAACCACTAGATAGCGGCACTATAACTACAAAATATTCATTTTTACATAGTTCTATGTTGTTGTTTTTTTTGATAACAAAATAACGAAGTTCTGTGTAAAAATTACTAAACTTCATTTAAAATTAACATAGAACCTTGTAATAGTAAGCCAACGAATTATGTCGTTGGGTACGAGCAGAATTATTTGGCCGATATTTACGCGCATGTCTTCGCGCTCTTTTTATAATAACGACCAAAAACAATATTCGCTCCGCGATCTCATTTTAGTTCCTTATTGTGTTATATTATGGATTATTATCATTCACAGCTGATAGGACTATAAAAGCTGGCTTTGTTATACATGTGAGATTATGTAGTGTAAATAAATTTGATAAGATGCATGAGATACGTAATTATGATTTAATTTATCAGCTGCCAAGTCATAGTGAATTTTAAAAAATGGCAAGTTAACGTCGGACTTGGAGTGAGTTGGTCGTCTCGGTGAATCGTTCAAAAGAAATTCGAATTGTTATTAAACAATAATGAAAGAGATAGATACTGTGTCGAAGACTATAGATACAAAGAAAAATTATGAGGTGGATTTGGATCAAGCTCTTTCGATTGCAGGTTTGAAATAACTAAATATATTTATAGCTTCTTTTACATATCTTATTTTGACCTAATATTGGCCTTTGATTAATATTCGTGTAATCATGCCTTGCAATATAATAGAATTACTTAGTACAAATATGGTAATTAAATCAATTTTATGCAATGAACAGATACAATACAATTCGATAGTTAACTATTATTTTCAATATTGTTTGTTTATTCAATGCTTTGTAGGTATATATATCAATTTGTTTTTTCGCTTTGACCTATGAAGTGATTAAGAGTAAAGTTAATTAGTTTCTTCTAATTAGTTAAATCTCGGAGCCCTTTTTTTTAATGTTGGGAAATGCATTTACACATACGACCATACAGGTAGTTATGTGAAGCGCACCGGTTACAAAAGACAGTACTACCCCCTAAAACCCAACAAAACCTCCCCCGTCTTAATGGGGTGTCGCAGGGTTGCTCGAATTGTCCACTTTGCTATCTTAGAAGTACCAGGAGCAACACCGCCCACCAAAGTGGACAGTCTCCTAGAGCGTTTCTTTTACCTCTATAAAACTTTCATGTGCTGTTTTTCTATAATTATTTTTTTTTTATTTTTTTTTAATTAAATACTTTTAAAATCATTACAATGTTCTAACTTTGTATACATAACAACATATGAGAACAAGAACTTCATTATAATTGCCAATTATTTATCAAGAGCAATTGAATGATATTTAACACAATATATGTGACTAAATTATGAATCTCAGCACAGATTTTCATCAGATAAAAACCATCACGACTGAAAATATGGAAGTAAAAATTCGCATTAATATTGGTATGTTTCGGGAGAACGATGCACAGGCATCAAACTCATGATTTAACATTAAAAAATAAAAAACTAACTATATTAAAAAAACGTTAAAAATTTCTTCCTTACTTATCTCATATGAAACTTCCACTATTTCTTACCAAAACCTCTACCAGCCAAACAATTCTGCTAAAAATGACTGAAATCAGGGAACAGAGTTCGAGATGTTCTTTGAGAGTGGTAGCACTAATAATCTATACTATAATTTAACAGTAAAGGTCGAATGTATAGCAAAAAATAGCATAGCAAAAAAATGCTAAAAACCGAGTCAGGGGGATGTAAGAAGACAAATAGAACAAATCCAGATATTTTTTTATTTTTTTGTTTCTCTGTCTGTTTGTCTGTTTGTACGGGCTAATCTCCGAATCTATTGGACCGATTTAAATGAATTTTTGCATGGTGGTTACTTATATGCCCGAGCAACATCTTAGATACTTTTTATCCCGGAAAGATAAATAGTTCCCGTGGGATAGTTAAAAAACTATAGTATCTTATACAGCTTAGTACACAACAACTTATGCACCTAATTTAGTAAAATTTAACATTCTGATACCTTATATTGCCGGTCAAACAACAGGTTACTTTTCATCCCGGAAAAATGAACGGTTCCCGTGGGCACTAATAGATCTCTATTAGTGTTTTTCTAGAGGCGAACCCGAGCGAAGCGAGGGTGAGCCGCTAGTAATCATATTAATTCATAATTATAGGTCAAAGCAATCGTTTTATTTCATTCAATTTATAAATGACAATAACAATATTACAAATAATTATTATATGGGTTAATCAACTTTTAAGGCACTCTTTTCTAGTCCCTGTCACATTTAACATCAAACATATTGACTAATCTAAAAATATAAAAACTATGGATAATAAATTACCTTATGTATCTGTTATATTGGTTCTTATAAGTGAATACCGAATGCAACTATGTATACCTATACAGACATATTACATGAATTCTTATTAATAAATTACAATAATAAATTTAGAAATAGCAATTTTAGGAATTGGTTAGAATAAAAAAAAAAGGTTTATAAAATTCAATCCTTGAAAAAACAAGTTGCAAAGTTTATATGGAAACTAATATTATCCTGCTCAATTTTACCAAATTTTAATCCTCCAGGGTGAGTTTCGTAAAGTATCCAATTAAAAATTAAAGCCGGCGTATATAATACGTATAGCGTGAATATAGTGTAGTATACTATAATCTATACTAATATTATAAAGAGGTAAGTTTGTGAGTTTGTGATTTCTGATTTTGTGACGTTGTAGGGGGTAATCTTTGGATCTACTGAACCGATGTAAATGAAATTTAAATCGATTCAGTAGATCCAAAGACCCTGACCTGACCCTAAAAAGGACAGAGGATACTTTTTATCCCGGAAATCATTCATCAATCATCAATCAAGAGTGTGAAAATGGGTATGAAAATTTGTATCGGAAATAAACCTACGGACGAACCCGAGCGAAGCTAGGGTGAGTCACTAATATATTATAAGTCGTAAGATGAACGTTTTACTCTAACAGGTATATATTATATAAAATGTATGTTTTTACTAGTATAGTATTTATTATATGATCTGTGGTTTTAATGAATATAAAAGAAAGTATTATCTAAACCTATTTCGTACTAAATAACCGTTTTTAATCTTGTTCGTCCTAAATAATGTATTTGTAATAAAAAAAAACGTTTTATCAGGCTGAGTACATTAATTACAAAAACAAAAAATCAACCGTGTAAAAAATGAACTACATAAAACTGCATTGACGTAGGAACCGTGAACATTCCACCCAACAACTTTTTAGTTTTCCAGTTTTATTAACTGCTTAATTAAATTTTCCCGCATTATTATTAAACATATGGTTTTTAATATTCTTTTGTAATTTACTCTTAAAATGCTTCATTTTGATATTCCTTGGAAAAGTTTCGAAGAAAAAAATCAATAGTCTATAATTGACGCCTAAAAACCTCCATTTATGATTTATTTAATTTTTTACTATTTCAATAGGTATACTCTATGTCACAAGCGTTTTTAAGACGTATCAATCAGTCAATCAACCTATCGCCGTCCACTACTAAACAAAGGCCTTTTTTTTTAACATTGGGAAATCATTTACGCACGAGGTGTGGGACTCACCGGCGTAATAAAGCCAGTACTACCCACTAAAATCCAACAAAACCTTCCCCCGTCTTAATGGGGCGTCGCAGGATTGCCTACGCATTCAACTACGACGCCCCGACGGCAGGTCTGCCAAAGCAGACCACCACAACCATGGGGTTGCTCCAAGGTCCACTCTGCTATCAGAGAAGTACCAGGAGCAACCGACATGGTACACCGCCCATCGAAGAGGGCCACCTCCCTCCGCCCACCGAAGTGGGCTACCTGCCTGTGCGTTTCTTGGCTTCGTGCCTGGTTGGATTGCCGAGCACTACTGAGCCCCCCCCCCCTCACCCCCCACGATCGTGGGTTCTGGGATTAGAAATTAGGTATAACTCGTAACGTTCAACATAGATTTTTATTGCTTTTACGAAATAGGTACACAGTACATACATACATACGTATTTTTACACGAAAACATATAGGAGTAACGGCTTTCATTAATCACTGATTTTTATGTTCCACCACAAATTCGACTACCACTCTCATTTCCACGTCGAATTTCTTCTTTATCCTTATTCAACATCACGTATTTGTACCTACTAAACGGAATATAAACAACCCCCTATATCTGTATAAATATCATAAATGTGAAAGTTTGTGAGTATGTATGGATGTGTGTTACTCTTTCACGCCAGAACGGCTGAACAGATCTGGATGAAATTTGGCAAAGATATAGATCATAGTCTAGAGCAACACATAGGCTACTTTTATCCCGGAAAATATAGGGTTCCCGAGCGATAGATTTGATTTTGTTTTGTGGCGAACCCGAGCGAAGCGAAGGTGAGCCGCTAGTTAATATATAAAACAAAGAACAATTTTAAAAACGTTCTTGTATTGATGATTTCTTTCTGGAAACTCTTCTATCTCTTGTGCATTGAACGCAATTTCCAATTAAATAACTTCGTCCTTGTATAGCAACCATCTTGACAATTATTTTCAAACTTGGTTAAACGTGCTATTGTGATATAAAGACGTCTGACGATCTACGCTCGCAACTATGCGGCATACTCGTATTTATGTGGATTATTTTGTTTTAAGTCATACAATTGATGTATGACGCTTACAATTTTTTTTTATTTTGTACTTAAATATTTTAAAACATTCTGTGTACGTAGGTACAAATGTACAAACTTGACCCATTTACTATACCGTACAAATTTACTTAAAACAATGAGATTCATTTTTAAGAATTTAATATAATTTATTCATAAAACTAAAAATAATGCTTAATATAATCATTTATAAATTATAAATACACATTATAATTTAACAATACAAACAAAACTCGTAGTTATAACAAAGATATTTCCTGTGAATCATTGATATGCAGTGTTTTTATACATATTCGTAAATGAACCAAATCCATTATATAACAAGTTGAATTTATAACACTAAAACAAAGCCGCTGTCTTCGTCTTTCTCTTTCTCCGCTTACTTCTTCTAAGCCACGTAACGAATTTTGATAAGTTTTGCGATAATAGATAGATTTCTTTATATAATTTGTAAATATTTTGCACAAAATGACTGAGCCCAGACAGTGTTTTGTCAAAAAAATCGCTGTCGTACCACATGACTAACGCTAGCTAAACATTTGGAGAAAATTGTAGATGTTGAAAAGACCTACAAAAAAATCTGCAATAGCATGTGTCTATCTCCTAAGTTACGCTTACAATAACTATTTTCTATCTATATAAAGCATACCCAGGGACGTACACGAGCGAAGCGAGTGTAAGTTGCTAGTACTCTTTAAAGTAAACAAATGGTTTATGTATTTTTTCCATATTATTTTTTATGTAAAAGACAAACTTATGCAATAAATATCGATAAAATATTTTATAAGCTCTCAAAGAATACGAAATTAAATAACATTTCATCAGCAACCGTTTTAAGCTTTCTCTAAATTTATTCTCACTTAAACCTATCCCTCGATTTCCTTTGATACACATATAAACAGAAAAAGGAAAAATTATATATTGTATATAAAAATAATTCTTCTGTCTTCTGTCCAAAATGATATAAAACAGTTATTATCTCCGAGAAGTGCTTTTAATAAATAACATACATTTATATAATTTAATAACAATGTAATCCACCTTTGAACACAACATGCTTAAATATTGTCTATTTACGAAATGCAATAAAAATACCGTACATTTTTAAAAAAGCGATTCTTTTAAAATCGTCGATCGTTTTATAGTATTTAATTATGGCTTGAACTTGTCTGGACATGCTACCGCGTGTCTTCATTACTTTGTATTTAATATTTCCATAAATTATGTGATATATAGGCAGCCAATTATTTTATCATTATTGGTATTCATGAAACTTTAAACAACAACAATATTTTATTTCTATTATAAAGAAAATATACCGAAACCTGTTACCATTTTTGCGCGCAACTAACTCAGTACAGTCTATCTAGAGTCGCATCCGATATCTACATATTATATTATACACTAGCGTCTCACCCTCGCTTCGCTCGGGTTCGTCCCTAGCATGATTCCCCATACAAACTTTCATCCCCATTTTCACCCCCTTAAGGAATGATTTCCAGGATAAAAAGTATCCTATGTCCTTCCCAGGATCTCAAACTATCATCTTACCAAAATCCAGAGATTACCCCCTCCAACGCCACAAACTCACAATTCACAAACTTTACCTCTTTATTATATTAGTATAGATTATACACATACTAATACTATAAGGGCCTGTCCGCACTGCGATATTTCACCGCGCGATTTTTATTCTCGCGTATTATATTCCGTGATCGAAATTGTACTTATTACGCACTGCGAATAAAATTTCGTACGATTTTTGTCAGTTTTATGCAGTTCCCGACTGAGACAAATGTCTAAAATGATAATTCTACTATATCTACTGAGACATTTTAGTAATCTAAAATGATGTTTTTCTACATTAAATATCAAGAGCTGCGAAAATACAGTAAAAAATTTTTCGAATATTACAGAATGACTACAAAATCATTCGATAAACCAATAGCGTCGGTGCACGACTGAGCGAAACGCGCGAATTTTATTTCGCAGTGCGGCCATAGCCATACATATTATATACTGTACAAAACATTCGCGCGGAAATAATCCGCGCCGCATCGCGTTCAATTTGCATCAAATCACAGATTTTTTTTCCGCGCGAATTTTTAACCGCCAGTGCGGATACTCCTATAACATTCAATGTGTTACAGAATTGCGGGAATAAAAACGTGCGGTGAAATATCGCAGTGCGGACAGGCCGTAAGCTGAAGAGTTTTTTCGTTGTTTTTTTAACTAGTTTCTAGAACTAAATTTGAAAAATAATTTTTACATTTCATAATCTTTTTATTCAAAAAGTAGCTAACGATGAATAAACTACGCCAACGGAGCTAAAGGCAAAAGCTAGTTACATATAAAAATACCTACTATTAAATTTAATAAAAAACAACTCTAGTTTTACTTTTACTAGTTTTAATGTAAATGGAATATTATCATTATATAATAGGTAAAATAATATTCAATACAAGTTATCATTTCAAAATTCACCTTAAAAGTAAAATTTATTCCACCGTAAGTGGTGGATTTTTTTCTTGAAATTTATTTAAGTCACCCTCGAGACCTATACCAATGATTTTATACTTTAAAATATTTCGTACTCATGGAAAAAATAAACATCATTTATACCTACTTCTTAACGAGATTTGAAACTTTGTAAGCCGGTATGTGAAAAATTTTAGCTGATCTGGTAATGGAACCAAATGGCGGATAGTGGAATTTAATAATGGGTCAATAGCTATGGAATTTAAAACTGGTGTAACCTTCGAGCTTGGGGTTTATTGGTTTTTTTATACATTGTAGTCGATCAAACGTGTGTATCTATATTACTTTATTAAAATTATTTTACCAGTGTGTAATAGATAAGTAATAATATATGTGTGTTTTGTTTTATAGGAATGGGCTGTTATAATATTAAATACAGTTTAGTCCTGGCCTTATTCTTAATAGCAGCAATTGTTGAAAGTGTCGGATACTCTTATATTATGCCCGCTGCCAAATGTGATCTGCAAATGACTGACGCCCAACGGGGGTTCATTTCTTCAATTCCATATATAGGTAAGATTTGGATATTTTGCACCACTTACTTTTACTAATTTAAAAATATTAAAACGACTTACTTAGCTTAGCTCGAGTTCGTCCTTACGTGTTTTTTCCAGTGTCGAGTTGTTTCCAACTTCAATTAAAGTTATTATTTTTTTCCTGACAGTAAACGCATTTATATCAAAATAAAAAATTAAAAAATTTTTTTTTGTCTTCTTTCATTTGGCTTTTTGGCTTTTGGCATAATATGATACTTGCTTATTATGTTTTATTTAAATCTACCTACTAGCAGCATATTTGTCAATAAAAAATAACTACTAATATTCCAGGCATAGTAATAACATCGTTTCCTTGGGGGTATCTAGTAGACACGCAAGGGAGAAAGAAGATGGTTATATACAGCTCTCTAGGCGCCGGAGTCTTTGGTGTTATAGCAGCGTTCATGCCAGAACTCATAAGTTTCACTATTTTTAAAATGCTAAGCTCTTTATGGTAATATTATTATTTATTTATTTTACTAGAATTGCCCGCGGCTCCGCCCGCGTACAGATGGCCAAAAACCAAATTCTTAGGTTTTACATATTAGTATTCTCTTACATTGCAGTTTTTGTGTATAGCACCTGTTTAATATTTAATTTGTAGTATAGCATGTCCAGCAGCAGTTCCCTACTCGTACATTGGAGAGATACTTCCACAGCGCTATAGGGATGTAACGCTTTCAATTACAAATGCTATGCAAATATCAGGTTCTGCTATAGTTCCATGTAAGTAAATAATTTAATAATACCATGAACTTGTATTTTATACGGCACATATGTACTTAGACAATTTTATTATATTATGTTACTTTAGAATTATCACTATACACACACACAATGTTTTACGATTATATTACGTGATGTTACGTACAGACGCGTTATCGTTTTTAGATAATAAAAACGAAGTCGATGTAAGGGAATTATATAATTTTAGTTTTTTTTTTTTAATTTATATTTGTTGAGATACCGCATTAATAACTTATATTCTGGTAATTTAATTATTGCGACAAATGATTTATTACGGTATACAGGTTACATTATACAAACTTAAAGTATACTTATAGTACAAACAGGTTGACATAAAGCTTAGAATTTAGTATTAGCTTGGGGTTTCATTAGAAACAATTCGATTATAAATATATATAAATATATAAATTAGAAACAATTCGATTTGTTAACAAAAGATCGCTGTTTAATTTTTTTTTTTTGTATGGGATAGGGCATCAATACTAGTATAGTATTAATTTATCTGTGGTAAAAGAGTCCCATGATGACCTATTAACATATTAGGAATAAATTTCCTTGCACTGGTTGACGACACGGCACAAGTTTAGAATAGGGGACGTTGCCCCTGGTGGAGTGGGTGGTATTTCTGGATAGGGGATGTGATAGGGCGTCGAAATGTTAAATAAAAATTTTTCCGAAAACGTACGAGTAAAAAGTTATTGAGACTTAAAGTTACAACATTTCCATACATTTTCATATATTTCTTTCCACCATTCGGAGTGGGTGGTATTTTTAGATAGGGGAGGTGACAGAGAGTCAAAATATATTAAAAATATTTGGAGGAAACGTACGAGTAAAAAGTTATTGAGACTTAAAGTTATAACATATCTAACACATTTCCATACATTTCTTTACCTAAATAAGTGATTACAACAGATAAACATACCTTTAACGAATAGTACGCATCCTTTTTTATGTACAATACATATTTTCACAACAATTAATGCTTTATTGTATTTAATATTTTAATAATTTCACAACACAAACAAAATGATCTTACATTTTGACAAAAGCAAAACTGACACTTTGTTTTATATTACCGCTTAAATGACAACAGATTATATTTGATTATTTTTGCTTTTTCTGTTGGTAAAATATTACTATTAATAAATAAATAAATAAATAAAAAGAAAAATATTATTTTCACTTTATAAATACATTTATGACTTTTTATTTGATTTATGTAAAATATATTGTTTTACAATTGTACATTTAGTAAAAAAAATCATTTTTTATCTGTGAATATTTTTAATTATTTATTTATTATTCGTCATATCTGGGTTAGGTTAGGTTAGAACATTTACCCGGGGGAGAAGCCAACTCCTACCGGGCGCGTCCCCAGGTGGCGGATAGGGGAATGCCACCCGCTTAGGGCGGCGGGTGGTACCGGAGAAATCCGGCGCGGACCAAATGGCTTGGATGGGGCCGCTCGTCTAGGCCTCGAGCCGAAGACGTTGCGGCCACCGGTGGTGGGACCGCTTGGTCCCACAACCGGATGATGGGTGCCGGTTGCGGGACTGTGGTCGCAGGCCCGCATCCGGCGGAGGGGTAGGCCGCGGCGGGAGAGGAGTGCCTGTATTTCGGTGCGCCGTTCTCCCTACCTTCCGCGGCCTAGACGGGGCCGCCACCGTTTGATGGCGGACGCGGTGGGACTGCAGGGGAAGAGGAGTGTCGGTGTTTCGTTACCGCTCTCCCTGTCCTCTGCAGCCGATTGGAGGTGGCCCACTTCGGTGGGCGGAGGTTCGGTTTTATGGAGCTGCTCCGGGTACCTCTCTGGTGTAGCAGAGTTGACTGTGGAGCAGCCCCATCGGTGTGGTGGTCAGTCGTTGGCAGACCTGCCGCCGGGGCGCCGTAGTAGTTATGCGCAAGCGATCCTGCGGCGTCCCATTAAGGCGGAGGGGAGGGGAATGTCGGGTTTTAGTGGGTAGTACCGGCTCTTCTAGCCGGTGAGCCCCACATCACCACCTGGGGGATCAGGTGGTATGCGTAAATGCATTTCCCGACATAAAAAAAAAAAAAAAAAAAAAGGTTAGAACATTTAAGATTATTTATTTATTATTCGTCATATCTTGGTTAGGTTAGGTTAGAACAGTTGCCACAACGCACGAGCCGAGCGAGCGAAGCGAGCGTGCCGCGGTAGCGGCCGGCGAGTGCCATAAATGACTAGAAAACTAGAAAATTCGAATTTCACGCAAGTACAAATAAAGACAATCATCTGGAGATCATTTTGATAATTGAGTGACGTTTGACATTTCCAAGTGTCTACCATTTGGTACTAATGTCAAAATAATGTATGGAAATGTTGTAATTTTAAGTCTCAATAACTTTTTACTCGTACGTTTTCGGAAAAATTTTTATTTAACATTTCGACTTCCTATCACGTGCCCTATCCAGAAATACCACCCACTCCGCCAGGGGTAAAGTCCCCTATTCTAAACTGCAGCCGACGACACTTACAGTACTGTTAATCATGCTAATATATATTAGGTCTAACAAATTTTATTTTTTTATCAAAATATATCTACCTATTATCAATTTTCTTTTCAATAGTTCATATTGATTTTTACAGTGATAGCATGGGCCATACTTCCTCTGGATTTTAGAATCGATTTTGGACTATACGTTTTTAGACCATGGAGGCTGTTAACAATTATATATTCCTGCTTTTTCTTGATTGGTGCTTTATTGATGTCATTTGGTCCAGAAAGTCCAAAATATCTAATCTCGCAAGGCAAGCACGAGGAGTCTCTCCAATCCTTAAGACTTATATATTCAGGAAATAAAAGAAAACCGTTGCAGAGTTACCCAGTGAGTATAATTCTTAATTAACAGATAAACTGTCCGCAAAATAGACACAATAGTTAAACAATCGAAATGTTCATATATGACTCATGGGACAGGGAAACGGTTAATATTGCATGACGTAGGTAATTTAAATTTGCAACGTACCCCCAACGTGCGTTCACCTGGCTCTTCTAACCGGTGAGTCTCACATAACCACCTGTATGTCTACAGGTGGTATGCGTAAATGCATTCCACAACATTAAAAGAAGGTAATTTAAAGCCAGTACGGGGAGTACTTTCTTATTGAACTGTAGAAAGAGCGTGCGTCTTATATGTCGGACGACTTTAAAAAATAATCTTATTTTTAAAAGATCAGACGTGTCTAATTGATAAAAAGGACTGAATTATGAACTACTAGCGGCTCACCCTCGCTTCGTTCGGGTTCGGAAAAACAAAAACAAACCTATCCCACGGGATCCGTACATTTTTCCGGGATAAAAAGTTGCCTATGTGTTATTCAAGACTATTATGTGTTATTCAAGACTATATTCTATCTCTGTGCCAAATTTCAACCAGATCCGTTCTGCCGTTCTGGCGTGAAAGAGTAACAAACATCCATACTCACAAACTTTCACATTTATAATTATAGCATAGATATTAAATATTAATATAGATTAACAAATAATGAATTGAATAAAAGAAATGGTGAATTTTGCGAAGAAAAGTGACTTAAAATTACTGATTACTAATTGATCTGTATGATTATTAAAACCTAGATCCATATAAGATCGATAAATAATATTTTATAAGTAGCGGCTCACCCTCGCTTCGCTCGGGTTCGTCGCTAGATACGATTTAAATAGATGTGAATAGTTATTAGCCAGCGTTAGCCATATAATTATTTTTATGTTAATAATATTGACAAATATTGACATTCATATTTATACGATTCTTACGTCACTCAATTGCCATTAATGTTTTGCTTTCCCGGAACCTCTCCACTAACACTTAAACTTTATGTTATGGTATCAAAGTTCAAATTAACTTTTAAGTATTATTACGAATCTTTTGTATGGCAGTACAGAAAAGTGTTGTTTTTAGACTTTTACAGGCAATTTTTAAATTTTTTCTCTCCGTAAGAACCATCCTCGTACTTCAAGGAATGTTCTAAAAAAAGAATTAGCGAAATCGGTTCAGCTGCTCTCGAGATTTGAGCTAAGCAACACATTCAGCGATTCATTTTTATATTATAGATATAACATGCTATTTACTTCTTATCGATAATGACGTCTAGTGAATTAGTCATCCCAAAAATGTATCGATTTTAATAAAAATAAGATAATTAATTTTCCTAATTTCATCATAAATATTTTTATATCATTTTTTAATAACTAATCCTTTTTCAAAGAAAACTATCTAAATTCTAAATCTAATTGATAGCGAGGAACATAGGTAATATGACTAATAATTTCTACGTAGGATCTATTTATACATTAACCTAATAAAATTCTAACAACTACAATACGCGAAGATCTTTGTCTACAAAACAATTATATACTAAATACATAACAAAAAACAATAGGTATCATTATCTTATTTTATCCACCACCATTTATTATTTTTACTACATTTTAGTTGTGTCTCTTAGTCTCAATCTATATAATATTTAAAAAAAGTACATAATCACGCTTCGGACTCCCCGCCTTTTATACCAGCGGCCGCGAGACGCGTCGAGCGCGGCGACCGATTTATACAATAAAAATAATCCACATGAATCAGTATTCACGCGCGATGGCTTATTATTAGCGGATTTCATGTATAACTTTGGTGTTTCTATACCGATTTCTACGATTCTTTTTTATGGAATACTTAACAATGTTAACTTTTTTTATTAGGGATGACTGAGAGTGTTATAAACGTAAGAGTAGACAAATATAAATCAGAAAGCTTCGAACTGCTAAGCTATCGGGAGTTACACGTGTTATTGTGAGTCAACCATAAAAGATAGACATATGCTGTCGTGGGATATTTTTTATATAATTTTAAGGAGAACATTTCCGTCATACATGATTTCTGTGTAGCTTTAACCATTAAGGTTGCACACGCGACGGAAGCTTAAAAAATGGAGTAACTTCTCCCGTTTTCCCAACATTTCCCTTCACTGCTCTGCTCCTATTGATTGTAGCGTGATGAAAAGTATACTTTAACCAGCTCAGGAGTATGAAAAATAATTGTACCAAGTTTCGTTAAAATCCGTCGAGTAGTTTTTGTTTCTATAACGGTTATACAGACAGACAGACAGACAGACAGACAGACAGACAGACAAAAATTTTACTGATTGCATTTTTGGCATCAGTATCGATCCCTAATCACCCCCTGATAGTTATTTTGGAAATATATTTCATGTACAGAATTGACCTCTCTACAGATTTATTATAAGTATAGAATAGATGAATGTGCTACATTTGTTTCATATTCTGTTTAGATACGAGGTAGGTATAAATAGCGGCAAATTAAAAAAGTTCTTTCTCAGTTCTTAAGTGATCTCATTATTTGACATTGATAACTAAAATTTTAAATAAGATCATGTAAGCAAGATTACATAAAATTTAAATAATATTTTTTCTTAAATGATCCTGTTCAAGCTTATCTTTATAACAGTAATGATGACTTGTATTTGTTGGCGATGATAAAACCTTGATGATTATAATTATCTAACTGATTTATGAATTATAATTAGTCATTCTTGTTTAGAATGAGATTAATTCATTGTAGGTAAACAAATTTTGATCGGAATAAAAATAGCACTTGGTGACAATAGTAGGGATAGAATTTTCAGAATAGAAACATTAGGTACTTTGAAATATAAGAGATTATACCCACATCGAAACATATAAACTTTACATCTTTATAATTTTAGTGTGACTGTAGATAAATATAATATGCATAATGCATATATTGTATATAATAATATTATAAATATTATAAAGCTGTCAGAAGAAAATCTCTAAATTATAGTAAAACCGTATCCGTGAAAGTAATTGAGTCTCTCCCGTGACCGTGATTGCTGTGAAGCATTCGAAACGTCGGGAACCAAACATCTAAATAAATTCGCAAAAAAAATCCGGAAGGATCGTTTTACTTAAAATGTCAAATATTTGCGTAAATCTTAGAAAGTATTATGTGAACCAGTACGGACTAGAAATCGCTAACCAAATACGCCAGTTAGAAGATCTGAAAGAAAATGATAAGAAAGTATTAATTGCGTATTTTATAAATAATTAAGATAGGCACGGTGAGTTACATTGTTTTAAACTATTTAAAAACTAGCGACTCGCTTTCACTTCGCTTTAATTCTTATTCACCCTCGCTTCGCTTCGATCCTTATTCACCCCAATTCCTTGGTTTTACCTACTTCTTATTATTAAAGTGGAATACGTTCTTTCTGCCTTTAACCTTTATTCTTTAATCGCTAGCGAAAGTCTCTGTACAGTCGATTGTGTAATGCATAAATAGAGTCAGTTTATTTAAGAGTAATTGAGTAAATGAGCTGTTCATGGAATAACGCTTTTGAAATCACAAACACACACAAATTAAATTAAATATATCTTGTTTAGTGAACGAAGGGATTACTCTCTTCATATAAAAATATACGTCGGTCTATGACGCATCTAATACTGGTACAAAACAAATTAAAGCACATACATAATACCTATGCATAAATACATATTCAATTCGTAAAATAAGCAGACTAAGTGTATTTTACCAAGATATTATTATTTACAAGATATATATATATATATATATATATATATATATATATATATATATATATATATCATATATGCATTACCGTGATAACACCTAATTACCAAAAATTAGGAAAGAGATAAATCAAGCGAATAAAATGGCTCAAGGACGCTGCACTCTGTCTTTTATAACGGCATTTTTTTTAATCTAATGAAGTGTAAGCTTTGTCAAAGCTGCAGAATCATTTCTCTGAAGAGTTCATTTTTATTTTTTTTTCATATAATAAAAAAATTTTTTACAGGTTAAAAGCCTTAAGATACCCGAGGAAGCTTATAAGCAAAAACCAGCGTTTTTCAATTCTCTAGTTATTCAAACAAAACCCTTATTAAAGCCCCCATATATAAAATGGTTGGCTTTAAATGGAATTTTATTCATTGGTGTATTTGCAACGTAAGTAAATTATATATTAATCTTATACCTATATCTGCAACAACATACGAGCATTACACAGGCCTCTCCTAATGCACGCTACTGAGCTCTATCTTCTGCTCTACGCTACAACCACTCTACAAATATCGTAGCCCATTTGACAATATTAAGTTGTTTATATAAACATATATTATTAATAATTCAAAATATCTTTACATATATTTACACAGATATTAGATTCTATTTTAAAATTATCTCAATACTGACTTACATTTTCTTTTAATCATACATTAAAAGTCAGACAGTATGTAATTGGTACTATCGATCATTAACAAAGTGGAACATCTGTTACAGGTTTTTAGTACTTCCTTTACGTTAAATAGGATGGCATAAAACAACGTCAATGCGCATACTAATCTGTACATACGATAAAATTATAGAGTTCGAATGTCTGTACATAGAAAAAATGATAAAAGGATGGAGAAGAGAAATAGAACAAATCCATTTTTTTTCAAACTTTTTGTTTCTCAGTCTGTTTGTCTGTTTATACGGGCTAATCTCCGAAACTGTTCTACTGATTTAAATTAAATTTCGCATGGTGGTAACTTATACCCCCGGTCAACATTTTAGATAGTTTTCATCACGGAAAATTTAAGTTCCTGTGGGATAGTTAAAAAACTATAGTAACTTATACAGCTTACGCTCTGGAATTTGAGTATCACAAAAATAGAGAGTGTACCTGTCTCTTCACTTATCACTGTGCAATTTCAACGAGTAGGTACATGGTATGGCATCATGGTACTCGTGCTACTGTACTTGTAATATTGAGTTTCATTCGAAACGTTACAACGCCAGTGGTACCAAGCTACCTAGTACCTTCCTCAACCCTATTTAAAAACTCCAATAGGATCTTATTAAAAGCGACAAAAACCACATGGAAACCAATAAAAGGCACATAGAAACCAATAAATGTTTATTGGTTACTATGTGGCTTTTGTCGCCTTTGATCAGACCCTATTAGAGGTTTTCAATAGGGAATTCCCTTCGACCTACCCCTACATCCCTAGAACATATATTTTTGTCTTTTATTCTTCCTGTGTAATACGTACGTTATTATATAAGATACTTATATTATAACTAGCATTGCCCGCGGCTCCGCCCGCGTTCAGATGACCAAAAACCAAATTCTTAGGTTTTACATATTAGTATACTCTGTACATTGTAGTTTTTGTATTTTTTCTCAAAAAAGAGATATTTTTCCGCGGTAAAAAGTATCCTATATGTTGACCCGGATAACCCGCTATCGCCATACCAAATTTCATCAAAATCCCTCCAGTGGTGTCCGATAAAAATCTGTTTATTGTCAGAAATCATAATAACTTCAGTTGAAATAAGAAAAAAAAGATTTATAAAATCTGATCAGGAGTTTCAGAAATTACCCCCTACATACAAACCTACAAACTTTATCTACCTCTTTATAATATTAGTGTACGTATGTTGATTAATAGTAAAATAATAATTAAAAGATTTTATAATTATGTCATTTTAGGTTAAATGGTCTATACATGTGGCTTCCGGATGTTCTAAACAGAGTTCTGACCAGCCCGGGAAGTAGCGGTCTCACCGCTTGTGATGTGATAGCACAAAGACTTAATGAGGTTATATTTAAATAATATAAAATATCATAATTTTGCAGATTCTAACAAATATAAGTATAAGTTAACAAGCTAATATTTTAAACTTGTTTTTATTTAAAACACATCATAAATCGGACCAGTAGCTCTAAGTACAAAAACGGATAAACCGACAGCAGACAACGAAAAAAGCATAATGTTTTGTTTTGTAATACTATATATAATTTACTAATAATGAATATAATATTTTTAGGCATACTATATTTATTTATTTTGCTTCAGCTACTGTGTATCTAACAAACTTATTTATCTTTTCCCACAGACCGTAACAGAAACGGCAGTATGTGACGACACAATGAATACGATGACTTTTATGATCAATACAATAGCAAATTTTTGTTGTGCCTTTCTAGCTCTAGCTATCAGTAGTACTGTAAAGCTGATAGGAAAGAAAACCCTACTTATTTTAGTTTACATGATTATAGGCACATTTTGTATTCTCATCAACTTTGTCACGCAAAATATTTTATTCGCTGTACTGCTCTCATCGGTGCCTCTCATGGGACTTGCAATTGGCCCAATAACCGCTTATGCAGTGGATATCTTTCCAACAAATTTAAGGTGGTTTACTATGCAGCAAAAATTGAAATTATACCATTTTCTACCATACATAAAGTATCACTTACATTTGTTTTTTTTTTATGTTTTACAGGGGTATGGCCATTAGTCTAACAATGATGGTCGGTCGGATGGGGTCCACATTAGGGACTAACGTCGCTGGGATTCTTATTAATGCTTCTTGCGAAGCGACCTTTTACTTATTTGGAGGCTCACTAATATGTAAGTAAACCCACTACATTTTAAATTTTTAAATATGACTGCATACTGGAAAAAACCCAGAAGTCATATTTTTTTGTTTCATTAAAATAGATAGACATTCGTTTCAAAATGTCTTTTTTAATTTTAATCTAATTTATATACTATAAATTGATAACATTTTCCATATTTATATAATTTAAAAGAATTTCAACCAAAAAGATTAAAAGTTATCTCAGTCTAAGATTATATTCTTATTTTTTTATTGCAGTCTGTGGTTTTCTGTCATTTCTACTTCCAAGACCAAGACCAACAGCGAGTCCGAAAAAGCCAAAGTTACAAAAAATAATAACGCACCTCTAAATTAAATATATTTTGACTTAACATTTGATAGCAAAAATTACTTTGTTAATTTTATCTGCAGTCGGAACTTTGACTCTATCATGTACATAATAAATATACTTATTTTAATTCATATATTTTTAAGGCTTAGTTTAAAAAATCCTTAGTTTATAAAATAAATTTAATGTATCAGAAAATGTAAAATCTCTAATTATTTACTTATTAAAGAAACTTTAAAATGACAATAAACACTATTTATTCCATATTAACATTTCACATGGCACGATAGCATGTATTATTAAAGTAAGTAGTACCTAACTGGTTAAATAAATGAAATGTAACTTTACTCAAATATACATTTTATAATACTTAATTTAAAGAGCGTCAGTGTATTCAGTCTGCGAGGAAGCCTCCAATGTACCTACTTACCACCGGCTCGAAAAAAAGTTCTGAGAAGAGCCAGCGAAAAACTCAACAGCAAGTAACAAAATATACCTACTGGATCTACAATAGAAATTATTTCTATAATATAACTAGCGGCTGAAGGTACGCGGATTTTGTTCACAATTTCATTTATATTTTTTGTGCGCAACCCTAATTTTTTTTCTAAAATAAAAGTAGCCTAAGTTCCTCCTTATAACATTAGCTCTCTGCCAGTCAAAATTATAATTTACTAGTAAAATTATAATATCACGGTTTTTACAATTTACCTGCGACATATGTTATATATACAAAACAAAGATAAATATTATTAGTTTTTAACTTGTTATAAAATGGAAATACATATAATAATATTTGTCCTTCTTTTCGAGATAGTGTGACCACCCCAACCACCCCACCAATATTTTCGAATATTCATCCCATTTACGACTCGTCCGGACTCCGGCATAAATCAGTCGAGTACTAAAAAGAAGATTAAAAAAGTAATAACACGTGGGTACCCGTAAGGACGGCCTATAAATTAGGTACATAGTACAATGTAATTTACGAAGTACAGGTATCGACGATCATCTAAAAACGGAAAAAAATGAAGACAAGTGATGGAGGAGCGGGAGACGAAATCTAATCAAGAAAACAATCAGACAGGTGGACTGCACCACTGCCATCGACGTTGTTATACGCCGAACTCCGAAGAATCTATTCAAAAATCCTCTAGGAATGACAATAATGACCCCATTTATTTTCACGAAAGGAGGCGCCACATGTCTGGCCTATTTACATTCAATCTGAAGTTAAGCAATTTATTGTGATATGTCTTTTATACCGTGTTTTTTGCTTTTATTGTATTAGCATCTTACCTGTGCAATGTATTGTACCTAGAAATTAGACTAGCTGAAGGAAGAATTAAAAAGGAGAGGTGCATCCTGCGGTGATCCCGACTGACTGATGGATCAACACAGTCCAAACCACTTGTCGTAGAAACTTGAAATTTGGAGGACGTATTCCATATATGATGTAAGCATCCGATAAGAAAGGATTTTTTTGAAATTTATCCCCTAAATGGGTAAAATAGGGTGGGTGGGTAAATAAAAGATTGTATGAAACTCTATCATTCTTAATATGAAATACACAGAAAGTGGTGTTTGGCTTTAAGATAAAAAATTAGAAATATATTTATTGGCTTTTTTTTCCAAATTCATATCTTAAAGGGTTAAAAAGGGGTAAAAAAGTTTATAAGGGCAAAGAATTATTTATGATCAGAGGTACTTGAAACTCTGTATTAATACTCTAAAATACAATTAAATAAATACGTGTTTTAACATTTTTCGAAATTCAATCTCATAAGGGAGTAAAATTGGGGATGAAAGTTTGTGTGATACTCTGTAATTAATATGTAAAAAGTACAAAAAATAAAAATAAATGCTCACCTGTAGACGATTTAAGAGTTTTAAAAACACTTTCTCTAAAATGATTTCCACATAGCCTTAAATATAAAGATTGTGATTTTGCCAATTTTGGTCGTATTATTGCTTTAACTCACAATTTGTTCAGTTTTTGTCTTTTGGGAACAAATTATATCCATTTTCTTTGCATCCTGACACTGCATAATATGTCGTTTTAATAAAATTTTAAATAAAATGAAAAATAAATCCATCCACGATACCCTCGCCATAGTGTTTGCGACATCTGAAAAAATAATGCACTAAACAAGTAAATTCAGCGCTACCAATTGGCGCGTATTTACCCAAAAAGAGGGTAATTTTAAGCGATTTTTGATGGCGGGTAATTTTGTTGGGTATTTGCATTGAGCGGGGTGAAAGCGGGTATTTTAGTTTAGCTGAACCAAATTATAGTATTATAATATGATCTATAACCAAATTATGGTTTTCTTCTGACTCAACTGAAACAAGTACTAGCGGAAATTGATTAATTTGATATTTTAATCCTATAAAAAACAATTTTCGAATATTCTGTAAATGGTTGGCGCCTGTGGGATGAACCCGGTATTTTTGAAGTTATTGGTCGAGTAAATCAACGACTGCTACGTAGCAGGACATACATGGAAAATGACGTGGACAACCCACAAAGGTGGACAGGTGGACTTATCTATATATGAGATCTCTTCCAGTCAACCGATCTTAGTGTAGTAAAAAATAGTGTTAAGTATCGAGACCGGAAGAGAAAGTGCAAAGAAATGATAAAAAAAATATATAATCCCCATTTTGTTATTAAAATGATGATAAATATCAGCGACAACAATATAATTATTAATAACCTTTTTTATTTTACCTATAATATAAAATATTCCTCTATTTTACCTATTGTCTTTGTCTGTGTTACTTATAAATTGTAATGATAATCTGTCAATGTTTACTTTCTATAATCTGTACTTAATTAATATAAATGTCTTTAGATTTGTTTTTATTTGTCATCCATGACTTTTGTTTATTTCCGAATTCCGACTAGGTCTTATTTTTAATTTTTTAACATTGTTACGTTTGTAGTAATCGACATAATCTCTTATTAATTTAAATTTATTTTCAAAGTAAAATGCATAACTTGGACTCAGATAGTGAAGATGAACTGCCTCCAGGGTGGGAAGAAAAATCAACAGAAGATGGAAATGTTTATTTCATAAAGTAATTTATATGATTATTATAGCATATTCTGTATAGATAATAATTGTATATAAATTAGATGTTATTTATTAATATAATATTTATGTATAATATATTTATTCTCTTCATTTAGCACATGTAATAACAAAATACAATGGACTCATCCGCGTACAGGACATAAAAAGGTTATTCCAAAAGACCTACCCTTTGGTTGGAGTAAAACATTAGATGACAATGGTAAACCCATATATATTCACCAAGAAACTGGAAATAAGACCCAAATAGACCCAAGGCTAGCATTTGCTAAAGAAGAAAAAAAACATGTCCATGACTTTAGACAAAGATTTGATAGTTCTTCTACTGCTTTTCAAGTATGTTTTCCTTTATTTAAGTGCTTAACAATTGAGTATAGGGTATATCTACCTTATAGGGTTGACTTTTATTAGGTTTATCTTACAAAATATTATTATCTAATGTAATTAAATAATTTTACAAGATTTAAAGTATGTAATTAAGCATTTGTGTACATGTTTGCATGTTTGTTGTTCAATCATATGTTGACCTTATATGGGTATGGTCATGAGATCATCCCCCCCAACGTGCGTTCACCTTGTCGTGGTGGGGGGGCTCAGTAGTGCCCGGCAACCCAACCGGGCGCGAAGCCAAGAAACAGGGAGGTGGCCCACTTCGGTGGGCGGTGGCCCTCTTCGGAGGGCAGTGTATCATGCGGGTTGCTCCTGGTACTTCTCTGATAGCAGAGTGGACTGTGGAGCAACCCCGTGGTTGTTGTGGTCTGCTTCGGCAGACCTGCCGTCGGGGCGTCGTAGTTGAATGCGTAAGCGATCCTGCGACGCCCCATTAAGACGGGGGAAGGTTTTGTTGGGTTTTAGTGGGTAGTACTGGTTTTGCCGGTGAGTCCCACAATGGTCATGAGATTATGGGATCAACATTCCATGTATGAACTATGTATGAGCTATAATAGTACTGTAAAGTTTCATCAAAATCCATTCGCTAGTTTTACGTGAGAGTTATCCTCAAAAACTTATGTATAATTTTAGTAAGATTACCTTTGGAATAATCCAAGACATTATATTGTGACAACACATCAATTATGTTTGAACCAGCACACACAAAACTTTTCATGAGTTCTTGTAAAATAGTCATTCAGTTTCAATATAATTTCAACAACTCTATTATCTTTTATAATAAACAACACTTATGAAATGATAAGCTCAGAACAAATGTGTTCAGTTAATACATTGACAAGATGCAAGGCCTTGTGATACAAGAAAGAAAATAATTTGCCACTCGGCCATATACTATTGAACCATATTTTGCAGTAATCTTGGTATAGTAATTAAAATTATATTATCAATTTCAGGTTCTACATGGAATAGATTTGTCTGGAAAATATGCCCTGATTACTGGATGTAATGCTGGTATTGGTTATGAGACTGCTAAATCCTTAGCCAGGCATGGCTGTAACATACTTATGGCTAATCGTAACATGGAAGCCACACAGCAGGCCATTGAGCTGATAATTAAGGAAGTTAATGTATCAGATGATAATTTAAAGGCTATACAATTGGATTTAAGCTCACTAAAAAGTGTAAGGAAGTGTGCTATGGCTGTGAAAACTGTGTTTTCAGAGTGAGTATTTAGAATATCTTTAACACTTAAAGAAGTTTTTTTTTTAATTTTTGGATAATGCTATATACAATTTATATATTTAATTTTGTGCAACCAGAAGTCTGAAACTAAAAGAGTTTGAAATCATTCCATATTTTAACACAGTGAATTCAATTACTAAGAACAAAAATTATTTATTTTTATATATGTTTCAGTCATCTTGATATGTTAATATTGAATGCTGGAGTATTTGGACTACCATATGAAGAAACTGAAGACAAACTTGACAGAACATTCCAAGTGAACCATTTATCACATATGTATTTTGCAATGTTATTAGAACCACTGCTAAGAAAAGGCTCAAGAGTTGTGTTTGTGTCGTCAGAATCCCACAGGTAAGTTTGTAAATGTTACAATGAGTTTGCTATGACGAAGCATTTATAACATAACATATTGATAATGCTGTCTTTTAACAGGGCTTTTAGACAATTGCATAACTTTTTTATTTATATAATTACAGAATGGCAAGTTTAAAAAATGTTTTTGTAAAACAAAATCTGGCTCACCCGAAGGAACAGTACAGTTCAATGACAGCGTATGGTAATTCCAAACTGTATAATGTTATCACTGCAAAGGTAAAAACTAAAAAAATATTTTTACTGGACATGAAACAATAAATCTATTTACAACAATAAGAGTATCCTTTTTTTTTTTTAACTTTGGGAAATGCATTTACGCACGAGGTGTGGGACTCACCGGCGTAATAAAGCCAGTACTACCCACTAAAACCCAACAAAACCTTCCTCCGTCTTAATGGGGCGTCTCAGGATCGCTTACGCATTCAACTACGACGCCCCGACGGCAGGTCTGCCGAAGCAGACCACCACAACCATGGAAGGTCCACTCTGCTATCAGAGAAGTACCAGGAGCAACCCACATGGTACACCGCCCACCGAAGAGGGCCACCTCCCACCGCCCACCGCCACCTCCGACAAGGTGAACGCACGTTGGGGGGGACAATAAGAGTATCCTAATATGTAACAAATGATAATCTTGATTATCAATTAAAACTTAAGCTATCAATATAGTTATTTCTATACAAATCTTACATTTTTATAAAGAACTAACGACTCACCCTTGTTTCGCTTCTTAATCTATGTGCTATTCCAGACTATAATCTATGTCTGTGCCAAATTACATCCGGATCCGTTCAGCCATTCTGGTGTGAAAGAGTAACAAACATCCACCCATCCTCATAAACTTTCACTTAACATTAGTATGGACTAAAACTTGTTTCTTTGGATCTCTGGATAAAAATAAACTAATTATTAAAATTTGTATTTTACAAGAATGACAACAATATTAATAAATGATGAATGAATTATTTAAAGTTTGTGGTACATAAATTATATCTTCTGGCAAAAGCCACTTTTTACTCATTCTCTTTTATCGTTAGTGACTCTTCTTCCATTTTAATTCTATTACAAGTTTCAATTAATTGTCCCACAATTTTACATTATCTTGTTTGTTTATTTTGACAGTCTTTCGAATATCTGAACAGTGACGACTTTTTAACATAAAGCCCATCTAACTTGCTGGTCTTAAGTCTATCTGTCTGGTATGAATGTAATATCGTATATTTATTTGCATATAAATACTGATTTCAGATTTTAAGTGAAGAATGGAAAGACAAAGGTATAGCAGTGAATTCCCTTCATCCTGGCAACATGGTGTATACAAATCTGCCAAAAACATGGTGGTTGTACCAGTTGCTATTTACATTAGTGCGTCCATTTACTAAATCTCTGGTAAGGGAAAGTAAAATAATTACATAAAAATTAAATCTATATTTGTAATATGAGAATCGTATTGCTTGATGGCTTTTGTGATATTAAATCAATCAATATCAATCTGTGAAAAATAAATGAAAGTCATATTTGTTTCATTATATATCTAGTATTTCATATCTTGCTAATAAATTATACTATAATAAATTTATATTACACTAACGACTCACTCTCGCTCCGCTTGGGTTTGCCCCTAGTTACGTTTTAACGTTTAGTACAGATTTCTCAGAGATGAGATATTTTCCAGCTGTCATCATACCAAATTTCATCAAAATGTGTCCAGTGGTTTTCTCGTAATACATTCCGAGACAGACAGACAGACAGACAAGGGTTATAAAAACCATATATTCGGCCTCTGTACTGATAATAATAACTATTTCAATAAGATTTTCCGAGAAATATTTAATGTACAGATTGGACTTAGTTAAAATTTTATTATATGTATATATTTGATTAATGTTCTTCATTAAATATTTATTCATTATTATATATCAATAATAAAAGGGATTTTTTTAAAGCTCGCAATATAATGTAAGCTAAATCTTTAAATACTTTTTTGTCTGTCTGACTGTTTTATAACTAAGCACCACCTTAAATTATCAAAATTGAACTGAATTTTACTCTTTATTTGTTTGTTATTAAGTAATAATCGAGTTTTCACATGGAGTTTTCTTCAATGTATGAATAAAACTATCTTTTCGGTATTTTCGCGGATTTATTTTGATTTAAAAATCAAAACAAATCCTAGAACATAGTTTTATTTAAAAAATCAAATATTTGCATAAGTCTAAGAGAGTATGAATGTATGAAGATAGGATCAAATTAGTTTGTATAAAAAAAATGTATAGACATGTATGTAAGATAGACATCCAACTTGCACCTTTTATAGCTGAATTATTTTTAATTATAATCAATCTGAAAGAGACATCATTCTTATATAAAACAAGCGACTCACCCTCGCTTCGCTCGGTTTCTTCCCTAGGTATGTTTTAATTTTTTGAGCGGAACCCTAATTCTTTTTCTAAATTAAAAGCAGCCCATGTGAGTCCCTATAACATCAGCTATCTTCCAGTGAAAGTCCCGTCAAAATCAGTCCAGCTGTTTCAGAGATTATGCGGAACAAACAGACACAAAAATTAAAAAAAAATAGTTTTTCTTATAAGTACCGTATATAATTTTATATGCATTTAGGAAAACGTTGTTATTTTGACATTACAAACAGACACTTAAATTTTTTTTATCTGTACAGATATCACCTAAAAGTATTTGTTCTTTATTATTATTTTTTTTTATTAGCAACAAGCAGCAGCTACAACAGTCTACGTAGCAACCGCTTCTGAATTGGAAGGAGTTACAGGACTTTACTTTAACAACTGCTTTTATTGCGAGGAGTCCAGATTGGCTCAGGATAAAGATATTATCAATGAAGTGTTTGCGATATCCCTCGATATGATAGAAGAAAGAATGGGATCTGATAATATTGAAAAATATATTTTAAAATATTGTACAAAGAAGAATAAAGATTAAAAACATTTTATATTTTTAATATATAACAGGAATTTAATAATTAAGTAATATATAGTGTAATATATTTTGTTATCAAGGGAAGGGAAAGGGTATTCTTTTTGGCACTACGATATGATTCGCATTTTAAATTCAATTGAGGATATGAACACTTCTCAGATCATATTATATTGCCTACAAGTACAAAACATGGCAGCACTCAAATAGTAGATTATTTTAAATAAAACTTCTTGTCGGTGATTTATTTTGTTATTTTATCCCTGATGTTTCGAATGTCTTGCAGCAAACATAGTATGTGTGTATGTTTAAAATATATTTTACAACCTTAAATACTGAAAAAAATTGTATTATTATGACAAGGAAAATATGTGTTAGATGAGTATAAGTGGGTAAAGTTCTTGCTGTATTTTTACTTTATTTAGGTTTCAGGAACTAGAAGATAAATACATCTGTTTCTTTAAGGTAATATGGACGATAGATAGATAGACATTTTATTGTATATCACAAAAGAAATACTTAAAACAGAGAAATATACGACTTGTTACTTACAGTATTCCTTCTTCCTACAAAAGGTCGGAAATCGAGTTATACCCACGCGCGTCGCGTTCGGTATACACTCGGTAGACAACCGTGCGGGGCTGCCACATCGTATAATTTGATACGAAAATTTTATAAGATGGTTATGTTATGCAACTTTTATAATTGGATACAAAAATAAACATTTTATTCCTCCCGTGAATTCGCTATTATGTCAAACAAAAAAGTATCGAGACATCGTATGTTTTAAAAATAAAAACTAATTAATTAAATTAAAAATAAAAATTAAAGTATTTTTAACTAAACTTTTTAACCGAATGCGGATTCTTTATACTATTAAATTTAACAATAAAGCTTTTCGTATGTCAAGTCAGTCAAGGTGCAAATATTTTTAAATCTCAAATTTATTAGGGTCACATACCACCCTTATAAATTTGAGATTTTTTAATTAAATCTACTGATAATATTTTTTAAACAAAATATAGGTATAATATTGGAAATCACAAAACTAGAAAGAAACTCAAGTAGGTAGATGAAATTAAAATACTGTACGCGGGCAACCCTGTCGCGTGGGTACGTGCCGCTCGGCTGTAGGTAATTATTTCAAGGACAGGCCCGAGTTGGAATACTGTATGCATTACATTACCGTGATTTTGTTAATAGATTTTGTAGTAAAATTCCAAACATTGGCTAAAATTTGAAAGTTGCCTTAAAGTGCCTATCATTGTATGTGCTCTACTTATAATTTAATAAACGGATACCAATATTCAAGTATGCTGTTTTATTTTGAACTAGCAACTCGCCCTCGCTCCGCTCGAGTTCGTCCCTACTACGTTATAAGGGTTAGATAGATTTCTCAGAGAAGATATATTTTCCCGCAGTAAAAATATTACAGTATTTCAATGTAGCACTTGAATCCATTTCAGCGGTTAACAATGATAAAGCGCCATCTATGTATACGCAATACAATCTTATTATTTAGAAATCAGTAAAATTACGAAAATTTTATTTAAGAGCGCATTATTTCTTTTTCCTTTACCTAGAGTATTCTTAAAACCAGAATATTAGTACAACGCCTAATGTGGGCGTTCACTCATTTCACCTCAGAATAAATTGAAATTTTTAAAAATCTAAATTTTGAAAAACTACATGTGTGCGAAGGTTGAAATCTAAGTCTGAAAAAAAATCTCGTGTCCACGTCCTGAGATATTTAAGGTCACAAAAATTAATTTTGCGCAAATTTTAATTACGTTCTATTTTTATATTTTTCATTAGTTCTTAGTACTTTTATATGTTTAGTTTTAGCGAGAAATATAAGGAGATGTTTTTGATTGTTACAATATCGAGTACAAAGAAAAATTAGTTGAAATAAATGTCAATAGATGGCATTATATGAATAAATCTGTTACTGAAGTTTGTAAAATAGAGAAAAGATTTAAATACCTAGATCCTAAAATGGTATAATATATTGTATAGCTTTAAAAAATGTCTTGAGCAAAAAATGACAAAATAATGCGCTTAAAAGTCAAATAATTTAAATAAATAAAGAAGAAATAAAATAATGCGCTCGTAAATCAAATTTGCATAATTTTATTTAAAAATCAGCAATCAAGTTATTGGTTGTTAGTGGGTTCTATGTGCATGTGCGTGTATGAATGTGTAAACTTCTGTAGGTTATCGGTAATCTTTATGAGATTCAATTTATGTTTTAAAAAATTAGGATAGGTGAGATACTAAAAATAATGCACATTAGGCATATTACAATCATATGTATGTATGTAACTATGTATGTATTCAGCCATTTTCTTTTTGAAAACTTGCTAGATTTGTTCAGACATGCAGGTTTGCTCACGATGTGTTCGTTCACCGTAAGGCAAGTGGTAATCGAGTTACAAATGATTCGCACATGAAAATATCAGAGGTGCGAGACCCGAGGTGTGATTTAAAAAAAATGAGTACTAGTAGGAAAAAAATCAGAATGTACATAACCTAAGCCTTAGATTCTAAGATATTACCATGGATGACAAATAAAAGATATTACTATGGAGGGTAGAGGTAAGGACTTATGGAGAACTATCTCTGTGATGAAAAGTATCCGTCAAAAAGTATCGTGTGGCGCCACGGTAGCAAGTATTGGGTACATTTTGAAAAAAGCGCCAAAAGTACACTTTTGTTCAGAAACAAGTCGGCTGTTGGTTTGTTGTTACGGTTTGTTAAAATCTTAAATCTAATATACCTAATAACAATTGAATATTATCATTTATGAGCAGCTTTAATTTTTTTAAGATTGCCAACAATCAACTAAAATCGAAGAAGAATTAAAAAATAAGAAAAGTCAAAACTTCTGGCCAAAGTTACTATTTCAATAATCTTTAAACTTTTGTCTTTTGATAGTTTTTTTAGTCTGTGAAAGAGATCCGATCGAAATACCTACATTAAATATTATAATGAAAAAAAATATATATTTAATTACTTACTTTTTTATAATAATTATTACACTCACCTTCGTTCAAAAATTTACGAGTTTATTTTACAATGCACAAATAAATGTTATAAATATATCATAGACAACTTTTTAGTTCAAGTATCCGATAATACGTTTGTGTGTCAAGGCAAATTGTCAGGAGAAATACCAATTTTTGTGAAAAATAATTGTGTTATTGTCGATATTAATATAATAAATAAAACATTAATATACGTTTATTTATTTAAAGTATAATTACATAATGATTTAACTTTAAAGATATTTATACTTTAGCTTCATAAAATTTGTTCCCAAACAATGTTAGTTCGGACGCTCCCAACGGCTAATGAATAATGAAAAATGATTTATTAAACAATACTATTCATTTCATATATTAAAAGTTAACAAGATGCTGTTTAAATAAAACGATGTTAGTGAGTGGTTTTCTTGTAGGGATGTTCAATGTTTAGTGATTCCTACTAATCGTGATGGGTGATAAAATAAATAGAGAGTATTTCGCACCTGGCGCTGCAGCCTTCAATTATAATGTGGTAAGTTAAATCTTATATTTGACATTTTTACTGATGTATGTATCTACTTTTTATAAATATGAATACAAAAGAAATAGAGAACAACAAATACTTTAATTACTTTTTTGTCAACAAAGTTTGTAAATTGCAGAAATAACAACATTATGATGGCGTCATTATGTCCTTGCTTTTTACTTACTATTAAATCCGTGATTTCAAGGATTTAAAATAAATTAATAGTGACTAGGCATGTCAATTTTGTTTCCTGGTCATGAAATTACTACTCTACTCAAACCTTTCAGTTACTACTTAAGCTACTTATAGTTAAGCATATTTTATGCTTAACGCTAATTAAAATAATTTGTAATTATATAATCAGCACTTATCAATGAATATTTTTACTTATTTACTTTTAATAAATATATTTTTATAGGTAAGTAAACCAAAGATGAAATGGGTAATAAATGTTTGCCTTAGCATGGCAGTCAAATTATGCAGACAGCATTGCATTGTATAATAAAATTGTTACTTTATAAAACATTGATTATCTTATATTATATTTCTATGAATTTGAATTTTGAATCTTATATTTTATTTTCTATGAATTTTGATATTTCTATGAAGATCTACTTTTTAGGATAAAATGGTGACTATTTTTTCCATTATTAATGTATTATGAGAGTCTATTTTTTTCTTTTGTCTCTTACAAATAAGTTGTTTCTTGCTTATTTTCCTCATTTTATTGTACTCTCACCTTGTACAATTATGTTATAAATAATATATCCTATTAATATAGTGAAGTGGAAGTTTATTCAGACTTACACATTTATGATGTTTGAATAAAGCAATTAATATAGTCTATATACAAAAAAACTATGCTATGTTATTATCATAATTTTTATCCAGGAATGGGTTCCCGAGTAATAATAACAATACTTATAGTCTAATTTCATTGTTATTTGAACAAGAATTATACTTCTAAACATATTGATTCATCAATAGCCCAAGAACATTATATAAAAAGGAAATGCAAATCTATTTACTTATGAACAGGACAGGATATACAAAAAGGAAAAATTAGGAAATACCAAGTTTGTGCCATGTTTGTGTATATAAAAATATTTTCTATATAATTATATTGAGGAGATGTTAAGGATAGGATAAAACTTTTGTTTACAAAACTTTTTAAATCATGTCACTAGAATAACAAGTTTCGAAATCATTATCTGTCTATGTTGACATATTTTTATTGGCTAACATTAATAATAATTGATCAATTAAATACAACTGAGTTAATATAAAACTGCATGTATTATTTAACATATAATTCAAAATAAATGAAAAAATGAAAAGTACTGTATTTTTTCATCATGTTAAATGATACTTTCTGCTTCTGTGATCACAAAATAGATTTTTAATAATACTCGAGAGTGAAACTGATTAAAAATAAAATTTTACTGGCTGTAACT